TCTTATGAAGGGAAAGGTCAAACGAAAAAGACTCCTTGACTTTGTCTGGTTTCTGGGCAACCAGGACTGACAGATTCGACTAACGTACATCAGACAGTGACTAATGGGCAAAGGTCCTACGGACCGCCCAGACAAATAAATGACGAATAGTACGAAAAAGACATACAGAAGAATAATTGGCAAATCAGCGTGCAGTGTTAAATTTAAGTCATCTCAAGTCTCAACATAGTCTTCACTTCTCGCTTAAATCTCAAAATTGATAGGGCTTTAATTCTATCAGGCAGCGAGTTGTAAACCTTAACAATGTCATATGAAAAAGAGCACTTATAATTTGAAGTTTTAAATTTAGGTAGTGAGAGATTATGTTTAAACCTCGTGTTACGACTATGCACTTCTGTACGGGTCTTGATCTTCTTGTAAAGATAGGATGGTGATTCAGTATTGAGTATCTTGTGGTATAGTACGGATCGATGAAGGAACCTTCTTTTCTCTATATTGAGCCAACCTAAGTTCTTTAAGTGAAGAGATATCGGCTGCCGCCTTCTAATACCACTAACAAACCTGACACAAGAATTTTGAATACGCTGAAGGCGCGCCTTATCTCGATGTAGCAATGACGGGCCGTACGCGCAGTCTGCATAGCTGAGGTGAGAAAGAACTAAAGACTCGCACAATATTATTTTTGTTGTCTTGGTTATTATGCTTCTGCTATTGTATAGCAGTTTCAATGATGAAAATGCCCTTTTGGTTATAAGAGAGACATGCTGGGAAAAGCGTAGATCTGTATCCATAATAACCCCTAAATTTTTAGCGGAGTTTGTAAAAGTTATTTTGTCTTGTCCGAAATAAATGTCTAAATTATTGGAGTATAGTTCACGATTCTTGTTTTTACCAAATAGTAGAGCCTTAGATTTAGTGGCGTTGACGGAGAGACAATATTTTTTTGTTAGCTGATAAAGAACCTGAAGGTCCTCATTTATGTTACTTAAAGTTCGGTTTATATCTGATTCATTAAAAGCAATATATAATTGAGTGTCATCGGCGTAATAGTGATATGAGACGTGTTTAAAACTTTTGTGCAGCTGAGAGGTATACAGAGTGTACAAGAGTGGGCCTACAACAGATCCTTGAGGTACACCTCGACAAACTTTAGACAATTCGGATGTTTCACCAAAGCATTTGACAACTTGTGCCCGATCTTTGAGATAATTTCTTAATAAATGAACCGCACTTTTAGAAAAACTCAAGTAGTGAAGAACAGCAATCAGTAGATCATGGTTTAGCTTATCAAAAGCCTTCGAGAAATCTAATAAGATTAAGATGCATAGGTTGCCATCATCAATGTATTTGCGGATATCATCTGTTACTTTGAGCAAGGCTGTTGTGCAGCTGTGACCTGATCTGAACCCTGATTGGTTTTCTGGAAGAATGTCATTTTTAGCAACAAAGTCCCTCATTCTAGCATCCAAAATCATTTCGAAGACCTTTGATGGAGTACATAGGATGCTGATGGGTCGAAGGTCGCCCACATCTTCAGGGTTGCTCTTTTTTGGTATGGGAATTACTTGTGCAAGCTTCCAAATTTTGGGTATTACATTGAATTTTAGACAATAATTAAAAATATGCGTGAGATATGGTAAAATTGTAGGGCAGCTGTACAGCAGCATGCTGATACTTATACCGTCGGCACCAACGGCTGTTGATTTCACTGAAAGCAATTTTTGATATACTTCATTGTCATTAGTGTACGAAAACTCAAATGCTTCATGAGGGAGTTGCGTATCGGAGAAGAATCGAAGAGTGTACTGATCAGGTTCATTATTATCACCCGAGATGGATTGCATGAAGAAATTGTTGATTTGGTTTGCAGTTCCTAGGTGTTGAGGTAGTGAATTCTGTTTTTTATTAACTATATTCAATTTTCCGAGTTCTTTTCACATGCGGTTTTTATTTAATGCAACTTGTTGCTCAAAATATACTTGCTTTTCTTTGTTAATCGCGTGGTTAATTTTGTTCTTTAGTGTATTATAGCCTAACCAATCATTGTGATTCTTTGTACGATGATACTTTCTTAGTGCCTTATCTCTTAGTTTCATCATTTGTTTCAAATTATAGGTAAGCCAAGGTGACCATTTTCTAGATATGCGGACTGTTCTGATAGGAGCATGGTAATCGAAAATATTTAACAGTAGTTCATTCAGATAATTCACTTTCATATCTATATCCTTAAGCAGATATATTGGACTCATGTCAACATTATTCAGGTGATTTGTAAAAAGCTCATAATTAAAATGTTTAAAGTCTCTATATGTGTAAAGAAAAGGTACAAAAGTATTTTTTGAAAGTGTAACCTCACATGAAACTAGGGCATGATCAGATATCATAGAGCAGTCTAATGCATCGATAGCCGAGATGTTTAGTTCATCTGTGCAGATAATAACATCTAGCAACTTTGAGGACTTAGGTGTACATCTAGTGGGTTGTTCAACTATCTGCTTCAAATTCAAAACGTCTACCAGGTTTAGTAGCTGTCTACTACAAAAATTGTCATCCAAAAGGTCGATGTTTAGGTCTCCTGCACATAAGATATAATCATGATTAGGAACAAGTGTGGACAACGTTACTTCCAAATTATCTATAAATTGGTTCACGGGGTAATCTGGGGGTCGGTATAAAGATCCTACAGCAAAATTTTTCTGGTTAAAGCTTACGGTGATCCATAGTTGCTCAGTATCATGATACTCAATATTATTTATAACGTTGCTTTTAAGGTAATTTTTGACATATAAAGCTATTCCTCCACCTCTCCTGTGGTGACGATCACCTCTATACAGTGTATACCCTTCGAGACTGATGATATCATCAGGAATGTTGTTATTTAACCAGGTTTCCGATAGTGTTATGATATCATACTTGTTAAAAAATGCATCTTTAAAATAAGCGTGTTTGGCTGTGAGGGACCTGATGTTTAGATGACAAAAGATGAGAGACATTACGTTGAACAATTTCAAAATAACACAATATAATGTACTAAAAAGAGTTAAAAAGTAATATGGCGTGCAAGGAAATGATAAATATTATAGGAGATTAAAAAAAAATCCACACAGCACCACCAAAAACACTCGATTCGATTTCATCCATACACTCTCTCAGTTTTGTTTGGAGTCTTTATTTTTGCTCGATGTAGGATTACTGTTGATCCTAGGTCTTAACTGCTTAGCGGCTCGCTCTGCACTTTGAGTTATCTTCCTTTTGCTTGTACTCTTAACTATTTCTGTTATAAAGACATCTTGTTCCTCCTTACCTTTAGCTTGATCTTCAGCAACTTCATGTGGTGTATTAACATCTGCACCAGCTTTCTGACCTACAGTGAACCCTTCCTGAAGACCTGTTTCAATTTCTTCTTCCTCGTCTGAACTTTCTTCATCAGCAATCAGTTCGTGGGCTGTAAATTATATATGGTGCAACGCGTAACTTTCAGAGACCGAAAGGATTTTTAATGATCGTTTCCCGAATCGTCCTATCTGTAGAAAATATTTAAGGGAACTATCTAAATTTACAGCTACTAGTAGTGTAAACAACAAAAAGCCCCACAGGTCATCCGACCATCCCGGAAGAAAAGCAAGTTCAAATAGTTGGAGAGATCATAGTAAATCCCCAACAGTCTACTTCCTCCATCGCGAATGTATGTGACGTTTGTCCTTCTACTGCATGGAGACTTTTGAAAAAGAATAAGTATCACCCATACAAAACTCAAATGGTACATCAGCTAACTGAAGATGACCCTGATCGAAGAACAGAATTCTGCGAGACTATGACGGAAACCATTGACGGCATCCTACCTATATCCAAAATATTTGTTTTAGTGATGAATGTACATTTTTTCTCAACGGTAATATGCATAGAGAAAATTGTCGTTATTAGAGTGACACCAATCCTCACGTCTTCCGGAAAACTCATACTCAACATCCACAAAAAATTAACGTTTGGGCTGGGATATTGGGAAATCATATTGTGGGGCCTCTATTCATCGAACAAACTTTAACCGGGGAACTGTTTTTGGATATGCTGGGAAATACTATTGACCCTCTAATCACCGAAATCGTCGAAGCGAATCCTGATATTGTATTCCAGTAAGATGGTGCTCCACCACACTACTACAGACAAGTTAGGAATTATTTAGATAACAATTTCCCCGGTCGTTGGATTGGCCGTCGTCCTGTGGAATGGCCAGCTCGCTCGCCAGATTTGACATCTTTAGAATTTTTTATGGGGCTATTTCCAGCAAAAGGTGTACGAAACTGAACCTGTTTCAATATCGGATATACGGCTGAGAATAACAAATATTTGAAGAAATATCGATGTTACTATGTTTGACAATGTTCGACGCGAAGTTACGGACCGGCTGTTATTGTGTCAAGAAGTTCAAGGCAACCATTTCCAGCATCTTCTAAACTGAACTCAACATATTTATTCGAATTATCAGGTTAAATGTCAATGTATTCAGGTAATTATTGAATGTACCACCATTTTGTAGTAGGTAAAGGTATTGACTTTACATTCTAGGATTATAAAGTAATCGCCAGGAGCTTCAAAATGATAAGCCACAAGGCCCCCGTTTTCGTATAATTTTTTTTCCAAGATGGCGCCCAGAGGCCATATTGACATTTTCATCTGTCAATTTTACTCTGAAATTTGGTTTTTTGAATTCCTGCAGTTTTTCTCTCAGCCACTAAACACTGTGAAACGGCACAAAACTTTATCAGCGACGTAACATGAGTTATGCTACATTCTTCTATTTTTCTTTATACTTTATAAGGATAGGGTCTAATTGGCCCGCATATTTAGTTCAGTCGAAATTTAAATGTAAAAAGCGATGGAGACCATTATTACAGTGCGTTACATTAAATTGGTGATTCTCTGTTTTTTAGCCTTTCGTCTCATATTATAGACTATATTTGAATATATACGTATTGTAGATTACGTTATTTTTGTTTCAGAATTTGACCGGTCCAAAAGGAAAGGTTCAGTTTCAAGCACCGAGTCTGAACAGGAATTCAAGAGACGATATCAGGCCAACACGCATCGAATGGTACATCGAAAATCCTGTTTGGAGATGTACAAACGACAAGATAGCAAATCGTTTGGTAAGTGGTACCATTGTATAAATATGAAATTCACTCGTCTGTTTTCAACTCTGATAATTCAAGTTTCACGAATACTTTTTAGCTATTCTTGACTATACCTTTTTTAAACTTCAGCTTCATATCAAAGATAAAATCCTTGCCTACACTCCGTTTCAAGTTGACCAAAACAACTTTGATCGTTTTGAACCAGCTGATTCACTTTCTATAAAATCAAAATCGTATTCACTCCAAGAAATCATATCTCGTGTTAAATATAATTACTTTTCTGCTTTCAACTTTAATAATGCAGAAGTTTCATACTTTTTAGCTATTCTTATGAAGTAAATATCCATATTCTAAAATCGTTACCTACACATCATTTTAAATTGAACAAAACAACTTTCGTCGTTTTAAAACTGCTTATTTCTTTTCTGTAAAAAAAATCGTTTTCACTCCACAATGAACCATATTATACTGGAGCTCGTAGCTATAAATTACGATAACTATCAAATATTTCATACTTTATGGCAGCTTTATAGCATCTAATCAAATTTTATCTCGTTAATCTTATTTATCTTTTTAATACGTGCTTTTGTACACATTAAGTAGACCTAACAGCCACAATAATAAATACCATTATATACAGATACATTTACCGCAGTTGTACAAGCGCGACTCCGATTCAAAATTTGTATTTATTCTCAACCAAAGGCAAATCATTATCGAGTGAGCTTGTACAACATTGTGTTGTATCGTGAAACATTTAAACTTTGTTGATAAATAGAATAAATTAATAAGACATGTAAGAAAAGAGGTGTAAGTGTGTGAGTAAGGTGATATCTCTTCAATTGGTAAGTCAGATTTGAGCATTTAGTGCTGTGGAAGGTAGGTGCCACTTTCCAGTTTCTATTAGTCTATCCATTTTGAGGAAATTTTAATTTGATATGTCTCACATCAGCTTTTTCAGTATATCATCCGTCTTTTAAAATAAGAAACAGGTCGATTCGGTTCTGCCAACGCATTAGTACAAATTTAAATTCAAATTTCTCCAACGTATACTAAGTGACATATAAATCCGGACACCCAGTTTAAATGGTTTTATTTTAATAAAATTTTGTATAAGTACTTGATGCAGCATAATAAGTAAATGATAAAAATTTCAAAATGATTGCACTGCTTTAAAGCCCTTTGACCTTTAATAATGTGTGGATGCACCCTGATGTGCTACGCATTCTCCAACGCGCCTAGGCATGCTTCTGATCAGGTGGTCAATGTCCTCCTGTGGTATCTCATTCCAGGCAACCACCAACTCCTCTCGAAGTGCTTCTAGAGTCTGAGGTGGACGTTGCAAATTGAGCAATCTCCTACCCATCATATCCCACACGTGCTCAATTGGGGATAAGTCGGGAGATCTTGGTGGCCATGGTAACAATGTGACATCATTATGTTGAAAGAAGTCGATTGTGACTCTTGCAACATGTGGGCATTATCTTGTTGGAGTTGGATCTGCCAGGGTGTCAAGATAGGGTAAAAGATGGGGTTCTAGAACTTCGTGGATATAACGCTGCGCGTTCATGTTACCTCTGATGAAGATTAAAGGTGACCTGGAACCATAAGCTATAGCACCCCAAACCATAACTCCAACAGTGTGATGAACATGTCTTTCAACAAAAAACTGTGGATTCCTCCTTTCACCACGTCGCCTTCTAACCCTGGCACGACCATCGTGCATGCCTAAACAAAATCGAGACTCGTCCCTAAAGACAATACTGTTCCATTCCTGATCCCAGAGTGACCGTTGTCTGCACCACTCAAGGCAATTACGTCGGTGTTCTCGAGTTAAAGGGAGGACCCAGTGTGGCCGGTATGAAAACAAGCCAAAACTTCTCATTCGTCGGCAAACACTTCGCATGTCAATAGGTCTTCCGTGTTCTGCAAACCATTCATTTGCAATGGACCTGGTAGTGGAGAAACGGTCCCTTACGGCCAATAATCTTAGGCGGCGATCTTCACGGTCAGTGCCCCTTGCTCTTTGCGTACGGCCTTCTCGAAGCCATGCCTGACAACACCTAACCACAGTGTCTACACTTCTTTGCACTCTAACTGCAATTGCCCGAAAAGAAAGTCCAGCTTCCCGAAGTCCCACTATACGGCCCCTATCAAACTCACTAATTTGACGAAATCGTACAGGTCTCCGTACTCTAGGCATCGTAACCGATCATAAAGGATGTCAAGAACCAAAATCCGCCAACGTTGATTCTTTACTGCGGCTGAAATATTCATTTTAGAGCGTTAGTGAATTAAAAAAAGCAGTATAACAGGTGGGCTGAAAAGTCCGTATCGTTTCTATGAGATGGCGCCACCAGAATAAAATCCATACGCTTCTTAGCTAGTACCAACCTTCAAAAGATGCCTGTCAAAATTTGACAGCTGTCGGATCATTAGTTTTTGAGTTATCGTATCGAGAGTGACGCTACTTTTGTTATTTTTGAAAACCATGGAAAGTCAAGAGTTTCGTGTGTTAATGAAACATTATTTTTTGATGAAAAAAAGTGCCGTCGAATGCAAGAAATGGCTTGATGAGTGTTATCCGGACTCTGCCCCGGGCGAAGCAACCATTCGCAAGTGGTTTGCTAAATTTCGTACCGGTCACATGTCAACTGAAGACGACGCACGCAGTGGACGCCCAAAAGAGGTCGTTACGGACGAAAACGTGAAAAAAATCCACAAAATAATTTTGGGAGACCGCAAAATACGGTTGATTGACATAGCTGAGGCCTTAAACATATCAAAAGAACGTGTCAGTCACATCATTCATGAATATTTGGATATGCGAAAGCTCTGTGCGAAATGGGTGCCGCGCAATCTCACATTTGACCAAAAGCAACAACGCATCGACGACTCTGAGGCCTGTTTGGAGGTGATTTTGCGCAATAAAACCGATTTTTTTCGCCGATACGTCACCATGGATGAAACATGGCTCCACCACTACACACCGGAGTCAAATCGCCAGTCGGCCGAGTGGACGGCTGCATCCGAACCACCTCCGAAACGTGGAAAGACGCAACAGTCAGCAGGCAAGGTTATGGCCTCTGTTTTCTGGGACGTGCAAGGAATTATTTTCATCGACTATCTTCAAAAGGGCCAAACTATCAACAGCGACTATTATATAGTGTTACTGGAGCGTTTGAAGGCCGAAATCGCCAAGAAACGGCCACAAATGAAGAAAAAAAAAATCTTGTTTCACCAGGACAATGCGCCGTGCCACAAGTCCATGAAAACGATGTCGAAATTGCATGAATTGGGCTTCGATTTGCTCCCCCATCCACCGTATTCTCCGGACCTTGCTCCAAGCGACTATTTCCTCTTCTCAGACCTTAAGAGAATGCTCACCGGAAAAAAATTTCACAGCAACGAAGAAATCATCGCCGAAACTGAAGCCTATTTTGAGGACAAGCCGAAGGATTACTACCGGAAGGGTATCGAAAAACTTGAAGAACGTTATAATCGCTGTATAGCCCTTGAAGGCAACTATGTTGAATAATAAAAGCGAATTTTGACGAAAAAAATATTTTTTCATTGAAACGATACGGAATTTTCAGCCCACCTGTTAAAAACCGGAATGTCCAACTGATAAGGCTGAAAATTTTTTCACTTGTTATTTACAGTAACATAAATACATTCACCAACTTTTATTAAAATAAAACCATTTAAACTGGGTGTTCGGATTTATATGTCACTTAGTATATTTATTAGTTTGAAGCCAGATAAAGAATATAGAATAGTTCACAACAAAACTCAAAATTGTTGCTATAAAAACATACGAGTAGGATTTAAAAGCATCTAAACATGAAAAAACAATTTGTGATTATTCAACATATTTGAAACCAAAAAATGTTTGATCAAAAATGAGTGGAACATGAGAATTAACATTAAAAATGCATTGTCACTTGCTACGCCACTGGCGAGGAAGTATTTGTAATAGCGAAAAGTTTCGAAAATGAGATATATAGTTTTTTGGATCATGTCACTGTGGTTCTGTCGCACTATAACTTGAAAAATGCAGGTTGAATTTTGGTGAAATTTCCACATAAGGTTACTACTATGCGCAGGTCGGAAAAAGCTCCTAGTTTTTCGAAATATGTCCAGTGATGGCGAAGCTTGGGGGCAGAAAACTAAAATAAAATTGCCCAAACTTCTTGTTTGCCGTTTTAGATGGTCATTTTCACAAAAATTTGTAAGGGATTGAAGATTATGAGTTGTAAATGTTTGATATCAGTGCAAGTCGTTTATTAGTCAGAAATTTGTGATCCTGATAGTATAACCCACCAGTTAGACAGGATATTATACATATTCCGTATAATATTTACGTCTGTGACTCCAGGAATACGTTACCTAGAAACACGCGATATCCTTTACCTGCGGAAGGTTTGATCCGAATTCAGCATAGTCGACCGTGCCCCAGCCGCAGCGTTATCGATATAGTCAGCGGCAGTTAAAAAATAATAATCCGGTTATGAGAGTATTTTATACTTTAACATCACTCCTGTATCCATGACCGGCGAATAGTAAAGTCCAGAATTGCGTGGCAATAACAGAGTTGATCTACATGACGCCATTTATTTGTTTATGATTTGAAAAGCCCCAGTTTACTGTTCAGAAAGTATGAAATATACTCTGTAGAAGGCCAGACAAGACCTAGCCTCGAGTACTACTCACACGTTTGGGGTGCTGCCACCCCGACTACATTATCGATACACGATGCTGTTCAGAAGAAGGATGTCCGACTGATGGATGACTCTTCTCTAACGGACAGTCTCGAGACATTATCGCATGCCAGCCAGACAGATCCGCCTGACTTCGGCCTCCCATACTAACCGCAGCGAACTTCGCGCATCTAGAACTGGCCGATACGACCGCTCCTTTGTCCCTAGGTTATCGTGCGACAGTCTAGTGCAACAGTCTAGCTGAGGAGGCTTTTCAACAGCTTTACTAATGTAAGGCTGTTTCAAAATCGGATTGACAAAGTTTCTTCCTCCTCATAGCAGGTGGGGTACCCTTTGGTATAGTATAAAAAAAGAATGGCGTAGATTTTACTGTAGAATACCACATATAGTGACCTTCTCAAAGAAAGTAAAATGGAAGTTAACAAAAAGGGAAACTTATTAAACACTAATTTCGGTTTCTACAAAAAGAGCATCTGCATACCCACTCGCCGCTTTATTCAATGAGATATCACGATCTAAGTTTGGCTCGATAATGGAGCTCAGTAGAACGCGAGTTGCAATGTCTTCGTCGACACAGCGGCGGGCCTGAAAACGAGGAAAAATAAATAAAATTATGACTGGTACTGCTATTTTTAGGCCAGTCCTGAAAGAATGCGCAACTGAAATAACTTGGGATATCCGCAGACACGGTTTTAAAATGGATCATTACAGGTTATGTGATGGTCGGTGATCAGTGATCAAATGGTGGGCTTATGTTGATCAGTGACAAGATGGTATTAGGTATGACTTAATTGCAATTAATACTTTTTGGTTCTTCGGCTCGGTTATGGTGATTATTGTACATAGGGTGGCAAGAACGACGTGAAACATTTTGAGAATTAGAAATACATCACTAGGGATTGAGGTCTTGCACGTATAAGCTAGAAATAATACTGCCGTCATAAGCGCAGTAAGTCCAAAAAATGCGAAAATGAGATATTGTCAGTATAATATAAAGGCACGTAGAAGAAGTATATTTCGATGATAAAATACAGCTTAAGTCGTGATAAATATCAAAAAAAATTATTTTTTTCTTTTATCTAAAGTATCTAGTATTTTTACGATCATCTTAAATTGATATAGTATCTGCACAACGATAAATTAAAACATAGTAAATGACCCGTAATTATTGTATTCTTGCTTAGAAACAATACGGATACCGTGTTTTAATCTATAACTAAAGCAATGGCAATAGCAGATACTATAAGACATACTCTTAATCACACCTAATACAAAATATTTTTAATTACTTTTCATCGCTCATTTAGTATATATTTGTGTATAGTATACTGTGATAATTTTTTATAGGTGCAATAAACAGCATGGCGTAGTAGTTACTGTGTTATAAATTAAAAAATCAGTAGGTCAGACAATTCTGCGGTATCAGTATATGTTTTTTTATTTATTGATAGGCATCATCGGTAAGATCCATGAATTCGTTAGAAAATATTTTCAGGGTACATATCAAAAGCATTCTTTTTCCTAAAAAGTCACATTTTGGAAAGGATTACAACACGTTTTCGCTTCTGTAAAATACGAAATTAGCAGATCCCATCTTCTGGCTTATGACAGCAGTATAGTTATATCTATTTTTTTCGATTTGAAGTTCTGGTATTTGAATCAATAAAACCCAGCATTATTTTCCATCTGTCTGTCAGCCCGTAGTTTTGAACTTTTGACACCACGTAATATCAGCAACTGCTGCACCGATTTTAAGACCACAGTAGATAATACTGCGAAATACCTCCAAGCAAAATGCATTCCCTGTGCATTTTGTCATTTTTTGTAGTTTCTTGTATTGCCGAATTTTAGAAAAAAATGCATTTCCATTTTCTGTCTGCTTGACTCCTAGTTAATCCATTTTTTTATATAAATTTAGATGAACATGAAACTGTACAAAATGACACAAGCAGATTGCATTCATTTTTATTATACATTTTCAAGTGTAGAGACTTTTTTCTGAAAGGGGCATAACATGCATTGTGCGTGAAAAATACAGAATCAATTTGCGTAAATTTACTCTTATCCTTAAAACAGATATACATTTTTTAGAGAAAATAGCTCTGGATAATGATAAAAATAGGTGACATGTTTCTTTACTCGTAGTATTACGTACGTATGTACATGATTCCAAAGCATGGGAAAAAAAGTCCAAGGGGTGATTCTCAGGACTATTCTAAAATTATTTTATTCTTTGGTAAGCCGCTCCATTTCAAAGGCACATAATGGAGCCAAATTTCCGAATATATCAGCAAAATTCACAGTGAAGCTCGTTAATCTAAAAAAAACTGTCCAAACTGAATTTGTTAAAAGCTCACAAGAAACCATACTGATATTGCGGAATGTCAATAAGAAGTGACTCTAGTGTATTTGAAATTAGCTCGGCAATTGATAACAAAGAGATTAGAGAATTGCATTCTAGTTGGAAGTATTTGTATTAGAAATGATATTCTGCGAAAATGTTCATTATGCACATGAAATGAAGCGTTTTGTTTTTCGAAAATTGTCCAACGAACAAAATAATATTAGTATTCCAGAGAATCGACCCGTGAGTTTTATCCCATGTTTAGAAAACACCCAGTATATTCATTACACTGTTCTAGATGATACCTCCATTTTTTTATGGTATACTAGGTCTGTAAAGTAAGTGGTGAGACTGATTTTTTTAATTTTTATGTTCAAATATAATTACAATTTTGTATTGTCACTCTCAACATAACTGGAAACGGTTTTTCCACTCATATCAGTGCTGGAACCTCGATATTGGAATAGCCTTCAACTGGCTGGTTACACTCGTTTGAATGTTTTCGACTGTCGCAGGTACTTTTTAAACTTCTGGAAGAGAAAAGTCACAAGGACTCAAGTCAGGCAAATGAGGAGGCTTAGGTGCCGAAGGAATATTTTTACTGACCAAAAATTCGTTTATTGACGTTGCTGTGTGACAATGAGCATTATCGTGTTGTTCTTGATCTGATGAACGATGGTGTGGGTCAAATTTAACTCTTCCCCGACAGTTATCAACCGACAATCTGAACGCACAAGATCTCGGATTATGTCGATATTTTTATCGACTCGCTTCCTTCTGAAAATGCTTTGAAACACCGAAAAACCTGGGCTCTTGACAAAACCTTATCTCCGTAGGCCTGTTGAAGCTTAGCACGAGTTTTCTTTGCACTATTCCCAAGTCTGAAGCAAAACCTGATAATACTCCGTTGCTCGAAATTGATGTCACCCATTTTCGAACACAATAGCAAAAAATCACAAATCACAAAAAATCGATACACACAACCAAATGACTCGAGCGAGTTGGAACTTGTACTGAAGGCGGATCACATGTTCCCCCATCTCCCCTCCAAGCCGGGCTCCTCCAGTGTTGCCAGATCGAACGCTACGTTGCCAGTGTCAATACTTAATTTGCAGACCTCGTGCTGTCTGAATATGTTCCAAATGTTAGGCGTGAGTGACATGTACTTATAGTAATTATTCAAATTATGATTAATTACATATTGCTTTCACATATTATTTCGTTAGAAAATGGAAGTATAGCTACGGGAGAAAGCCACCACAATCATCTCAAGAACGGATATTTAAAATCCAATGGCTGTTTGACACAGAACGGAAAAACCATTTCAGACGAGCACGATTACGAAGAGGAAAACATGGAACTGCGAGAAAAGCTAGAAGAAATAGTAAAATTGATGCTAGTGATATGGTGCCAACAAAATAAGGCTCTGTATCTCGTCAGTAATAAACGAAGTGGTTAGTTTCTGTTTGTGTGTGTGTGTAAATACTATTGCTATATCTTACTAATACTTGTATAACAAGCAGTTCATAAGTAGAAAACCATATAAGCTCCATAGAAACCCTATTAATCCCTTCATTCTGACATTCTTTGTTCCACCATTACTTATTTATTTTCTGAGATATAAACAAGAGACAGGTATATTAAAGATAAGGGTGTAATGGGTATAAACGCATTTCAACCATTTTTTTATGAAACATATTTTGTAGAAAAAATAGCAGTATGGAAATCCAGCTTAAGTCTCTATCGATCAAGCATTGTACAAAATGAATATGAAATTTGATGTAATTCCGTGACGAATGAATACCAAGAGTCAAAATCCGCGGTTTCAACAGTGCCAAGATATTCAAAATTAAAAAACACAATGATGTCCGTTTTATTAATTGCATTAAAATTACACTAGATAAAATATACCTTAGATGTGCTAAATTAAGACTTCAAATATAGATACGTACTTAAATATAGGTATATGACCTCTAACCAAGGCACAGAAATAAATTTTGCCAATTTAAAGTTACATTGAGAACTATGATTACTTACAAGCTCGGCATTGCCAATTCTCATGCACTTCAGCATTTTATTAGACAATAACAAAATGTTTGAAAAACAGTTACAAATAAATGTACCTATGTAAATAACTGGTTGCTCTGGCTTAATTGTAAAAAAATAGGACCTGAGAATGGGAAAAATGTATTTTTTGCTTTTATTTTGAACGATTTTATGTATACTTATATTGCATAAAAAAGTTAAAAATTTTGCACACTTTAATACCCCAAGAGTTATCCGCACTAGGATAAAATGTTGCTCGAATGTTCTTTGAAAATTATAATATCGATATGCAATGTAAAAACATTTTGGATTTTTCTTAATGCTCATCGCCTAACACCTACGACCTTTTTCACAAGTATTTATTCCGTTTTGGCGTCTACTGAGGTGCACAGCAAGTGGCATCTTTGCATTAAAGTCGATCTTCCGTCATAAGTGCAATTAAAATAAAATAGCATCAGAGATGGGCACCGTGATCATACTTGATTCTCTCACACTATAGGTTGCCAAAGTCAAGCGTGGGAACCGTTTTTCATTAAAATTTATATACATATCGGTATTTTTATATAGATTTCTCGCTATCTCAAGAATAAAAATAATGCTGGGCAGAATGAAATACTTAATTGTGAGTGTTCTGAAACAAACCTGGTCCAAAAATGTTGTTTGTAGAAATGGCAAGCGATTAACTGAATGCAAGCCAGTTTTTCAACAAAAAAATAAACACTGAAAATCTCGAAAACTATGACTTTTGATGATACAAAAGTTTGCGATATGACGTGACCTATTTCCAGCTCCAATTTCTAGACACCCGGTATATGGATATGAGAGAATAAGTTTTCAACATGTAGATATATTCGATTTTAAATTATTACCTATAGTCATCCCTAGGTATTTGATATTATTTACTGACTGCAGATACTTGTAGCCATCTGGTGTTCGAATTTGGAATTTGTAAAACGGTGAAGAAGTTCTGTTATCGGAAGAAAACGTAATGAAGTATGTTTTTTAAATTAATTGTCAAAATTCTTCCCGTGAAAAAAGTCATTATCTTTTGAAAATCCAATTCGACTTTGTTCTTTACAGAATCCCAATCATCATCTGAATACATAATCTATGTGTCATCTGGATAACCAATATTTTTTTCCATCATTCTTTAATTCGAAAAGATCATTAATATTCCCGATAGCATTAAATATTTATTAAATATTTTAAAAAAATGTTTGTTAAATATTTGTAGCGTCACATTTTTTTAATATTTAATAAATATATTTCTTATATATTCATAAAATATTCATTATAGATATTTATAGTATATACAATTCATATAATTTTGCGATATTTTTTCCAAATATTTAGAAAATATATGAGGAAAGATTTTTATTTTCAGTGTATATAGAAAATCCTTCATTGCTTATTTTAGCAAAATCTGTAGGAAAACTTTTATAAAATTGGGTTTATAAATTAAAGTCATTCTAGATATAATGGTTTAATTTGCTAGAAAAATATCATTAAAAAAACATTCTAAGCCTCTTCTGCATCTGGCACATCCACTCCTCTGAAAAAAAAACTATTTTGTGATTTTATATTATAAGTGAAGGGACAAAAGAATGATATTTTCGACTGTTAAAATTTTTTACAAATAGCATTTTTGATGTATCTCTCTCTCTCTCATTGGAATGTTATGAATATGATTTTCGTATCCATTTTCAGATAAATCCACCACTGTCACACTTCAAGGCTAATTATTTATGGTCTTGTAAATACCTTTGTACTCAACTGGCAAGAATGCTTACTAGTCTGATAAATTAAGCTATGTAATTATCGAAAAACTTACCCTTTTCCTAAAAAATACTAAAAAATGTACCTCTTGGAGTACACAGGAAGCACGCTATCATAGTGAAACTCACAGGCAAAATGGATGCCAGCAATCGGGTCGGCTTACCATTATGCCATTGGTCGCTCGGGATCACACGCACATGCGCCTTAGCCGAAAGTATTTGATGAATATTTCCTAAACAATGTAGATTTAATATTTTCCCACTGATTGAAAGTAAATATTTAATAAATATTATAAAATAAATGTTGTATTTAAAATATTTAAAAGATATCGAATAAATATTTAATAAAAATATTATATTCCAAATATTTATTAAATATTTGTTTAAGATAACAAATATTTAATGAATATTTCGTGGTACCGGGTATATAGATGATATAATACTGGTCCTAACATAGTTCCTTGTGGAACTCTATACCCAACTGCAACGTGTTCACTTAGTAAGTTATTGATATTAACACATTATGTTCTATTTTGTAAATAACTGTCCGTAAGATTATAAGTTCTACCTCGAAATCCCAAATTTTCTAAGGTAGTTAAGAGTTTTTTATGAGTGATGCTATCAAAAATATTGGCTAAATCTATAAAAATGCAAGCTGATGGTGTATTGTTGTCAATGTACTTATCAACTTTGGTAGTTGGTTGATGAATGAGGTATAGACAACCCACATATCTCTAACAGGTAGCGCCGCGCTAAGATTCTTACCAAAGTGTGCCGACCCCTTACTGCAATCCAGTATAATCGTGTACATTCTGTTTTCAGAATGCGACAAAACAGTGATAGTCCACCGAGAGTGTTCTGGCGAATTCGGGTTTCGCATCCACGGTTCCAAACCCGTGGTGGTCAGTGCCATCGAGCCTGGAACCCCAGCAGAGGCGAGCGGACTCGAGGTGGGCGACATCGTCATAGCTGTCAACGGTGTCTCGGTGCTGGATCGAGGGCATTCGGAGGTTGTCAAGATCGCGCATGCTGGAACGGACACACTCAAGTTGGAGGTGAGCATTTCAAGCCCGGATCTAGTCTGTTAGGTAGTTAGTTCGTTAGGATGCACGTGTGGGACAAATCTTGAAACTGAATTTGGAACCAATTCACCTTAACGAACTGAGCTGAAACTTTGGACGCCTCTCTGGTTCGTGTGACAATACATAATGAATCAACTGCCGCCATTTTGAATCTAATATTGCGTATGCTACATAGTAACATAATGGCGATCTATCATGTCCATAGTATAGGATAAGGGTATCGAATGAAAGAGATGAGAGAAAGCTAACTGACGTCATTCTAAATCCAATGTGACGGAGGCCGATTAATAATTTCCATAGTCACCCCTCTAATATGGGCATCAGATGAGAGGGTGAGAAAAACACAATAAGCAAAGTGTTGTCATTTCAAATCAAATATGTCAAATGTCGCAAGATGGCGTTTATAATTTATATAGTTAGCCGTATGATATGGTTATCGACTGAAAGTGCGTGATGAGAGAGACACAGTAAGCAAGGTGTCGTGTGACGTCATTCTAGATCTAATAGGGCCTTGTTTGATTCCTAGTGACAAGTAATCTAGTCTTACGATCTGATAATTAACGTCATCTATTGTGTAAATAATACTCACTATAATAATTATAACAAGTTTCAACTTTTTAACACTAAATAGTTAGCTAAAATGTAGGTTCAATCCATTGGGCAAGAATACTTAATAGATATAAGTACGTCCCTCGTATTTACAAGAAATTGTTTCTTTTTTGCATTGTATGCATTTGTTTGCAAAATATGCATTCATATAAGTAACTATTTTTGCTTGCGGCAATAAAACAGTACCAAATACCTTATAAGAGTTATTCTCGTTTTTTCACACCTTATATTTATATACTAAGTGACATATAAATCCGAACACCCAGTTCAAATGGTTTTATTTTAATAAAATTTTGTATAAGTACTTAATGAAGCATAATAAGTAAATGATAAAAATTTCAAAATGATTGCACTGCTTTAAAGCCCTTTGACCTTTAATAATGTGTGGATGCACCCTGATGTGCTACGCATTCTCCAACGCGCCTAGGCATGCTTCTGATCAGGTGGTCAATGTCCTCCTGTGGTATCTCATTCCAGGCAACCACCAACTCCTCTCGAAGTGCTTCTAGAGTCTGAGGAGGGCGTTGCAAATTGAGCAATCTCCTACCCATCATATCCCACACGTGCTCAATTGGGGATAAGTCGGGAGATCTTGGTGGCCATGGTAACAATGTGACATCATTATGTTGAAAGAAGTCTATTGTGACTCTTGCAACATGTGGTCGGGCATTATCTTGTTGGAAAGTTGGATCTGCCAGGGGTGTCAAGATAGGGTAAAAGATGGGGTTCTAGAACTTCGTGGATATAACGCTGCGCGTTCATGTTACCTGTGATAAAGATTAAAGGTGACCTGGAACCATAAGCTATAGCACCCCAAACCATAACTCCAACAGTGTGATGAACATGTCTTTCAACAAAAAACTGTGAATTCCTCCTGTCACCACGTCGCCTTCTAACCCTGGCACGACCATCGTGCATGCCTAAACAAAATCGAGACTCGTCACTAAAGACAATACTGTTCCATTCCTGATCCCAGAGTGACCGTTGTCTGCACCACTCAAGGCGATTACGTCGGTGTTCTCGAGTTAAAGGGAGGACCCAGTGTGGCCAGTATGAAAACAAGCCAAAACTTCTCATTCGTCGGTAAACACTTTGCATGCCAATAGGTTTTCCGTGTTCTGCAAACCATTCATTTGCAATGGACCTGGTAGTGGAGAAACGGTCCCTTAAGGCCAATAATCTTAGGCGGCGATCTTCACGGTCTGTTGTTCTACGGCGGCGTCCAGTGCCCCTTGCTCTTTGCGTACGGCCTTCTCGAAGCCATGCCTGACAACACCTAACCACAGTGTCTACACTTCTTTGCACTCTAACTGCAATTGCCCGAAAAGAAAGTCCAGCTTCCCGAAGTCCCACTATACGGCCCCTATCAAACTCACTAAGTTGACGAAATCGTACAGGTCTCCGTACTCTAGGCATCGAAACCGATCGTAAAGGATGTAAAGAACCAAAATCCGCCAACGTTGATTCTTTACTGCGGCTGTAATATTCATTTTTAGAGCGTTAGTGAATTAAAAAAAAAAGCAGTATAAAAACCGGAATGTTCAACTGATAAGGCTGAAAATTTTTTCACTTGTTATTTACAATAAGATAAATTCATTCAGCAACTTTTATTAAAATAAAACCATTTAAACTGGGTGTTCGGATTTATATGTCACTTAGTATATTATCCATTTGAATTGAGCATTATGATATAAAATTTCTTAGAAAATTAATTCACTCTTTTATGTATAAACTCACTATCTCTCACTATGTTCTCACTACTTTTTTGAAAATCTCACATTTCTCACTTAAAGTCATGCTTTGGGCCGCCAGCACTCATACTTTGGGAGTTCAATCCCATGATGAACAAGAAAACGTCCAGAAGTATTGTGGTGCCGAATATTAGGTACCTGGGACCTCCATAGGGCTCAGTACGAAAATTTAAAGAAACGGATACTGCATCCTTCATTTCGAGGGTGTCAAATACATAACAACATTTTGTTACATAATAGAATCTAATGTATTTCGCTTCGTTTTTCATTTGCAGGTGGCAAGAACATGTTACGCCATAAGCACGTCGAAAGAGGAGCTGCATTCTTCAAACAACACCCTGTATAATGGATATCTGTGGAAGTTGAGTGGCTATGCGAGCGGTACCACCACCAACAAATGGATACGAAGATGGTTTTGCCTCAAACAGAACAATTGCCTTTATTATTATAAGACTGACAGCGTAAGTATTAAAAATAAATACCAAATAAGTTGTATAGAGTCCCGCTATAGATTCACCCTCCATCTAACTTTTTTGCATGACCGTTTAGAAAAACATGTTTTATACAAGACTTGTAGAAAAGTGCTTCTCAAATAATGCACCCTGTATATTGTTGGTCAAAACGACAGTCGCTTTTTTATAAAGTTTATCGTACTTATTTTCATTAATTTGGTCAGAAACTTAAATTTTGCGTCATCTGTTTATTTGCATCTGGCATAGGAATAGGGACACATAAGATTCAAATGTTTTTCAATTTTTGCCAAAATATGAACTCGATTGAGGCCATTAAAGAATAGGGCCATCTTTTATTAAAATAGGAGAATGGAACTTTTAGGGTCTTCCAATAATCTCAGCGAGATTGGCATCAGATTCGTTGTCGTCTACGTACCCGAATTACCCAAGGAACAGGTTTTGGTCCGAGATTGTCCCGATTCATCAAATTCAAAACCTCTTGAGACTGGATAGATTTTCTACCTTTTATCATGAAAAACTTAATAACTACAGTTAGCATAATAAACCGAATTTCCGTAATGTCTCCTGAAACTTATCCTGTCATTATCGTGTTCAAATGACATTGTCTGGCCGAATGAAATCATATCTATGTTTAAATTCCTGTTTCCTACTCAGCTTGTGTTTCCTTTAGGCAACTCTTGCACATTACCTCAATGCTGAAAGTGTGGTGAGTACTTGGGTGCTCCCCTAAGTGACGCCAATGTGGTGGACTCCTTGTTTGGCTTCATAGCGAACACTGTCACTCAAAAATGCCACTCATAGGTGGCTCATCAGTTCTATTGTTTTTCAAAGAACCCAATTTCTCTTGTTCACTTTCAGTCATCTGTCTTCAAATGAGAAAACCTATTCCGTACTGATGATTTCTAAAAGGCATGAACCAATGTTATATACGGTTGGTCACAGAGATTCAGCCTGTACACTATAGTTACACCTCTATAATAAAATTTATAATAGAGTAACTATAGTGTATACATATTTAATATGTCAAAAAGATGACAGATGAAAATGAGTACTTGATTTTCCAGGATAAACAGCCAGTGGGTGTGGTGATGCTATTCGACCAAGAGGTCCGTAAGGTAGATGATGATGAGGGAGGTCTATCGAAACCATACAGGTTTATCATTCGAAGACCTGACGCGGTGCCTCTACAACTTGCTGCCGATACAAGCAATGCCCAAGAACGATGGATCGACGTTATATGTAAGTACACAAAAATTGGAAATGGTGCGACAGAGCACAAGAAACGCTAAATCGCTTCCCGTAGGTTTTGTCCGAACACGCTAGTCGTCTAACCGCATTGCGACTACAGCTGCAGTAATCTGGTTCCGATCCCCCTGCTCTTGTAGTTCACGAACTATTCGGTAATGGACGAAAGCGTATTCCATTATGTTGAATCGAAACGCCTCTCCAACGAAAACGAGACAGAAACACCACCATTTGACAACGAAACGTCATCAAATTGGATCAGTCGCTATCATAATTTCGAGCGTTTGGCAACTGTTGAAATTTATTGCTAACAGTCGCCAAGGTATGACGTCAGTCATATGCTCCGGCCTCAGAACTCCGACACCGCCATGATTGATTTCAACTGACCCTTCATTTATAATCAAGGCCCATGTGAAACAACAAAAACGAGTATTTTGATGGCTTATTACGTCTAGGCGTTCCATATGCCAGCCGATAATACTTATCTAAGCTAAAAATACTGAATTATTAAATCATATCAGTATGAAATGTAACGCCTATACCAGAGTAACAGGCTAATTAACACTTTTTTATGTAGGCCTTTATTCTATTGGTACTAATTTTTTTCAGGCCTAAATCTTCAATTTAAAAATATATATTTCTTGGACATGGCCCATATATTAATGTACTCTGTCGTCATACCATTTGTAAACAGCATCTTACAGCAGCATAACCTCTCAAACATTTAAACATGACTTCTATAACTAGTCATCAAAAATATAATAGTAATTATCGTTATTGAATCGGCCAAGAATGTAAAAACACATGGATGAAGACAGCATGAAAGCTGTGGATTTGAGTGTCCAGTGAAATAAATATACGTAACACTAAATTGCTTAAAGCATACCTTATGTTCGGGACATATTTTACTGTGCAGATTTTATAGTATCGTTTAAATTAGATGTAACCTACGGTATCATCGCCATACGATTCCCTTGCAGAAGTGCAAGAAGAGATACAATATTAGTTAAAATTATTCAGACGTTATGACGCATGAGCTTAGTTTTGAATGAAAAGGATTATGTGAAAGTGTATTACTTATTCTTTCTTTGTATGCCTATCATTATATCAGAAGTACTGTACTTACATAGAAGTCTTGTTCCTCAGCTCAGTAGAGGGATGAAAGCAAAAAAAATTACCAACCATCAGTGTGTCAATTTTGCGCAAATTTGTGCTTTCTGTAAAATTTAGAAATATACAGGGTATCCCGAAAAGAGTGTGCAATATTCTACCAGCGGTTTCTAGAGCTTAAAATAGGAAGAAAAGTATATAAACATAGGTCGACAAACGTCCCCTAAGGGCGCTACGGTCTTTTAAAGGGGCTCCCCTGAAGATGGTTTTTCCTTAATATTTCCGAAACGTGTCGAGATAAAGACATAAAATTTGGTACTCTAGCCTAGTTTTTTATGCTGGATTTAAAAATATTAACAATTTTAGATAGTTTTGTTTGGAAGCGTATGTAACAGGGACGGACTCAGGTTATTTTAGCCCTAAAATTTTTGTGTGATTCTATTTTTGAAATTCAATTTTAGAATTTGAAAATTTAGTGTTTTCTACATAAAAAAGGTACCCTTATTGAATATCGATAAATTGTGCCATTTTTAAATAAAATCAAACTAAAGAATTTGTCACATGATACGAAATGTTCTGCGAATTTAAATGAATTTTTGATTATACATAGTTAGCCGTGACTGCAAACAAAAGTTGTTTTGATTTGTTATGACTTATTTTGACGTTAAGCTGACATTGTTAGCAGTGTAAAATTACTAGATTCAAATCAAAATTTTTATTAAATCGATTTAAAATGCCAAGATTTACAGACAGAGAACTGACTGACATGCATTTTGTGTTCGGGTTTTGCAATGGCGGTTCATTGGCAGCCGTAAGAGAATATCAAAGATTTCCGAATCGCATAGTACCTGGGTGTCGAATGTTTACTGATATTCACGGGAATTTGTCGAACCATGGAAGTTTTCAGCGCATGCAGAGCTCAGGAAGGCCACTGGGAAATCATCGTATTGATATTGCTTTAAATATGTTTGAAAATAATCCGCAAATAAGCATACGAAATGTTTCAGAAATTATGGGTATACCTCGATCAATAGTAAGAAAAATTTATGAATACCTATTTGATAGTTATCCTAAAAATAATAATTTTGGATAGGAAGAATGACAAGAATGCAAGGATTACATCCTTATCATTTTAAACGGGTGCAGCATTTAACGGAAGCAGATTTTTTACCACGAATCGAGTTTTGCCAGTGGATATTAGCAAATGAAAACACTATTCCCAGAATATTGTGGTCAGATGAGTCAATATTTACTAGGAATGGTGCTTTTAATTTCCATAACATGCATCACTGGTCAGATGAAAATCCAAAAGTTGTTCGCCGTACAAATTTTCAACATAGATTTTCATTGAACTTATAGGAAGGAGTAATTGAGGATCAAGTAATTGGGCCTATTGTACTTCCCAATCGTCTTAATTCAGAGGTGTATCTAAACTTTCATCAGAATGAGCTCATGGATATAATACCATTGGATGTGCGCCAGCAGTTTCAAGAAAATATGTTTTTTTCAACATGCACATTTTGGACGCAATGTTCGAAATTGGTTGAATATCAATTTTGCAGATAGGTGGTTAGGCCGATGAAGTCCTATAGCGTGGCCGCCACGTTCACCTGACCTAAATCCATTGGATTTCTATTTTTGTGGGTCATTAAAAGACCTAGTTCACTCGACTGAAGTAAATACTCAAGATTTACTTCAAATAATCCAACAGGCTGCAAATGAAATAAGAAGAAAAAGGTTTTCCACTTTTCGGGCTACACAATCATTAGTTCGTCGAGCGACACTCTGCATTCAACAAAATGGGAATTTATTTGAACACTTATTGTAAAGATAGTTTTAAGTATATCCAACTGTATGTCTTCTTTTTTAAACAAATTTCAATTTCGTTCGTAGAAAAAATTTATTTCTTTTGTTTTTGCCTAAATGTTAGCTATGTTGCAATAGAAATATGTATTTATGTAATATTTATCAATTATTAAATTAGTTTTTTCGTTGCCATGGCTAATTATTCAACAATTCATTTGAATTCGCAGTACATTTCCTATCATGTGACAATTTTTTTAGTTTGATTTTATTCAAAAATGGCACAATTTATCGATATTCAATAAGAGTACCTTTTTATGTAGAAATCCTAAATTTTCAAATTCTAAAATTGAATTTCAAAAATAGAATGACACAAACATTTTGGGGCTAAAATAAGCTGAGTCCGTCCCTGTTACATACGCTTCCAAACAAAACTGTCTAAAATTGTTGATATTTTTAAATCCAGCATAAAAAACTAGGCTAGAATACCAAATTTTATATCTTCATCTGAACACGTTTCGGAAATATTAAGGAAAAGCTATCTTCAGGGGAGCCCCTTTAAAAGACCGTAGCGCCCTTACGGGACGTTTGTCGACCTATGTTTATATAAACTTTTCTTCGTATTTTAAGCTCTAGAAACCGCTGGTAGAATATTGCACACTTTTTTCGGGACACCCCGTATATTTTTTTAAATTGGACTTATATATCCATATTGATATATTTCGTGGTTCCTAAGCCAAATATTGTAAGAAATACTCGTTTATTCTATGACATTAGATAAGTCAAGTAGCCTATTATTCATGTTATTTGTTTTTTACGGTTTCAATTATGTATATAAATACCAAAAATACTATATAAAACGACTGTTCTTTTTTTTAGGTAAAGCAGTGAACGAGAGCCAAATAGTAGATGATTTCTTAGAGCAGACGAAACGAAACCTCCTGTTGCCGCCAAATGCGATCCACCAATCAGATTGCTTCGGTTACTTGGTGAAGCTGGGCAACCAATGGAAATCGGCTAGCAGGCGATACTGCGTGTTGAAGGATGCCTGCCTCTATTTCTATCATGATGCCAATGCCAAAAGTGCTTTTGGTAGGTAGCTATTAGGCGGAAATCTGAATGAAAAAAAAAGATCCACGTTTCAGCATGATTTCCCTTAAAAAGGTATTTCTTTACGGAACTAACAAATCACCAAAAAATTACAAAAACCTCTTTCACTGTGACATTGAAATAATTTTTTGGAAAAGATGGCTCACACAACAAAAAAAAGACGTGTGTTGTGTATTTCGGAGATGTTTTTCTCGAGAATTCATCAAGAGTAAGTTTATTTAGTATTTAATGTATCGTATATTTGATATGGAAGCGTAGATTAATTCGGGATCACATCCATACATTTTTCCTTGCGCACTTTGGAAAAAATCCTGCGAGTTCCTATAATAATCGACAGGATAGGTACTAAATTGGTGCTGACACCAAGATCAAAGGGACCGGCAATAGCTGTCACATCTGTAGGTAATCTATGACATCGAAGTATACAGTTCTGAAACTACCCTTTTCCGAAACAATTGCTTTTGTCATAAAAAAGCTAAGGTGCGGCGAAACACAAACAAAAAAGTAAATTCAAAAAATTCAAGGAAGTACCGCTCATCTTATAGGAAATTACAAGTGCCACTCAATGATACTTAAAAATACTGTTTGAAGTTGTTATTCATCAAGATTTGTCGAAACCCAATGTATCGGTTATCATAAGACTGTATAAATGTGTTACCAGAGAAATTTAATTATTTTTACAAGAGCTATACGCCGCACCGTGTAAAGAAAAAACTCAACAATAAGAACACCCCCTGTATTTTTATCATATCATTTATGTTTTTGGCGGTTTCCTTCTGAATACATTTTGATGCTGAGCTGATTTTTGGGTTATTCACAACTATAACGTATGATTTTCTTTTCTTTATGTAGGAGTGGCCTACTTACACGGGTATAGAGTACAACAATCTTTATCAGGGACAAAGAAACATGCCTTCGAAATCATACCACCCGACCCTAGCAAAAAACACTACTATTTTCAAACAGAGACAGATGCTGATAGAAAACGGTAAGAACACATTTAATATCACCACATCCATTATTATTTGATTGAATCCTTACGAATTATAAGCTCTCTTAAGACAACGTGAACATTTTTAAAACATATACTAAGTGACATACAAAATGCAACACCCAGAATTATTTATTGAATTTTGATAAAAACTTGTGAACATATTTGCTATCATGTTTACTTAATATTCAGTGATTTTTCTGTGTTTGTTCCATTTGTTTCATTGCATTATCATGCCTAGAGTTCGCAGACGCGCTAATTTCACTCATCTTTCCGAGTTTAAGAGGTATCGGATAATCCTCGGATACGTCAAGCCAGATTTTTTTTAGAGAAATCGCTAATCGGGTGAATCGCAATGAAACTACTGTAATGAGACGCTGTCGAGCGTCATTCCAAGAAGGCCGAAATCGACGAGTTAGCGGTACTCTCCGTCAAAGACTACAGCGCGACAGGATCGTTATTGAGGCAACTAGCACTTAGAGATCGATTTGAAACGGTAAATCGTAAATTCTCAAACAACTATTCCGACTCAGGCTACGCAAAAGTTTTATTTTGGACCTCCATTGTCTTTTTGAGATCACGATATTTCGATTAATGAGGTATCTTCAATCGTCTTCAGGTGAACTGGAGAACATGTTCCTTCCGTGGCTACTTATACTCAATTCGCTTACGTATCCTATAATATTGTACGCTAATAATGAAGGATTGACATAATCAGCATATTGCCCTACATTGATACTGACATTGCAAGAATCACTTGAGGGCTGAAATGTTATTAGAATAATTGCTCCAAATTACACATACTAATTCTATTTATTTTTTTCGCACAGATGGATAGCAGCGTTGGAATATTCCATAGATAGGTGGTTAAAAGTAACGTAGGTGCAACAAATTCTAGAAATAATTTAAAATACATTAATTTTGTAATATTTTTTATATGTACGATGTATGTTTGTTTATAAATGTTCATTAAATGTAGGAATACACACACCTACCAAAAATGCATGTTGTTTCCTATGTATGCAAAATTAATTGCTCAAATATTCTGATTTTTGTGTTCCCACTTCTATTTATTTGAAACACAGTTATAAGTTGCCACGTTGCCCTTAGAGTTGCATATGGCGATTTGTAAAAAGATGTTTATTATATATTTATGGACAGATATATAATTTGTTTTTAATAAAATTTCTGAAAAAAACAACGATTTTGGTTCACTTATTTATGTATTCAAATACAATATGGATGAAATCACATTTAGACATCTACTATAGGTGAAAATTTCAGTATTCTTATATGACAAAAATGAAACTGTAAAACATCCACAAATTCGATAGACTGTACCTCCTGGATAGAGGATAGTCGTTATGCTTTTATTTGTTGTCCAGGGACGATTGACCAAACCTAGACCATGCTAATGAGTAGGCAAAAAACAGGAAAGAATTGTCCAGGGTTGGCTGTCTTTGGTCGGACGGATAAATGCAGTATGTTTTAGTAAATAATAAATATGTTGAACAAAGAAGCGTAAGTAAAAAAAACTACACAACTCAGTTGGCACAGCATATCTAAAACACGCAACCGAGAAACCCCCTAAAAATCACCTTGAATTTTTGGTCCAATTTATATGACCTATGACCTCGAACAATCGTGTCGCTTGACTGACGTATGATACGCGTTTTGAACAACTCGGCAGCGGAAGTGAAAGAGAGGTAGCGGGATGCTCTGCATAACAACTGGAATTCGAAGCCGCATTTCCTCCATTCCGTCGAGCCGCTCTAATAAATTAGTCTACAGCACCAGCTGCCAACTTTCATATGTTAGAGGCAAATTCAATCCGACCCACGCCAATGCTCCTAGTTCTCTCAAGCTGCCTTGGTACCCCATCTGGCGGCATTCAAGTTAAACAAACCAAATTGGCAAGATATCCGCTTTCTAGTTTCACCACGCAGCCTCGTGCACACGCACCACGGTATCATCGTGCGAGGCGCGATCCCATCGGTACCCAATTTTCCTATATCTCAAGTTGTTTACTAAACATATTGGCTGTTGCGGATGCTCACATCCAAAAAATCATATACATGCTACTATCCTTACTCGTCCAAATGCTACATAGCTCAATCTCTAATTAATAGGATGTCCGTTAAACGATGTGCGAACTCCTGTTCATATCAACGTGTGTATTAGATAGATATTCTGTGTTCACGGCGACCAAGACACATATACAGTTATTATCAACAAGAAATTTCTGACTATAAGAGACAGTCCAATATGGTCATCTAAACAAATCATTGATATGATGTTGCCTAGCTATGCAATGAACTGATCTGTTCCACTGTAAATGACCATTCAGGACTGTCAGAAATTGATTATTCAAAAGAACTGATGATAATACAAATATTCAAAAATAATTTAACTCTATCTTGTAACTATTTCAACAATGATCACAGTCAACATCAGTTGAGCCCTGAGTGAGTTCTGGTGCATCTATAACAGCAAATTTTAAAAACCAAATCAAAAACCTTAGTCAATTCAACGTCCTCTGGGATCATCATTACTATGACTAACTTTTCCACTTTTTCCAAGTGTTGCCAGGTAATCTGTAGCTAGGAATGATTGTGGTATTTCTGTTCCAAAGTATACTTTAGTATTTTGAGCCAAAGCCTCATACTTTTTCAGCTCTATGTATTCTGGCGTGTGGAGTAAAGTGTTAGCTTTAGCCTCCTGTTGCATTTTATAAAATCCTGCATCTGTGTGACTCTTTTGTCTAGCAAGATGCATTTCATCTTCAATTTGAGCAATATGTTGTAAGGATTCCTTTTCCATAATTTTTTGGTCAAATTGGATCCTTGCGATTTGCGCTTCCTTCTCTGCCTCTATTACTGCTCTTTTCCGTTCAGTCTCAGCATCCTTCTCTACAACCTGGAAACAAGCGAAACGTCATTTAACACTTTAGCTTTCTTCCTTAAACAGGTGATTTTCATTGCCTTAGATTAAGACCTCCAGCAAAATATGCTGCTTCAATAATTGCTAATTGGTATTCACTCTGGAAATTAATTTTTCTTAACGATACATAATAGTACAATAGGCAATAGGGTTGCCTATCCTCAGTCTAACCAAAATACATTTGTTTCACAACACTAATGCTGGATCGCTTCTTTATATTACTTGTCTAGGATACTTCACTTCCAAGCTTCACTTTACATGATCACAATTATTTTTCCAAAAAACCTCTGATACAGAGTAGAACCAACACCTCATACCACTTAAAAACAAGTGAATACAAGTAAAATGCAATAAGGATGGTTTAGCCTAGGGATGTACAGGTAGAGATAGGACTACCACAATGTTGTCAAGTTTCATACTCCAAAGCTAGTTAGGTATAGGTACCTATGCAGCGATCTACCAATATAAATTTCTATTTGTGGCCTGTGACCTGCCGCGTGACGTTTTGCTGTAAATAGTCATGTGTCGTTCGCGAACGAGTCGTTCAGAATGAACGACTCATCTATGTGAGCGATGATTGAACGACTCTTTTGCTACATATGACTCGTTCAATTGTGCAAAGCGTGTCTGCACGTCTGCAGTATCCAGCAACTGAACTGCGAACTGACAACATACACAATCTAGGGAACCCGGTTGTTTTGTTTTGAGATGTCTCATTAAATTATATGTTGAAATGATGGGAATTGGGAGCAAAAATTGCATTTTGATTCAGAATTCGGTAATTCCTCAAAACCGAACCACATATCCCTTCTTTTTTCGGAAGAATGTATACGTTCGTTACATTCAACTTCAACCCAAAGTATTAATACATAAATAAATACAATAACATCGGCAAGCCTAACCCTTCATTTCATTTTCATAGTATGATGTGAATTCTCAGTCGTTACAGTAGGCAACACAATACTCTCATCAGCTTCGAGGCCAGTCGGTAATTCTATCATTCAAATGAACAACTCCGAACGAACGACTCACTGAAGAGAGGTGAACAAAATGAGCGACCTCAGAGGAAAGAGTCGTATGTCTCAGGCCTAGCTGTAAATATCTAGCTTCAAGGAGCAACCAATGCAGTGTTGCCATATTTGAAGATTTTTCCTGTGTTTTAAAGAATTTTATATTTTATGTAAGAAAACTAACAAAACATGGAAAATCATGCCATCTAGATCATTGCATTCAAGATCAACACTCAGCATATATACGAGGTTGTTTTTCAAAAAAGGAATTATGCTTTACCTTTTGATGTTGAACAGCAATCAACAGTTGAGTCTTTTCACCTTCCATCAATTCATAATTTTTCCTGATTGCTTCTGGTATTTTAGGTTTGGTAACCCTAACAGCTTGTATGGTAAGACCAGGTGCCATTTCAAGAAGGTCTTTTTGTAGTGCTTGTTTCAGATTTTCATCAATTTGATCAAACAGATCAATGTACACTTCATGCAATGTGTGACTACTACAAAATTGGTTCAGCTCATGATGAACCTTATTGAAAATAAGGGTCTTATCATAATCAGCTGTATAGTTCCTTACTATATCCAGAACTAAAATACAAATAATGATGTTAAATAATCTAGATAATCTATTTTCATGGGTAAAGAGTAAATGAATGCAGCAGTGAGATAAACTGGGAAGAAAGGCCAATTTACATTTCAATAAGTACAGTAGCGAGTTAAGAAATCAGTCAGTTAAGTATTAAGTAATAAGTATTAAGTGGAGTTCAAACATACGCGAGTTAAGTAGTCATAAGTTGCTGTTCCAAGTATAGGACTAGTTGCGCCTTCCGTTGTTTGTCCCCTTCGAAACAGAAAATGGACGTTGATTTATTTAATACCACTGTGCGTGCTATAATAAGAGAAATAGTATCAATACTCTTACAAGTTCTTGGCTGTATGTCGATCTGATACTTTTCATTTTAGAGATAGCCTCCTTCAGGCCTAAATAACTTATTTTCATGACCACACAAATTTTAATAATTGCCGCATCTCTAGCTAGTTTATTGCGGTAATTATTGCATTTTGTATTAAATAAACACTCATGTTTAAGGTATTCTTCTACAAATGCAAAGGTAGTATTATCAGACCACTTCATTTTAACACGCCAAAATAATAACACATGGTCGCAGTGCGCAAACTTATGGACTGTACTAAACTCAGCCGTCTACACGTCAGTCCACGTCAGCCAGTTAAGTTGGCGGGGGTGCGGGAGACGCGAGGGAGAGGGCCACTTCGCACTGAACTCACCGAAAAATAGGATGACGATCTATTCAAGTCAACTTAATTATCAACTTATAACTTAACTCGCTTTTGCTGTTCAAATGACAATAACAACTTAACTCGGCGATGACGCAAGTTAACTCGCTACTGTACTTATTGAAATGTAAATCGGCCTGAAGAAAAAATTGAGAATCTATTTTCTACTATGCACATATTCTTTGTCTAAACATGCATGTTTCATCTGTAGCCCAAGACTTATCAGTACATCTAGGTAAGCTAACAGTAAATAAAATGATTCATTTAAGATCAAATTATAAAATACCTGTAAACACAATATTTATAATGTCTTTTACATTCTTTACATACCACTTTCTGCTTTCAGGTGATTGACAACCTCAATACGATCAAAATATATCATGACACCTCCACTTGTGCCACAAGGAACGTTTTTTACCTCATCTGTTTGCAATGTCACCTAAAAAATATTGTTCTTCATAATTGTCCAAATATCTAATTCAATAAAATACGTGCCTGAACAGCCTTATGAGTGGTTAATAATGGTATCATCATATGATATCCTGGTTGACTAGTTGTCGGTAGCAAAGCGCCACCCTACAAGAGAAGCTTTAAAAAAATGCTTAACGTGTAGCTGTAGTGCTTACCCTAAAATAAACACCCACATGTCCCTCGTCTATTTTATGTAAGGAGTACTGGAATATGAGAAACATAGTAGACAAAACGGACCCTATTACAATGTGTTCCATTAGAGCAGACACCCTCAGAGGCATTTTAAAGCCCACCAGTTGTAAAAAGGTCTGTTACTGCACAGCTTACAACTTCGCATAGACATATAAAAATCTAGCTTACATTAAGCTACATTTATTATCATGGATGCCACTTTCAAAGAAAAACATAACATTAAAATTTCCAAATGAGGTTAAGTTAGAGGTTTGTGGGTTGCCTTCATTGCGTGGAGCCACAAAACAAAAAGGAGCATAGAGCCTAAAATATTATGATTAACACTGCCAGAATACGAAAATGGGCGTGACAATAGGCCTTGAATGTATCAATCAGCAAAGACAAGATTGGTCACATGCCATCACACTACCGTCTTTGCTTTATTCATTTGCTCATATTTAATCTATAAAGGCGCGTACAGACCTACAAACGCATGCGGTGAGCAGCCACGAATACACATACGCAAATGTAGACGGCGCATTCGTAGCCTCTCGCCGCATGGGTTGCTTCTGACTTGAGCACACATGCCGCGAGCCAGAGTGGTGTCGGTTTTTTAGCACACATCAAAGAAACATACGCATGCGTTCGCGCTCAGTTTAGACGGATAACGTGGAGATTTGCTGCATTTGCGAGACAAGTTAGGATTTATTGAGTTTTATTCATTTTAGTGATTTATGCGTAAAATGGAGTGGTCAAATGAACAATGTTTGCAATTAATAGATTTGTATGAAGAAAACCCTATATTATGGGATCCAAAAAATAAGTTTTATTATTCAAAAACAAAAATAGAAGATGCATCGGAGTCGATTTCAAGAAATCTTAATATGGATTTAGCAGTGGTGAAAATGAGCAGCTTACTTGGGTCTTTTAGGTCTCAAAGGAGCAAATGCAAGAAGTCCGTGGGTACAGGAAAAGGTATTGTGTTTTTCTTTAAGTAAATTAACAACGGCGGCTGAACTTTTAGGGTTTATTCATATATTAGATATTTTTTAAACAAATATACATAATTTTAAACTTAAAGATATATATAAAAATATAGCTTAAAAAGTTATAAAAATAAAAGTCCACTTAAGCTTATATGTAATAATGGGTTTATTTATTTATTAACTGAAATTTTTGTTTCCAAATGGTTTGCTTTTGAACGGATGAAATTTCTGCTTGACAAAGACCAACCAAATTGCACCCTAGATACCGAAACTCGAGAAATGGTAAGTATTTATACATGATACACATTTTTTAAATTAGGCATAATTATCTTGCCAAGGTACACGTCCATTTGTTATGAAATATTCCGTAAATTCATTTCTAACCATTTTTGCGTGTTCGGAAGATCTACGTGGAATATTTTGAAGAGGCAACAAACTATTGGCATTGTCTTGAGCAGTTCTCAATTCTCCTGGTATGTTTTTATCTGGGCCATTATCAAAAGTTCCAGGAGGTGTATATATATATTTCTAGAAAAGGGAGAGTTCCTTAGAAAATTGTGAAGATACGCTATAGTCATTACAATGATTTTTACTTTTTCTGGTTCTAGTAAAATTAGCTTCCCTAAAATGCGAAAAACAGCAGATGTAATCCCAAACACATTTTCAACTATTCTACGGGCCCTACTGAGTCGATAGTTAAAAATCCTATCAGGTGAACCTTGACGGTGCTGTCCTGAATAGGGCTTCATTATATTTTCAGTAAGCGCAAAAGCTTCATCAGCTACAATTATGTAAGGTACAGGTCGATCTCTACCGGGTAGTGCAACGTTTTCAGGAAGGTTTAATTTTCCTTTCTCAATAAGATCATACAATTTCGTATGCTTAAATACTCCACCGTCTGAGATTCTTCCTTGAGATCCGACGTCAACAAATAAAAATGAATAATCTGCATCAACCAATGCCAAAAGAACAATACTAAAAAAGATTTATAATTGTAGTATTCACTCCCCGTTTTAATAGGATTTTGTATTATAATATGCTTCCCATCCATTGAACGAAAGCAATGTGGAAAATTCCAAATATCTTGAAATCGATTTGATATTGTCTTCCACTCTTGTGGTGTAGTGGGAATCTAAAAAAAACACTGTGTTTAATATTTTAAAAAATTATTAAGAATGAGATTTAAAATTTCAATGTGGGTACCAAAGGCAATAGAGGGTGTCCCAATATTCCGTGGACATAATGTATAGCAAACGGATCTGTGCCTGTGACGACCCTCTTTTCGAGATATCATTGTTATCGTTAATTAACGGACAACAATAAAAATACATTGTTATATGCAGTCACCTAGGATATGCTGCATTCTTTTATGAGGCATAGAAATGTTTGCCAGACTATAGAAGCACCTCGTATTAAAAAAAATATATTCACTATTAATCTAAAAAAATCTACAAAATTATCTACCACACACATGCATACTAAACTCTGTTATTATTTGTAGGCCGATGGAGAAGTTACTGACCTAAATGAGTCTTTAACCGAAGAAGAAAATGTAACTAAGTCTGATAATAATGTGACACAGCCCAATGACCTGAATGCGGAAGAGACAGTTGACTCACCAAACGGTACTGCTGTAGAAAAACTTGTACATGGAAAAACTTCAAGTCGAATAGCAAAAGAGCCTCAGATTTTTCAAAAAAAACGTAAGGTAAACGAAGATCCCAAAGTAGCAGAAGCTTATAAAATTATGAAGGAGACACAGGCCCGCAGTTCTAGACGAGAGAAAGCTGAAGATCGGTTTGACATCTATGGGCAACACATCGCGTCAAAATTAAGAACCTATTCTAAAAGAGCAGAACATGCTATCAACAATATACTTTTTGAAGCAGATCTAGGAAACTATGACGGGCCGTCTTCTGGAAGCTCTTTTCAGCAACATAGCCTAGTTAGTCTTCCTCTTCCCAGCCCTGCCACAAGTCAGTATACCTCTTATTCCGACCCTCTAACAAATACATCAGCAACTGAGAGTAGTCAACCTTCAAATAATATGGATACATCTGGATACAATATACCAACTGCACAGAACTTGTTTGCAACTTTTAACCCTATAAGCTATACACTAGAACAGCCAACAAATACTTCTCAATAAGTTTTTCCAGTTTTCATTTGTATGTAGAGTAGCGGCGGGTAATATGACATACACCGTCTGGAATACCATCTAATTGGCTAAACTTATGCTGCCATCCAGTGGTGGCCGGTGGCTGTGAGAAATGGGGGGCTATTGTAGGGAAGGGTGGCCTGCCGCAGTCACCGCCGGAGGCAAAGAATTTTTACGGTGCCACGCCCAAAAACTTCCATTTTGAGCCTTCAAATTCAAATATACATTTTTAGAGCTATAATTTTTTTTGCATTTTTTATGTCCTGATTTTGTGGATGGATCAGTTGGCAATCCTATACCTATATATTTTATGTACAGTCCTCTGTATAGGAACAAACATATTTTAGGTACGAGAACTTATCGCAAAAGAAAGCAGCATCTAATATGAAAGCAACAGAGCATCTATTATCAAAAGAACAACAGTACTCAAAAGTATAGTTTTTCACTTTCTTACAACACATGTAACTATAAATAACTGGAAAAGAGAACAGAAATACGGTATACCTAAATGTATTATTGTATTATAAACGACTAAGTATACCTACCTACAGCTAGAGCAAACATTGTGTTTCAACTGTCACACTTCACACTTCTATTTATTACAAAATATTTTTTAATGTTTATATGTAAAGTCTAATCTTCTGTCTTTCTGTGAAATAAAATGTTCCATCACTTTTTCGTCGAAATTGCTGATATTATGTACCAGATTCTTATTAACAGACATCATTGCCAATGCATTCAGTCGTTCATTGCCCATCGAGTTTCTTAAAAACGATTTTATCCTCTTAAGGGTTGAGAAACAGCGCTCTGCTTCGGAAGTTGACATGGGAGTAGTTATAATTATTTGCAACAACTTAGTTACTTCGCTAAAAGTTTCCTCTAGGTTGTTATTAGTCAATAGGGACAGCAAATTCAAACCACCTGTAATATTTTTGAAGTCTTCCCTCATGTACATTACTTCTAATTCGGTTTTCAGTTTTTCTTTATTTACCATTGGATAATAAGTCACAACTGAATTCAGTATTTTTGCTGGAAAATATCTCGAATAGTTTGTGAAGTTTTGTGTATCTAATAAAGATGCAGCTTCTAGATGACCCCTGTAAGAAAGTCTCTCTTTTGTCTGTACAATTATTATATCGCAAACTTCTTTTGCAATAATACAATTTCTTTCTTCGGGTCCTACTTTTCTGCGTTTATTTCCATTGTCTCCATGCTCATTTTCAACAGTTTGCTGTATATCCTCTGTAGTGTCCCTAATCAATACAATGGCCTTCTCAAATACGTCAATATCTTTTAAAAGTTGTACACTGTCTTTATTCCTACTTTGAAACTGGTTAAACAAAATAGCTACGTGCGGTAGGGTTTTGTGAAAAAAAGTCAAAAAAAAGATGAAATCAGAATCTTCGAGTGCTCTTCTTAAACCGTATGCCTCCTTACTAGTAATTGTTTTATCACATTTATTCTCTAACTCCCGGAAACAATCAATAAGACTTTCACGGTTCTCAAAAACGGCACTGACTGTGCGAATGTTATAATTCCACCGTGTTGGCGCAACCTTTGGCATTTTGGTTTTAACTATTTTTTCCAATAAATCGCATCTGTGCGTGGAGTTGGAGAAGAAACTTGGAATTGCCGACAGGTTTGAAAAAAACACTTTTACTTTTGGATTTTGGCTGGCTGCTCTCTGCATAATTAAGTTCAGTTGGTGAGCGTAACAGTGTATAAAATGAGCGTTCTGATATTTTTGTTTGATTTTTGTTTGAACTCCACCACTGCTACCGCTCATTACGTTTGCACCATCATAAGTTTGCGCAATTAATTTGTGGGGTGAATCTTTTAATAATGGGCCTAGTTCTTCTTCGATACACTTTGCCAAACCTTCAGCTGTCTTGTCCGTAACGCTCAAAAAACGCCAAAATCTTTCTTGTATTTCACCTTCATGGAGATATCTAAATATCATTACCATTTGACAATGATGTGAAATATCTGTTGTTTCGTCGCACTGTATAGCTAAAAACTCTGCTGCATTAATTTGCTGTCGAATTTCTTGTTGGCAGACTTCCAACATACTATCTAGTATTTCATTTTGTACTGTTTTAGAAGTACCCTTAAACAGAGTCGCACTTTTTAAATGTTCCTTTAATATTGTATCCAGTTCGGACGTAAAATTAATCAACTCTCGAAAAATGCCACGATTTTCAGAGTCTTCACTTTCGTCGTGCCCTCTTAACGCTAATTCCAATTTACCGCAAAACTTTATACAGTTTATTATTCTTTTTAAAAGATATCTATTTTTGTCCACTTGCTCGTTGTGCTTAATAATATTTTGCCTGTAAGCGGAATCTAACTGAGCAGCGATACTAGCTGTTCCCAATAAAGCTAATTCTGTCGAACAAATCATGTGACGAGCCGAATTTTCATGCTTACTAATTTTCTGGTTTATATGCTTTAAATCTTTAAATCCAGTTCTTGTCCATGTCTTTTCCGCTGCATCTGAATAAAACAGTAAGCACGGAAAACAAAACAGGGCGTTTAATGTGCCACAACCGCATATCCATTTGTTTTTGTTATAGATATCTTTCTTAAAATGTCTCTTAAAACAACCAGCTTTCGTCGATTTATCAGCCTGAGTAAGGTTGATATTTGGAATCGGCCTTCCAAGGGATTTTATTATTATTTTTTCAGCAAGCGGAAGCCGAGAAAATTCACCTTTTAACAAATTTTGTACTTCATTTGCCATTTTAAACTTTTTGAACGCCCGAACGACGGCACGGGGACGCGACGAAGAGATTTCGTACACACGTAAATCGGGACTGGCTAAAAATTATTTCGCCAACTCGCGTGTTAAAATCCCGTATAAAACTCGTAAGCGCGTGGGAGGTATGACGTAGCGAGCCACTCAATCAGGTCGGCGATCGCGGCAAAAATTATTCTAGCCTCGAATCGATAGGGAATCTAGCTCGCGACTTCGGGGTATTGGGATCGGATAATATATATATATATATATATATATATATATATATATATATTGCGTGTTGCGTAACTGGCTACTATTAAAATTCAGGTTTTGATTGAATTTTCGTATATATCTGGAAATTATTTAATCACAAAATCATATTTTAAATTTTTTGTTAATTCGCATTTTGTCTTGGGGGGCTGTAGCCTTTTCGCCCCTATGGACCGGCCGCCACTGCTGCCATCTATAAGGCGGTAGCAAAAATATGCTCGTCGTGAGTGCAGATTTATACCCAAACACGCGCATAACTCTGTAATCTGTAATCGTTGCCCTGTACTGCACCTAGAAGAATTTATGACTAGAATAGGAAACAGTATTCCATATTACCCGCCGCTACTCTACATATTATTATGTATTATTATGTAATTAGCATTTAATTTTGTAAATTACTATTCAATAAGAATAAATATTTGGTTTCGTCTCAATACTTTACCTTTATGCACTCCCGCAAGTTTTCAATTAGGGCTAAACATACTTCGGGTACTATTTGTGAAACAGATTGTTTGGAAACTTTGAAAAGATACTGGAGACTTGTGTAAGAATCCCTTGTTGCCAGAAATCTTAATGTTATCAGTAAACGTTCTTTAACTGGTATGGCCTTTCTTAAGACTATCTTTTTTCTGTATTACGGGGCCTATATGATTTAAAAGGCGTTCAAAGTCTTCTACTGACATACGTGTAAAATTTTGAAATTGTCCAGTATTGGGTTCTAACGTCAAATCTACTAGTAAATCGGACTTCATTTGTAGGGTTCTTCTTTTAAATAACTGCGTCGTCCACCATCGCCTATTTTTCCTTTGTTTTTTCTTTTTTAATGAACTAATAACCACAAACGCGGCACTAACCATAAGCAGCTCCTCAGACATTTTTTCACGATTGGATGGAGCGCCTTGAGCACGCATGCATATGCGGTGATTTTTAATTTCAACGAATGCTCTGAGCGCGAATGGTTTGAGTACGCACGCATATGTGTGGCTTCTCACCGCATGCGTGTGCTAGTCTGTACGCGCCTTAAGACGTGGTTTAGTACGTGACAAGTCGCACGTCATTCCCTGCTGTTTTGATGTAGAGGCTCTGTGTAGAGGTTTTGAGGTTATGTGGCAAAGATTTATGGAGATTGGAAAATTGCAAAATTTTTAAAGGACAAATTATGGGAGAAAAAAGCCACAAGAAAAGTGTTTATGATAAATATGTTGGCGGCCCTCATGGCTTAGGTATGACATAAGGCACTAAGAAGTATCTCAAAGCAAACTATAAAATCGTATTTCAGGAGATCCAGATGACAAGAGTCTGAGAAAGGTGGAAATAGATGTGATGATTCCAAAGAAAATGAGGGAAATCGCTAAAACTGAGAAATGTTTCAAGGAAGTAGAAGCATTCACAATTTGTTGTAAAGATAGTGGACTATTGATGGTGTGGAAGTGTAGGGAACAAAATAGCATGTTAAAAGAATGTTTAACTCATTGGTACCAAGATGAGGACTTTAGAAATAGGTGTACAAAAGAATATTTAGAAGAAAGAACAGAGTACAGAAGAACGGGTGTCACTTTGAAACAAAAACAGAGAATAGGATCTTCTATGTAGGGATGAAAATAATAGCCTAGTATTTAGTGTTAACTATTTTTTTGTGAATATAACCACCTTCTCACTAAAAGTTCTTCAATCAAAACACTTTGCATATTTTTGTAATCTATACCATTCTCAGGTAATGTTACTTTACAAATAATCAAGTCTTTTCCAGCAGTTTCACTCAGTCGATTTAAACCCATAACTGATGGATTTTCCATTGATCTTTGCTTCTCTCCAGATTGAGGATTCACAATATTGATTACAACAACATAGGCTGCATGAAAAAATGAAGGTCCTTGTTTATACAGTACTGAAAATATTCTATTAAATTTGTGTATAATGTGTTCGCTTACAAACTTACAATAATCACCTCCAAACTTAATACCAGGTTTAACAACCCAATTCTTTGCTCTAAAGTAGAAGTAAACTGCATAATGAACTGGGAAGTCTTTGTTAATTTTACAAAATTCTTTCCATACTTGTTCAATTTCCAGTACTTCATTTTCACTTTTAATAACTAAACATTCAACAGCATGTGTTAAAAAGAATGCTTCTTCTAAACTTAGACAGACATTCTCACTAAGACATGAGCTATCTATTTGGTATTCTGGTTTTAAATTTGTGATATAATCATCAATCTCCTCATTGTCAGAATCAGGTACAACTATAACTTTCTTCAAACTAGTTGATTTGAATTTCTTCCTATGATTATACTGCCTACTTCTGATCAATTCTGTTTTATCACTATTTAAATGAAAATGAGGAAAGCTCCTTGAAAGGTTTCCTTTTCCAAAACAACCCATAGAAACTATTGTTTTCATATCTGCTGGATCTTCTACTACTACTGTAAATCCATTGAATGTTGCCGGTATTTTCTCAATTGTACCATCTTTTTTCATGATCACTGGTAATGGTAAATCAATTTTCAATCTGTTAGGCCTTTTTGGCTTTGGAATTTGCAAATCCATGTTTGAAAATACACGATTGCTTGTTGTTAACCTCAAATTTTTTGAGGTGTCAAACATAAATGTGTTGTCAAATGGTTTTTTATTGGCCGATTATGAAGCCACGCCTTTTCCATTTACCCACAAATGAAATGGGACACGTAGGATTGAAAATGGCAGATAGTTTGACATGTTCCGTCCCATCCACCATTTCCACGACTATACAATAGTGCCATTATAATAAAAAAATATTACCTAGCAGCAGTAAGCCCCCTAGATATTTCGTATCTATTAAGTTGGCATTAGTGCGTTCTGCGTTGCGTTTTGTAGAAAGAAGTCGATAAACGATAAACAAGTGAACAAGTCATAAGACTTCCATTCCGATCAGTCAGCTGATTGTCTAGTTAAAGATTTTCAACTAAAAGCAAAAATTATTGTTTTTCTTAACTGTGCCAAGAAATAATTTGAAATGGCAGCGAATTTGCAGGGTGCCGGAGATCCCAAGATCAAGGAAATAATAACATCTTTGGACGATGACAAAATCGGTATGTATATAAATTCGTATTTTATGGCTCTAGAATTACCTTGTATCCAGTTTTGATTGCTATTTATGTTTAAAAAGAGGTTTTTGTCTTATTCGTATTGAACTAGCCCAATTTGATGTTTTTAGGCGTGTTTACTCTCTCTCCTCACGTGACATTTACGCCAGTGACCATGAACATTTTTTTTTGACATGTTCATCTATCTTTGGACCTTATCACCAAAAATTGTATTACTTAAATTGTCCGGAGTGCTATACTGACAATGCAAAACGCAATTTCAGACATGCTGGCAGCAACCAGCGTGCTGCAGCAGACTGCCACAGATATTAGGAATCGCAAGGTTAACTGGCAGCCCTATCTGCAGTCCCAGATGATATCACAGGAAGACTTCAACTTCATTGTAGCCTTTGATGTACCTGAAGCTGCTCAGAGAGAGAATCTAATCCAAAGCAATAGGCTGCAGTGTGCCCAAACATTCCTAAATCTCTTAGGGCACGTATCAAAAGATACAACTTTGCAATATGTGCTGGTTTTGATTGATGATATGCTTCAGGTTAGTTTGTGACTTCATGTTCATTATGTTTACGTGAGAAAAGGCAGTCTTTTGAACTGCAAATGATATTCAAAGAAAATGGAAGTTTAATTAAACCTTGAATGACTCATTATGTTGCCATCACACAAAATTTTTCACAGATTTTGGCAGATAAGTATCAATGCCATACAAAATAAGTAAACAGATAAACTAACTGTACCTTAACTAACGGAAATTGGACATAACACAAACTGTTGTTTATTAAAGCAAAGCAATGGCATATTTACTACTTATTTAAATTAGTTAAAAGCATTATTTAATGTGCCGAATGTACTAAGTATGACTCTCAGCATTTTATAGTGAGGATTGTTTAAAATAATGTTGACAATATTTGACCTCTTTTATGTGTGAGGGAGACGCATTTATGAAAGTGATACTGGGAAGTTTTATTTATATTGATCATGAATTTTTCTTTAAGAATGATTGAAGGCAGCATTTATGCACAAACCCTTTGCTATGATACATGATATGTAACCCTCCCAGTTATACAAGATACATCTAGCTAATTAGAAGATTAGATTAGATTAGAATATTATTAATATATATGAAGTTTTTTTTTCTGTATATGATGTTTATCAGCTTGTTTTCTGTAGGAGGACCGTTCGAGAGTGGAGATATTCCATGAGTATGCCAACAAGAAAGGTGAGTCGGTATGGGGCCCCTTTTTGAACCTCCTGAATCGTCAAGATGGTTTCATCACCAACATGGCATCCAGAATAATTGCAAAGATTGCTTGTTGGTCTCAGACTCCCATGGAACGCTCGGATCTACACTTTTATCTAACTTGGCTGAAGGATCAACTAAGGATGCAGGTATTTAATTCAATGATCTAATGTTGCACTCCAGCTCACTTTTTTTATTTTGCTTATAATAATTTTTTGATAATTTTCACAAAAGTATATTGCACATTTGGATCAATTTTTATCAAGAATCAGATACATAATAATTATAGTCTAAATTAATAGAATCATATTTTTTCTAAACCCATTTTGTATACAGGGTGTCCCAGAAGTCGACGTCAAGCCGAACCCGGGTGATAGGCAAAGTCATAACAGCTATCAGAAAAATATTTAAAAAAATTTTATGTATGTGTTTTGAAAATTATAGGTCTTTGAAAAAGATATAGAAATTTCACACCCTACGGCAGTCTGTCAACTCCTGTTACTACAAATATGAACTTTTTTTGGATTTTATTTTTACAATGTAATGATGAATAATGCATCTTCAAACTGCTGTCTCAACCTTACTGCCAACTTTTCTCGTTCAGGAAAAATTGCCACTTATTTCCTAACCAAGTATTCCAAAGTAAAACTTTGCTCAACTTTAACTGGCTGTACTGGAAAAAAATGTACTACGAGAGTTTGGCAAGTAACCTTAAAAGTTGGCGCATTTAATAACGATTCCAAAATGGTATAACACTTAGAAGGTTACTCGTTAACTTATGCACAATTTTTATTTGAAAAAAACTGATGAAAATTTTTCAAAATTTCCTAAATAAACAGCGATTATGAAAACGCACAAGGACCCTTAAGGATAACTGTGTGCACAACAGTGGGCGTCAAAATGCTGCTGATGATGATTTACCTTTACAGCCAATGCTCAAACTGTTTTCCTTCAGCCGCAATACACGCTCGACATCTTCTTAAAAAAGATCGGGTTATTAAACGAGCGAATCCACGGTTATTAACAAACTCAGCTGCTTCCAATAGTCTTTGCCGTAGCTCAGCTACATTTTGAATCGGCTCGAAATACACTTTTTCTTTTACAGTTCCCCAGTAAAAAAATCTAAAGGATTCAAATCAGGTGATCGGGCTGGCCACGGTATTGTACCAAACCGCCTTATCCATCTGCCTGGAAAGTTTTGATTGAGATACTCTCTCACTGAGAGTGCATAGTGCGCTGGGCAGCCATCATGCTGAAACCACATGTCCCTGTAAATACTCAGTGGCACGTCCACCAATAAATTTTGTACATGATTTTTCAAAAAATCCAAATAAACTTCAGCAGTCAAAGTCTCTGGGAACTCAAACGGACCGATTATTTTACCTGTCCAATGGTTTATCTTGAAGCAATATTGAGATTTATCTTCTCTCATCAAATGTGGGTTTGCTACGTGCCACTCGTGTAAGTTATGCAGGTTCATGTACCCATCTTTCTTAAATGTGGTTTCATCCGACCATACAATTTTTTCAAAGAACTGTGGATCTTTCCTGTGTCTTTCTAACATTGTGCGACAAAAAGCAACTCGGGGCTCATAATCCCGGAGCAGGAGAGGTTGAACACGCTGTATGTGGTATGGATGAAGCACATCACTTACTTGCTATTGCACACTTTGATACCGATCAGTACTCCTTCATTTACTGCGCATCTTTACATGTTCGTGCTTGTTGATTTCGTACTGTTACTAATTTTGGATTCGTGAACTGGACTGTTGATCGCTTGTGATTTGGATTTGGACTGTTTAATTGCTCTTCAAAACAACATTTGCTTTCCTTAGACTATCTTTGATAGTGTGATTGTGCAGTGACGCTATGTCCGTGTACACCGTACAAGAATATGCTAACATGCACCTCATTTATGGGGAATGCAGATGCAACGCTAGTGCTGCAGCGAGACTTTACTGTGAGAGGTACCCGAATTTCAGCTCGTCATCCAGATCATCGAGTGTTCACAAATGTGCACCGCTTACTGTTCTCAGAGGGCCTTTATCAAACCAATCACACGGTGAGGGAAGATCTTTCCTTCCTTACGAAGACGTGGTGCTAGGAGCTGTCGAGTAGACCCGAGTACTTCAGTGCGTGCAATATAACTAAAAACAGGTGTGCCCAAAAGTACAGCCCATAGAATCTTGCAAAAAAAAACGTGCTCCATCCATACCACGTACAGCGTGTTCAAGCTCTTCTGCCCCGGGATTATGAGCCCCGAGTTGCTCTTTGTCGCACAATGTTAGAAAGATACAGGGAAGATCCACGGTTCTTTGAAAAAATTTTAGGGTCAGGTGAGACCACATTTAAGAAAGATGGGTACATGAACCTGCATAACTTACACGAGTGGCACGTAGCAAACCCACATTTGATGAGAGAAGATAAATCTCATTATCGCTTCAAGATAAATCATTGAACAGGAATTTTAAATGGTAAAATAATCGGTCCGTTTGAGTTCCCAGAGACTTTGACTGCTGAGGTTTATTTAGGTTTTTTGCAAAATCATTTAGAAAATTTATTGGAGGCCGTGCCACTGAGTATTTACAAGGACATGTGGTTCCAGCATGATGGCTGCCCAGCGCACTATGCACTCTCAGTGAGAGAGTATCTCGATCAAAACTTTCCAGGCAGATGGATAGGGCGGTCTGGTACAATACCGTGGCCAGCCCGGTCACCAGATTTGAATCCGTTAGATTTTTTTTACTGGGGAACTGTAAAAGAAAAAGTGTATTTCAAGCCGATTCAAAATGTAGCTGAGCTACGGCAAAGACTATTGGAAGCAGCTGAGTTTGTTAATAACCGTGGATTCGCTCGTTTAATAACCCGATCTTTTTTAAGAAGATGTCGAGCGTGTATTGCGGCTGAAGGAAAACAGTTTGAGCATTTGCTGTAAAGGTAAATCATCATCAGCAGCATTGTGACGCCCACTGTTGTGCAAACAGTTATCCTTAAGGGTCCTTGTGCGTTTTCATAATCGCTGTTTAATTAGGAAATTTTGAAAAATGTTCATCAGTTTTTCTTCAAATAAAAATTGTGCATAAGTTAACGAGTAATCTTCTAAGTGTTATACCATTTTGGAAGCCTTATTAAATGCGCCAACTTTTAAGGTTACTTGCCAAACTCTCGTAGTACATTTTTTTCCAGTACAGCCAGTTAAAGTTGAGCAAAGTTTTACTTTGGAATACTTGGTTGGGAAATAAGTGGCAATTTTTCCTGAACGAGAAAAGTTGGCAGTAAGGTTGAGACACCAGTTTGAAGATGCATTATTCATCATTACATTGTAAAAATAAAATCCAAAAAAAGTTAATATTTGTAGTAACAGGAGTTGACAGACTGCCGTAGGATGTGAAATTTTTATATTTTTTTCAAAGACCTATAATTTTCAAAACACATACATAAAATGTTTTTAAATATTTTTCTGATAGCTGTTATGACTTTGCCTATCACCCGGTTTCGGCTTGACGTCGACTTCTGGGACACCCTGTATATATTTGTACTGTTTTATATTAGATCAACTGCTAAAGGCTGCTTCTGTTTCAGTTTTAAGCCATACATACTGAATTTAGTATTTTTTTTAAGCTAATAATGCTTTTTTCTAATTTTTTGCTTTATACCTTGCACAGTAGCTTTTCATAGTCTTCCACCAAAACTTTATTTTTGTATCTACCTTATCACTAATAATTTACTAACACAATAAATTTCTATTTTACAAGCATAAAAATATTGTATCTTGTGTGCTAAAGCTGTCTGTATACTAACAGAAATTATTAACATCCTCATTTTTGTTCTTCTTTTATGTCAGATGTTCATGGTCTTTGTTATTGGATACATTTAGGTGTGTATTATATCATTATTTTTTAATGTCTTTCATATTTCAAATACAATGGGCCTGTGCACCAAAAATATTTTTGTAAATCAATATGTGATTTGATGAATTATCCAGAGAATATTAATATTTAAATTGGAATACCGTAAATTATTACAGATTGTGTTTTGTACTACTCTGTAACAATTTTAGCGTTCGCAATTGGTTGGCGTACCTATTACATGCGTTCGGAACAAAGTAATCCTTCTAGAAGGTCAAAAGTGTATTGTTATTCCCGTGCTTAAAACCTTGGGAATATGAGTGCTGTCAACTGTCATTCTCCTGGTTCATTGTTTACTTTATCTGCAAATAAAGTTTCACAGTGTTCCAGGGTAAAATTACATATGTCAATCTACGTCCATTACTGTGTACGGTATTACATTACCAAGTGATTTACGAGGGACGTCTTTTAAGTTTTGCATATGGAAATAAAACAACACGGTAGGTAGTTTTAAATGACTTTATTGTTTTGCGAAGTATTCTCCACGAAGATTAATACACATCTGCATGCGCTCGAACCAATTTCCGAAGCACTTATTCCATTCGTTTGCTGGCAGATCCAAAACGGCATTTTTTAATGCGTCAACTGCTTCTTCTGGTGACTGGAACCTTTGACCACGCAGTCTGTTTTTAATTTTCTGGAAAGTAAAGAAATCGTTAGGGCTTAGATCGGGACTATATGGAGCATGGTCCAATAATTCCACGTTTTCTTCCGTTAAATACTGTCTTGTTTTTTGAGCTGTGTGCGAGCTTGCATTGTCTTGGTGGAGGATGATTTTTCGAAGCTCGGTGATGACTTTTGGCAAACAAATGGTGGTATACCCAATCCACAGTAACAGTTCTTTGCTCATTGAGAGGAATTGCTGCAATATGACTCGCTTTTGACACAAATGTCGCGACCATCTTTTTCGAAACACTTCGAGAACGGATGACCTTTGTTGGCTTTTCTTCACCTTGGACCACCCAAACAGCCGACTGTCGTTTATTTTCTGGTTCTTGACACTAAATCCACGATTCATCACCACTAAGAATGCTGTACACATTTTTTGTGTTTCCAGAATTGAAACGGTCAAGCGTTTTTTGACACCAATTAACCCTGGCTGCTTTCTGCTCTTCAGTCAACAGGTGGGGTATCCAACGAGAAACTAATTTTCTTGCTCCTAATTCTTCATGTCAAATTTTTTTTAAAAATGCACTGTAGTGAGAACACTGCACGTATTGTTGTGAAACTTTGAATTTAAGTTTACTAAAGAGTGAGGTTAAGATTCAGTACTGACGTTCGATCCGCGCGGCCTACTATGTTTCTATATGCAAAACTTAAAAGACATCCCTCGTACAACCGCACCACAAGTTTTCACGTCACAACCTACCATTACCAATTCCCCCCGTTTTGCGCAATGCTCAAATGTCAGATCGACGTTTGAGAGGATAAAGGTTTACAAAGATGTCATGTAGGCAGGTTGGCAAACATTACCACAACAATACACAACAATACCATCGTCAGCTTGTCTGTACGATTCCCCGTTTTTATTCTCAATGCAAAAATCAAAGATTGCAACTCAGATAAATAATGTAGGGAACCCTAACAAAAAAAAAGGGGTGGCGGGCCCATTGGTCCGGTGGAATGGCTTTTTAGATATGGAGGAAAGTGCACCACTAAAGTTAACTCCAATTGAGAAGTACAGAACTGCACAATTTTAGCGGGGTTACTGATTTTATTATCTATCTACACGGTGTTAGCTCAATTAAAAAATGGAGCAAAATTGAAAACAGTCTGTGACAGTTAGTGGATCCTTGGCCATTATAAGATGCTCCAACATTGCGTTCAAAATTGCTCAATATTGTTCTAATCTGAAAATATGAAGTTTTGCTATTTTTAATGGGCTGTTGAGATATTAATCAATGGAATAATGATTAAAGCGATAGCATGGATATGACCATCTCTGTTAGACCTACACAACAAGACTGGTACTCGTATGAAGTCAATACTGTCTGTAAGGACGTGGCTCCCTATTTCACGAGTATCCATCACGCTTTGACGTCTACTGAGGTGAACATCTGATCAGCAAGTGACATTTTTGTGTTAGTCTACAACGTTGGCAATCATGAATCGGATATAAATCTAGTAAAACTTGCTGTGGCACTTTGTTTGTTGTATGCAAATGAACTTTTCTAAATAAAAAAGCTGTTAGCAAGTACAAAATGCATCTAAAGCGTACAAGAAAAACAAAACAAAATACGGGTCTGACTACTTGACGTTTACGGATCTGTCAGAATGATGTGTCCTGTGATGATATGGGAAATTTTGAGATATCACTAGATAATCAGCTGTCATTCTATCGTGATGGATACTCATGAAATAGGGTATAGATGCCACACACGCAGAACTTGAAATACATTTTTTGACGCAATGGCTATAGTAGATAGCCCGCCTTCATTCTTAGCACGTTTGGCTTCAACTCCACTCTGTCAGTTCACCTTCCTGTCTCCAGCCTTTTGGGCCAACATTTTAAGCATCTTACATAACCCCACTTTTGTCAGCTTACCAGTTGCATTTTCCTCCATGTCAGAGGTGCGATACTAGCACTCCAAACGGCCATAAAGTCTGTAGATAATAAATAATATTCAGACTGATGACATGAGAGAATTTCTCCTGTTAGTAAAATACCACGTTGTCCAGTAACATTGTCCCAGTAGCACTGTCGCCTTGTTATTAGGAGACTAAATACAAGATGGCTTGCACTACTGCAAGCCCGACCATAACTCGGAAAAAAGAAAAGCGCAGTTGCTTTGACATCATTCGCGGCGCGAACTCTATCTTGTTCGGGATGTCCCTAGAGGACGCCACCAGAGTTGCGCAAGAGGTACTAAAAGCGAAAAAAGGAGCACCGAGTGTGCTCTGGTGTGCTCATCTCCGTGTGTGGTAACGTTTTGTGTTCAGTGTTTCTAACCGGCGCTTTTGTGAAGGTATACGTCATGTGAGGTATACGCTCATAATTTTCAAATGCAGCAAACAGCAGTTTTATAATTACTAACTGTTGCAATACAGCCCAAGACTGATAGAAAGTGGCGCTACTGTGACATTTTCGCACAGTATTATAAACGCCAAATGCGTCGCGTTTTTGATCTTTTGAAGCTGGCTTGAATGGTTTTATAGAAGTCATTCCTTCTGCATTTCTTAATTATGAGCGAATATGATCTTCTGAATTTCTGTGGTTTAAGTGTTTAACCCTGCAATAATTTTATACTGGACTGTTCTATATTATCCTGGAACAGGATATCAATTCCAAGAAGGCCGCTTTAGTGTAATATGTATATGGTTTCTGTACTCTGTTGGCTTGTTCGTGTGCCTCATTGGGAAGAGAGTTCTCTGTTTGCTTAGAATTCCTACAAAAGGACAAATGGAGGAATGCAGAATGTGAAAAAAAATGGATTTTTTGCTGCTGTTTGAAACTCGTATCGATCACGATCATTGTAAATATTCATAGCTGTACAGATAATATAAGTCCAGTATTATGTTTTACAATTACAAGTTATATATTTGGAATTATTCGAAAACGTTGACGTACAAATAACGGAATCGACGTAGAGGCGGGTGCCATATTTATATTTCGGTCAAGCCATCCCAGTCTTCTTAATTTTTAATTTCAGCCTTATGACACTTCCATTAGCTGCTTGATTTGCCGCTGCTAGCATTTAAAAGAGGGGGAGCATAATCTTTTTTTAACCAATTTGTTTCTGATCTGGGGCGTCAGTAGTAGCGAAGGATAGTTATAGCAGCTGAAACATAAAAAAGTGCACCTTATTTCAGGAGTATCCATTACGTTTTGACGTCTACTGAGGTAAACAGCTGATCAGCAAGTGACATATTTGTATTAGTGTGTATCGTTGACAATAATGAATCGGGTGTAAATGTGGTAAAACTCAGGACCATCATTTGTTGTACGCGAACTAACTTTTCTAAATAAAAGAGTTTTTGACAAGTACAAAATGAATCCGTAGCGTACAAAAAAATACGTCTCTGTCTACCTGGCGTTACGGATTCACTGACGGGTCTGTCAAATTGTGTGTCACTTGTCAATATGGGAAATTTTTAAATATTGCTAATCATCTGTTATTCTACCGTAATGGATACTCGTGAAAAAGAAAATATAGTCTTTTTTTTGCGGTATTTGTCTTCTGGAAATACTTGGGCCTTAATCGAAATTTCATATGTTCGCCATGCTCAAAATCGTCGATTCTTTCAAGTAAGGATTTGAGGATAATATGTGTGCATTGAAAGAATGCTGATCAGGTTAATTTCCCTGTGCATTTTAGTATGAAGCTTTGGCAGCTTCACAGGCAATATCCAAATCAGCCGAGGCAAAGGAACATTACCACGAAACCGGCTTTGATCAGCAAAGTTCGGCATCGAAAGAGATATCGGTACTTATAACTCAACTATAAATTCAACTGTCATTGAATCAGGCCCGTATTTACCCGATAGCTAACCGGATTCAAATGTTTGATGAAAAAATTAAAATTTCCTGCGTGTTATATATGTAGACTGAATTATTTAAAACATGATAATAAAAAATTAGGTTTTTATAGCAAGTTACAAAATAAGTGTGCGTTAGGTATATTACGTAGAAGTATAAATTTAACAATGATTTCTAATTCGGTTAGCTACGCGATAGAGTTATTGCTATCAGAATGAAGACTTATTATATACTGTATTACATGTAAAAATCATTTGTATGGATATAATCATAAATTCAACCCTGGAAATGTCATCGGTGTGTGGTGAATATCAGTGTAATCTATAAACAAACGGTTCGGGTTTCTGGTAGAAGTAGTTCTATCGGCTTTGGTGAATATGGGCAGTATAGACGGATTCTAGCCATGTCACTCATAGTTCACTTCATGTCATACCTCCATATCTAGATCGGTTCTACAGTATTTTTACTTTAACAATAATTGCTGACAACCCTTTGCAAAAATCCTCGTGACTCACCTTATTTGTTTCTGTTATTGTCTTTCAAAGGCCAAAAAATGTCATATAATATTAAGATACCGAAATGAGGGACAGTGACATTGATGTTGCACCCAACCTAATGGTTGTTAGCGTATACTGTGAATTAAGGTGAAAATACAAAAAGAAAACATATGAAAAGAAATGTAATATTTTAATCTATATAAAATATTATTTAGATTTTGTTATCCAAGCTCCTGAGGATATACAAAGGGAAGTACACAAGATGCAAATATGTTTATGTTAATCTAAGTACTCTAACAGAATTTGCATGACTGTTTGTATTTATTTGCATGTTTTTCTTTCTTCAGTTAACAGTGTATTGTGAACAATATATAAATACAGAAACACCACCTCATATCATTCGTCTTCGAACCATAGTATGACGTAGTCATGATTTGTGTCATCAGAACCCCAGTTCATCAATTTTGCCGTTACTTATTAATAAACAAATCATGACTACGTCCACTGTTTATCGGATAAGAAGCTAGAAGTAGATAGCGCTAGTTCGGTCGGAGGCCATAAACAGACAAAGATGCCAATTGCTGATCAGGGGCCTGATATATTTGATCCGCTATGATAATTTTAGTTGCGGATTATACGAGGTCTGTAAATTAAGTAATGAGACTGGCAACGTAGCGTTCGATCTGACAACACTGGAAGCGCCGGGTACGGAGGGGAGAAAGGGGAACGTATGATTCGCCTTCAGTACAAGTTTGAACTCGCTCGAGTCATTTAGTCGCCTGACTTGAGTCCTTGTGACTTTTTTCTCTTTCCGAAGTTGAAAAATCACCTCAAGGGCTCATTTTTGGACAGTCGAAAACATTCAAACGGTTGTAACCGACCAGCTGAAGGCTATTCCAGTATCAAAGTTCCAGCACTGCTATGAGGAATGGAAGAACCGTCTGCTTTGCTGTGTGGCTTCAGAAGGAAGTTATTTTGAGGGTGAAAATATGAAATTGTGATTATATTTGAATACAAAAAAATAAAGCCTCATTGCTTAATTTACAGACCTAGTTTGTATGTCGGGAAGGCGACATCATAGTTAATTCCAACAGTCGAAATGCAGTTAGAATCAGGTCTCTGGTGTTCAAGTGAATAGACGTCAAAACGTGATAAAACAAAAGTAGGTTGCCTATCATATATATATAAAGAGAATATGATCATGCGGAGAAATGTATATAACAAGTAGGAAAATAATGGGCAAAATCCGAAAAAAGGAGGAAAGTGGATTCGAGTAGAAAATAGGATAGGTAACCCGAGCGATACGTATTTCTGCTGGTTGGCTTCATCAGGCCCGAAATGAATGCACATATGAAACTACAAAAGTAGATACACATGCCCACACATCCGGATACGGGTGTAACCTGAGGAAACGAAGTTGGAGGGAAAGAAAAACGACACACGGATTTTGCCCATTGTTTTCCTACTTGTTGTTATATATATATATATATATATATATATATATATATATATATATATCTTTTTAAAATATATGTTTACCTCCTACCACACAAGCGTTGCCTAGCGGGAGCAAAATTGAATGTTTTGATAATGGCATTTTTTTCATACTAAAGTTGCCGGATATACTGAACCTACCAATAGGAAGTAAGTTGAATCTTCCGAATCAAGAATTATTTTGAAATTCAGGTGTGGTAACTTTTGATATCCGATAAACATGTGTTGGTGATGGGTGGTAAGACTAACAGTTAATCATTGTCATCACACCTCATGTCAAAGATTTCTCACATTTATTTCTCTGTCCAATTTAGAACAATGAATACATCCAATCTGTAGCTCGTTGTCTGCAAATGATGCTTCGTATCGACGAGTACCGCTTTGCCTTCATTTCTGTGGACGGCATCTCGACATTGTTGTCTGTTCTTCAAGGAAGAGTCAATTTCCAGGTATAGTATGCAAATTATTTAGAATTCGTTGCATAAGAAGTACCCCGAGGAACTATGTTGGAAGCACTGGTGAGACCATGTGTAAATGATTCAAAAGGACTGTTCTCATCAAAAGCAACTATAGCCTATTTATATTCCACATTCCTGCTAGTAAGTGCATCTTAAGTGACTTTCCACAGCCTCACAACGAGGCTGTGGTTGCTATCGGTGAGAACGCAAAAGCAATGCAACTGAAGTCAATATTGGTGAGGACAACATTATATGCAGTCATATAACTGACTCACAGGAAGTCTGTCAACTTGTCAGCTTTAACTAAATACACAAAAGAAGAAATTTGTTTCTGCTTCCAGGTTCAATATCAGCTGATATTCTGCATCTGGGTACTTACCTTCAATCCTCTCCTGGCTGAAAAAATGAACAAGTTCAACGTTATTCCTATTCTGGCCGATATTTTGAGCGATTCCGTCAAGGAAAAAGTCACCAGAATTATTTTGGCGGTATTCAGGAACCTGATCGAGAAGCCAAACGATCAACAGGTAGCCAAGGAGCACTGCATCGCTATGGTGCAATGCAAGGTTTGTAAATATTTTTTTTATGCATCATTTATATAAAAAGTGAAACAAAAGCTTATTGCCAGTTATGCGGTAAAACTGACGTGGCTTTTTATTTTTATAGGTTTTAAAACAGTTGCAGATTTTAGAACAAAGAAAGTTTGATGATGAAGATGTGTCTTCAGATATCGAATTTTTAACTGAAAGACTGCAATCTTCTGTTCAGGACTTGAGCTCATTTGATGAATATGCCACTGAGGTATGTGAATCTTAAGCGGTACTGTATACCTTTTAGTTAATTTCGTTTTTGTGTGTTTGGGTTTTATAGGTTTCAAAAAATTACATTATTTATAGGTGAAATCTGGTCGTTTGGAATGGTCTCCTGTGCACAAATCCAAGTTCTGGCGCGAAAATGCCCATAGGCTGAATGAAAAGAACTATGAGCTACTGAGAATTCTCATTCATCTATTAGAGAGCAGCAAAGACCCCTTGGTACTGAGCGTTGCTAGTTATGATATTGGAGAGTATGTGAGACATTACCCTAGAGGCAAGCAGTAAGTATTTCTTTATTGGAGTATTTAAAAGTTATAGCAATTTTGTCGTTTGTTTTAATGTCCGATCCGATTGGGGTATTTTCCATCTAGACTAAATTATATTTTTAATAGGTCAAATAAGTTGTTTGCGTTCATCCTCGGTTTTTCGTGTGTTGTAAAATATGTTACAAACTGTACATTGAAAGAGAACCCATTTAAATTATTTGAATGTTAGCCCAAAATAACCAGCCAGTGGGATTTGATTTTTATTTGGGATGTCAATAGGATTTAACAATACATTTCGTGTCAAACTGTCAACATCAAAGAATTATGCCCAGTTGCTCCGCCTTTCTCAAATCTACCGTTTAGGTTAACCTCAAATTATGCTTCTTTTGATTTAGTAAAAACTTATTGTCTTTTTCTCGACTATCCATTACGGTAGTTTAATAGCTGATTATTTAGTAGACAGAGCCGTATTTTGTTTTGATTTTTTTGTGAGCTACAGATTCGTTTTGTACTCTTTTATTTAATAAAGTTCATTTGCATACAAAAAGATGCTACAAATAAGTTTTACTAGATTTACACCTGTTTCATTATTGCCAACATTACAGACTTATACATATGAGTCACTAGCTGATGAGCTGTTCACCTCAGAAAACGTCAAAACGTGATGGATACTCGTGAAATAGGGTTTATTTCATTATTCTATGTTGGCTAACCTTGCTCGTTGAATCGAGGATATACCGTCTTGCAACTGCAAGAGCTTGCATGCATAAACTATTGGAAGGTGGAGATCGTCAGTTTTTTGCCTACTTCGCACAACAACCCTAATCATAATTGATGTATTTGAGGACTGATTACTAAGGATATATTAGTTACTTATCAATTATAAAGGGATTTCGGACGGTGGTCATTTAGTCTTAGATATGTTTCTGGATGATAAGAAATCATATTTAGCGAGGAATCCCATACACCCCAGATTTATTTAGCCAACTTCATCAATGTCAGCGATATTTGAATCCAAATTTCATTTATTTAAACTTTTCGAGCATTAATTTGGGATAATGGCCATCAAGTAGTCAAATCCATGCACATTTTGGGTTATAAACTCCACCTTAAACTGAAGAGTTATTTGACCTGGCTCAGCTGTCTAAGTTACACTCAACTTTTTAAGTGCATCTGATGCAACAAAAACATTGGAGTCAAGAATCAGCTCAGCTCAAAACAAGGCGACACAACTAGACACCTGTTTTCCGGCCATCACTACTAGTTGAGCAATATACAGGCTTCGTTCAAAGAGCATTTAATAGCAAAATACACGTGTTTACCTTGCCGATATAAATCACAAACCATTCCCAAAAATAAATGTTATTTTTATGCGAAAAACAAACGTTACGTTGTTTTCTTCTAAACAAATTCAAACATTTCGTATTTGTGAGTAATTGAACAATTGCGCTACGATATTCGAAAAACATACTGTGCACATTTTAAAACAAAGCGGATGTGTCTATCATCTTTTGTTGCGAATTACTCACAAATACGAAAAGTTTAAATTTGTTTAAAAGAAAAAACGTAACCCGTCCTTTTTTGTATAAAAATAACAGTTATCTTCTGGAATGGTTTTCGATTAATATCGGCAAAGTAAACTAGTGTATTTTGCTATAAAATGCCCTGTATATTGCTCAATAAACTGGTAGTGATAGCCGGAAATCAATTGGGATAAACAATTATGGATTATCAAAACTACTTGACCAATCTACTCCAATTTTGTTGTGGTTATTTAGAAGTACGAATTTGAAGAAGTGCCAAAACCTGCAGTTTGCCCCTGTTTTTGGCCATAACTTTTTTGCTATCACTCGGATCTTTTTACGTGTAGTCTCGTTTTGTAGGTCTCATAAATAGCTAAAAATCTTATGTGAAGAGTTATTTCGTTTCTGCCAACAATTTCGTTTTAATCCCAAAAACACATTTTCTCATTCTTTGTTGTCGAATAAAGTTTTCCCACAAAAACTGGTGTACCCATTTTATGCGTCCATGTTTTGAATACCCCCTTGAACAACTTGCAACAATAAAACCAGACTTTACGATTATTTCACAAACCAGGGGTATTTTCCACAAATCCGATGTAAGCCTAAGCCTAACATTCGCAACAGAAGTAGTCACATTCTAAGTACAGGATGTGGAAAAACTTACCACGTCACGGAACAAATCTGTTACTTCAGTTTTTAGCGCGAAATTTCACGTTGGAACTTTAGACGAGTTATGCCACTTCTAGTTCATAGAAAAAGTAAATACACCAATATGCTTTTTTCAGGCGAACTATTGATATTTACTTGGAGTTAATATTTTGGAAAATACTTCATTTTGAAAATATTTTAGTGTCATCGAACAGTTGGGTGGTAAACAGCTGGTTATGCAACTGCTGGCCCATGAAGACCCCAATGTAAGGTATGAGGCCCTGTTGGCAGTTCAAAAACTCATGGTGCACAATTGGGAATATCTGGGAAGGCAGCTGGAGAAAGAACAAAGCACTGATAAGTCAGGATCGCAAAAACCACCTCAGGTTGCTGGAAAAGCCTAAAAGTATTTTACAGAAGAAAGTATTATTCACGAGGTATAATATGTTAGTGAAGTACATGGAAAAGCTCCCGTTTCCGTCTCCGGAATTGTTTCTGCCCTAGGGGATCCAATAAATAATAATATGATTGTTTTTAGCATCAAATGCGAATTTTACTCAGCAGTGACATTGTAAAAATGGATTGAAAAAGTAAATGATGAACACTGTTGATGGTGTTTTCATGTATTTTCAGAATTGACATTCTTGTGCAAGGTTCATACCTTTCTAAAGCTCATTTTCTATTCCAAATTGGAGCTTTCCATAAACGTACTTCCTTTTAGTTAGAAGTAAGTAGAAACTATAAAATATGCGTGAATATATCAATGTATTTGTGTAAATAATTTTTATAGCTTCACATTCCTGCTTCCCCTATTTTATGTAAAAATCGGATATTTTTTGTTGTGTAAAAATAAATGCCTGTTATGCAATTTGTGAAAGTGTATATGTAAATAACTTTTATCATGTTATCTTCTTGGACAAATAAGTTTGAATAGAGTTGAAAAAACGAAATTTTGTTTTATTCCTAATATATCAAGTTAGTTCAGCATATTGAAATGCATATATACAGTAGCGGACAAAAGTTTGTAAACATTCTTAGTAATTTTTAAAAAGTAAGTTGCTTACAGTCATGAGGATACAAATGGCAATTTGTGCTTGCTGTAGTACTACAGACTAGCATTAAAATGCCTTCATCTTATTTTATGACCGAAAATGAGACCACAAAAGTATGGAAAAATTTTGAATTACAAAATTAAATACAATAACTCTACATAAAGTTTAAAAAAACACTGTTAAGCTAATATTTGGTAGCATTCAGCACTGCCTAACATCGGCTGCTCAGAGAAGACACTAATTTTTTACAGACGTCTGTTGGGATATTGTGCCAAATATTTTTTGTCGAATCGTTTCCATATTCGACGTCTCACATATGCCGTACCGTCTGATCCAAACAAGTTAAATTTGCTTTCATCGCTCCATAAAACTGTATTCCAAGTTAGATGAGTTTTAGCAAATTCCAGGCGAGCAATACGATTTTTTTTCTTTTTGAAAGGAGAGGCTTTCGCATTGGAGGCCTACCAAAAAGCCCCAACTCCTCCAAGCGTTTCTGCACTTTTCCGACAAAAAGTCTCGGCACCGTCTTCTACGATTTTTTTTGAAAATCTGGGTGGCTGGCATTCGAGGATCTTCATGGGACAAACGTTTAACATAGCGATCTAAACCATAATCGGTCTTCCGCGTTGCTGTTGATCTGTATTCTTTATATTTACTAATAATTTTCAAAATCGTCCCTTTGTTCATTTTTAGTCTTTGAGAAACGTCAAACTTTGTGACACCACTTCTAAATAATTCAATTACTTTGTCTCTTAAATCTTATCCTGTATCCCCCTATAGTCCCACGCAGTGGCGGCTCGTGATTTTACAAATAGGTGACGCAGGATTGACCGACCCCCCCCCATACCATGTAGAGCGCATACACAAAAAAAAACATGAAATAACTTACCTAAATTCAGTAACTCGAAAACAAAGTCAGGATTATCAGGCACTTTTCATTGTTTATATATGAGAGCAATTCGTCGGTCCTTCAAATTAGCAAACTTATTTATAACGTCATCGTAAAACGGCTGTGACACTATCAGTTCATTTAATAATTCTTTTTCGATCGATATTTTTGCCAAGTTCGTCAACCGATCTTCCGACATGGTACTTCGTAGATAACTTTTGATTCGCTTAAGGCATGAAAAACTGCGTTCTGTCGAAACACTTGTTGATGGAATGGTCAGTATTAAACACAAAAGCTTATATGCCTCCTTGAAGATACTGCGATTCTCAAATAGCGATTCCTTTAATAAGCGGGGTTCCATATTTTGATATTGATCATCGCTATAGATCAGCTGCAATTCATTTTTCAGTCTCTGAAAATCTGTGAATGTATTTGAATAAAACTCCTTCAAATTACTTAGGCCTTCTGTTAGAAATTTTTCTGAATATGTTTTGAACTTCGAAGTGTCCATTAACGTCACAAAATGAAGCTTTTCCATATCTTGGAAACGGGTCGTGATTTGCAGAGAAATGGTATCCAAAATTTCAAAATACAGCACTCTATATCTTTCAATAATTTGATCCCGAGACAATGTTACTCTTGTCCTGCCGTCGCGGTGTTCCGTTTGTACACTTGTTTTTGATGCAGCCAATTCGAAAATATTCTTAAATGTTTCTTCATTTCTCTTCTTGTTTAATTGTGTTTGAACACTTTTAATTTGCTTAATGCAAAGGTTTATATCAAAAGATTTTTTTTGCAGTGTGTCGAATAGTATATCTGTCATTCCAAAGATCTCGTTAAAAACAACAACCAAAAGCACGAATTCGAAGTCATGGAATTTATTTAGAAATCCGTCGCTCTGTCTAACCGAGGCTTGATCGGAGGTTGGATCATTAATAATTTCAGTAAACACTTGCTTTAAGGAATCCCACTCCTTATTTATAAAACTGATAACTTTAGAATTTGATGTCCATCGCGTAATAACGGAAACAGGTATTCGACGTCCTATTATTGAGTCTGCTACGTTAGTTCGTTTCGGAGAATGGTGAAAAAATGTCGGTAAACCACTTATAGTTGCAAAAAAAATGCGGCATTTTGTAATACTATTGCAACTTTGTTGTAACACTAGATTCATGCGGTGTGCGAGGCAATGAACAAAAACTGCTTGGGGTGCCTGTTCCTTTATTTTAGCCTGAAGACCATTTAACTGTCCGGACATGACGCTTGCACCATCGAAACATTGTCCAACGAGTTTTGTTTTGTAATCAAAATTTTGTAGACACCTTGTCACGAGGTTAAATAATGCTTCAGATGTTCGGCTGCAGCTTACATCATGAAATCCTAAAAATCTCTCCACAAGTTTTCCTTCAAGATTGACATAACGGATTATTATGCTGCACTGCGATTTGTGGGCAATATCGGTGGAATCATCCACCTGAATGGAAAAAAAACTGCATTCCTTTATTTCATTTTCCACATATTCATCAATGCATTTGACAATGCAGTCAATAATTTCGTTTTGAATGGTTTTAGAATTGCCCGCAAATATTGAGGCAATTTTTTTGTAGTGCTCCTGAATGTCTACAGGGCTTATAGATACAAATGCTTCTAGGAGCTCTTTGAAATTTCCACGGTTAATAGAAGTCGTCTCTTCGTTGTGGCCACGAAACGCCAGTTCTTGTTTGCCCAAAAAAAGGACAGCGCGTATTGGCAATTCCATGAAACGTCTATTAAGTTGCACGTTTTCGTTAAACTGTTTAATATACAGCCTGGAATTTTCGCGTAAAGCATCCTCAATAGTAGTGAGATTTTTCTTCAATTTTGAAAAACCTAGTGCGCAACGCATATGATCCGATGATCCTTCATGTTTACGAAGAGCACGAGTCACATTCCCGAAATCATTGAAACCGTACTTGCTCCACACGGTTGCTTTAACACTTACAATCAAACACGGCACACAAAAAAGTTTATTTAAATAATAGCTACCACATAACCATGCAAACTCACTATACCACGATTTTTTAAAATTTCGACTGTACACTTTGTCCTTAACTTTAGCGGTTTTATTTACATTTAATATCGGAGAAGGTTTTTCGGAGTTTAAAAAGTCTTTTTTATCATCATTACTCCATTGAGAAAACGATTTTTCCAACATAACACAAACCGTATCATAGACAGGAAACATTGTTCAAAACAATGAAAACTAACCTCGACACAATACGATATCGGTAATAATGCAGAGCAGACTAGACGCAAATTCATAATTTGCTTCACTTGCCTCGGCCAAAACGGAAGCGCGCGTGCCGTTGTCATGGCAACCGTCGTATTTGCTCGTATCTGTACTGGACGCAGCAATGCGGTGTAAATAAAGCTGCTTCAGGTCTCTGTTTCAACACGCCAAATTAAGCGCAAACGTAGGCGCGTTGTTTTTTGCGGGGTTTCTCAGTATTCTGTTGATCGCAAATACAAATAAAGAATGTCCGAAAAATAATTTTTTAAGATATAAATGAATTTTTTTTATAAATTTCAAAATAAAAAAAATATATTTTTTTTGAAATTGCAGGTGAAGCAGCGCTTCACCTGCGTCATGGGGCGAGCCGCCACTGGTCCCACGGTACCCAATGGGTGTTTAGGCCTTCGTGGTACTTGGAGTATAAAAAAAAAGTTTGATAGAGATCTATGAAGCCAGGCTTGTAGATTTTGAAACTGGGTCTAGTGTTATGGTCCAAACAATAAAATTAAAATAGTTGAAATTTTCGAAATTTTTTGTTGCTCTTATTTTTGTAATTCGATAGAGTGCTACAGAAATTGTGTCTTGTAGAGAGGGGTTAAAGGGCAAATATAACTATTTTTGCAATAGTAAGAAATGTTCTGCCATAAAAATTTCCGAGCTGGCTAATCTTATTGGGCATAGTTCACATGTCCATTTCATATAATTACATTAGTAATCATCAGGACCTGTGGGTAGAACAAATCAATTGTACTTTATCAAATGGAACCATGTGAAATTCAATAAAGTTTTTATTAGTAAATAATGAATTTGTACATCTGGACTTTGAACATTATATAAATATATAAATCTTATTGGGTTTAAAACCTTCTAAAATAGCAGGCAAATATCCAGAAGGGATTTAAGGAGTGTTCTTGGAATATTTTTCATTATTTTTGTTCTCTAATATATTTATCTTGATGCAAAATAGAACTAGTACGTACTCCCCTGGAAAATCTGGACATATGCCTGTAACACAGCAGATAGGTAGTAAATAACATTACAGAACTAATAAACAAAAATATTTAAAAAATCAACAATACATTGATACATACAATGGTTTCAGGATATAAAAATTTTCATTGGATTATCGAAAAATACTTGTCAGGCTGGTTTGTTCTCAAAGAATAAATAACCGAGACAAGGTCACCCCTTTAAAGTGACCTTGTTCAAAAGATGTGGAGTATAAAAAAATCAATGGTTTTCGATTACTTGACAGTTAAACAATAAATACTGTTACCCTCTTAACCATTGCAGTATTCATATAAGTGAAAAAAATTACATACACAATCAAAAAATCTTTAATAATAACTGTAATGGTTTTATGTTTTTGCATATATTTCCATTTGTTCCATTCTTTTCTTTTCAATATCTCCTAAAAATGAAGTAATTCTATCATTGAGTTTTTTTCTATTACTTTGACATTCATCCGCATACTTCTTCAAACCTGGAAAAGCCCTCTGATACTTGAAAATGCAACCTAATAAATGCCATATACTGAAATCAGGCCAAAGAACACTAGTGAAACAAATCTGAGTATGCTGTGATATTTGCCAGAGTAGAAAATCACTCAGTCTCACTTCACCAGAGGTTCGTATCAATATATCTGGATCTGGACTTTGGTTTGAATACATACAATAAGAAATTAGATCTGCATCCACATCTGCAGGTTTAATTTTTTTAGATTCTAACCCTTCTACAACAGTTTTCATACTGTGAACTATTTCATCTCTGGCAGTGTAAGAGAAGGCTATATTTAATATAGATTTATCATTATCTTTTGTAAGAAGTACAGATTTAGCTAAAAGTATTCTGATATCTTCAGGCACTAGTGACAGATTACCTATAACTCTAATCTTTATTCCTTCCATCATGATTTTGTCTTTTTCTTCAAATACTCTCTCAAATTTTTCCTTTGCCAGCGACATGAGAGTATCCACCTGTGAAATTATATGTGTTAACCTTATTGTAAACAGTTATGAATGAGAAGATACATCAACTTTCAATAAGATATGATCACATCTCATATAATTGCAAAAAATTCTTTTGCAATTAAAACAAAAAACAAGTTTATGTCAGGGGGGGTCCTGGACATGGGTGTATGCTGCCTGTACTCCCAGTAGGGGGGGACCAAATCTTAAAAACCAACCATTTCAAATGTGTAAGAACCTTCCTGGCTTCGCCCTGCCCTGAATTAATATATTGCTTGAGTACTAACACTATAACTCAAAACTGATTCCCTGTCAAATGACATGCACCATTTTTTGAGTTAGTATTAGAACTGATATTGCCACTAAAGTGCAATACACATGACCAAGTAGAAAGAAAATCTATTCAGATGAAACTGAAACTCAAAATAAGAACCAAATTAATTACCTCTTCTATAGTTCTATTGAAATTTTCGATGCTGAATGCGTACACAGTAACTTCTTTTACCCCCAGCTCTCTGCACCACAGTAAACATTCGGCTAGCCTTTCAAACCCTTTGGTGTGGCCCTCGGTTTTTCCCATTTTATTTCTTATGGCATATCTTCTATTTCCATCCATAATAATTGCTATGTGTCTCGGGATAGGCCCACATTTGATCACATTCACACAAAACTTTTGGAATCTCGTGAGCTGGTTGTCCACAACCCAAGACATGCTGGCTTTTAAACTGCGTACTTGCCGGTACTGTTCTTACATTAGGTAGATGAATGCAGCTGCTTATAAACGGTACCGGAGTTTTATTATTTCCCACGCAAGTAATACAATTAATTACAAAAATACTGGATAATGAACTTTATTTCAAGCACAAATTGGACAAATTTGAAGGAAATGAAGATGGCTTCAAAGATTTGAAGCACAGAGAAACGACAGATACTGATTTTCGTCAAATTTGTTCCGTGGCATAGATAAATACATTTGTCAGAAACGCAACCATTGATTAATTATACATGCATGTATTCCAGACCGCTATTTCCATCCTACAGTGATCGAATTATTTGTTCTACTCATGATCCTGGAACAAAATCGGCCTAATTTGTAAGCTGCATATTCCATTTAAAACGTGTTTGGAATTTGCAATGTGGCTTCTGGTCTGGCTTGTGTTAATAGAATAACCGGTTATTTTAGAATATTCGGTTAGTCTGTTAAGAAATGCAATAACCGGAAGGAAAATCTTTCTGGCCCGAGTAAAAATAACATGGCCATGCAATACAACTATTGAAATATACTCTACTAGAATTTAGAAGACTATATGTAATTAAATTTTTCTCGAAATCGGCGCACAACACTTGAAAATACGCAAATGAAGATTGGAGAACAGCCCCTTTGACGTACTAAATGAAGACGTAATTACCCCGGGATAGACATACGTTTAGAAAATTGACCTTGTCATTCTTGTCACTTGGATCGCGGCGTTGCCAGCGCATCGGACGATTTTGCTACCTCTGTTATTTTGCTAGAATGTAATAAAAAAAAAGAAGTTTTGAATAGAATATTGAGGAATACCAATGGAAATATATAAAATTTAAGGCGTAGCAATGTTTGCCAAAAAACTAAAGGTGATTCTGATAAATAATCCCATTATATGTGCAAGGGCAAACAAAACCCTGGGACTGGTGGTGTTTATGTTCCATGCATATTAGTATTTTTTCCCAAACGGTATCAGGTAAGTTGCCTCAGTATCTCGCTTGCAATTGAAAAAGTTTGTTATCCATGTGATGCTAGATTAGAAAATAACGCTTCGTATCATCACAATATTCAAATGAAAAATTAAATGATAATTTTTGCATTGGAAGTACAGTGTCAATCTACTTGGTACCACTTTTTTCAAGTTCAGCTCGTTTTATTTCCCTTTTGTGAAGCCTATACCGGTCAACGTAAACATCGAGTCGCTTCGGGAGCAGATGCGGGTAGTGGGAGCTGGAAAGGGACTTGGGCGTACCGTATCGCTGCAGCGAGGTACAGCGCTTGCACGCTTCAATCTCTCGGCAACAGTCGGCGCAGCGAAATGTCCACGGGTTCACAGCTCCGTGCAGATATATTCGGTTTAACTACTTTTTTTTAGTAGTGCTGTTCACTATAGGGTTCTCGAATGACTCTCAGTGGTGTTTTAGTGTTGTGACGTGGGTGTCATTTGTCTCCAAAGTGGAAGTTAGGTCTACTTCCAACTCTTCTGAGGGAAACAGGATACAAGTGCAGCAAACTGGGTCTCATCTACTTGTGTGTTAGGATTAGGGTTTTTTAAATAAATTGCACACATTGCATACACTGAGAGATTAGTCATATACTGAGGTATTTGGGAAAAACTAAAATTTGGCCAAATCGTTTGTATCTTTGTCTGACTTTATTTTAATAAATGTCAAAAAACTAATGGCACTACTTGGGCACTACATGATGGTGTTTTTAAACGTTGTGCCCGACGTGCACAACATTTAAAAAAAAGACGACACTGTATCTAATAGCATCTTTTTATACGACTTCAACGATGTATCACGTTATGTTTTTTTTTTTTTTAGTTATAAACAAATTTGTTTTCTATTTTTTTATTTTATTTAAGTAGGAGTTGCAAATAAATGCTTGATGTAAGATTGTGTGATTACTGAATTTAACCTAGTCTGATCCTTATCTTGGCCACCTTGTAATACATTATTTCAAAAATAAATTTACAGAAACGTGCACTAATCTAACGTTCTTGTAAGTATTCTTATGAACTTACATTCATTTCTGAAACATCTCAAAACTATTAGCAAAGCCTCGAACAAAGGACTATTTTTAGGAATTTTTCATAGTCAATATTTGACAGTATTTCACATCGTGCTTTGACACTAAGCCCTTGGCACTACGTTTACTAAATATGGTGCAAAAAAACAAGCGTTGATTCGTTGGCATTTTCAAACCTGGAATCTCAGACCCGTGTTTAGGAAACTCAATGTCTTACCTCGGTTGTTGGAGGATACGTGGGCACCAAATGTCCAACAAGTGTAGGGATATATGATGCGCCCAGAATGCTGATTCCGTCTGCCTGTAATTCCACATGATCGAGGAGTTATAAGTTGGATTCAAGTTCAAATCCTTGAGCTGTCCATTTTTAGCTTCCTCAAAATGAATGCCTAATATCTCTGCGTATAAGACGGATACTAATAAATAGTAGAGTAAAATGAAAATCGCACCTCTCCTATTAATGATCATGTAATTTTTGATCAAATAATTAATAAATATATTTATATAATAAAACATTGTTTTTTCCAATTGTTGGAAGAATTCAAAATGTATTTTATTCTAAAAAAACTGGGCATTTATAAAAGTGTTCAGAGACAATAACGTTCCGCCGTATAGACGCCAGGCGACGCAAAATGTAAATAACAGCTTTTGTTTAGTTTTTTTGGCAAGCATTGTTACACCTCAAATTTCATATATCTCCATTGGTACCTCTCAATATTTTATTCAAAGCTTCTTTTTTATAGACGTATAGACGCCAGGCGACGCAAAATGTAAATAACAGCTTTTGTTTAGTTTTTTGGCAAGCATTGTTACACCTCAAATTTCATATATCTCCATTGGTATCTCTCAATATTTTATTCAAAGCTTCTTTTTTTATAACATTCTAGCAAAACAGCAGGGGTAACAAAATTGTCCGATAATAATATTATAATAATAATTTATTTTATTCTTGAGACAAAGTTTGTATAGAAATCGTCAAGAGAGCCTCTATATACAGAGTTATGACAAAACTATATTAAAACAAAATAATAAACAACATTTACACACTGATAAACTCACAGACGTTATACAAACATTTATGTATTAAAAAGCCTTTCAAACAATACTTAAAGTGATTTTGATTTGCTATTTATTCCTTGTATATCCCTTGGAAGGATGTTAAAGATTTTAGGACCAAGTATACTTGGCGATAAGCTGGCAACGCCGCAATCTAGGTGACAAGGTCGTATATCTATCCCGGGGTAACGACGAGTCATTTAGTCTAAGCGGCAGTTTTCCAATCTTCATTATTTGCATTTTTCAAGCGGTGTGCAAATTTTTCGAGAAAAAATTCGCTACGGATAGTCTTCTAGAGTCTAGTAGAATAAATTTCAATACTTGTGGCCATGTTGTCTTTACTCGGGCTGAATCAGCTTTTGCTTGTAGTGGTTCAAAGCCGAGAGTGAAACGAATAACGAATGCATAGGTAGAACGCTAGGAAAGAATTCTGAGACAAATAAAAAAATATGTGAACTGAGGGATAAAGCACTCGCATCAGATATTCCTTCCGCTTTCTTTCTTTCTTTGTGTTCTATGCTTAGCTGACTATGTTTTTGTTTTGTGAGTTTTCCCATTCGTCTGTCAAATGTGGCTGCGGGATAATTTTGCCTGAACCAAACATGAAATCTTTTATAAATTTGGTTTTAAACTGATACTTTATATGATAAAATCGTAATATTCAAACCAATTTAATGAGTTACATCATAGGTACGAAAACAAAGGTGGGAAGTTAGTTTTATATCTATAATCAGTATAGTTTCTTCAGAGTAGGGTGTTGCAAGAAAGTATGGTAAATAAAATCATATTCAAAATGTTAGTAGCCCATAAATTATAGTGATGGAGGTGAATACAACCGATGAATGGGCTGCAGAGGAAGAACAACCCAGTAAATGCTCCTCACTTATAAGTTTTGAGGATGGAGAGCTAGTTGAATATACCAATGAGGATTTGAATGCCTCTCAAGATTCTACAGACAATAATTTAGCTGGAACAGATGATAAAATTGAGTTTATTCTAAAACCAAGTTTAAAAGGTATTACACAGGCCAAGAAACGTCTCAAAGCATTTACTGCTTCAAAATTACTGAAAAATGTTCAGCTAAAAGATGACAAGGCTTTGAGTAGCAATAAAAGTGAGAGTAGTACTACGAAAAAGTTGAAGAAAGGTATGTCTATATAATATTTTAATTTGTTTTATAAGTGGTTATTTTAGAATTATACCCTGATGAGAGAGCTAGGGCAGTAATTCAAGAAATTGAAGAAATTAAAAAAGCTCAGGCAAAACAGCAAATCCAGCAAATTGCTTATGTTGAATCCTTAAATAAACTTCGTACATTGCCACTGATAACTAAAAAGGCAAAATCTAGATCAAAATCACTATCCTCAGGTAAAATGCGATATATTCTATTTCACTCCGCATTATAATGTTTCAACATGCTGTATTTTAGATGATGACAGACTAGAGGGACATTTCAAAAAACGTGAAATTAGGGTTCGCAATATCAGGCGTGGTAAAACCCGCTCTGTATCACCAGAAACACGTAAGAAGAATCATGAAAAAGTGTCGTATCCGAAGAATTGGGCAGAGTACCTTCAGCAAAACTTTGACATAAAGAAAGATCAAGACTTAAAATTAAAGCTGTTTCCATATAAAAGGAAAAATCCATTAGAAATATATAAAAAAATCTACAACCCTCAAACACCATCTATAAAACTAGAACCATTTACTTATAGTACAAATGCTGGTTCAAAAGAGACTCCTCCATTGTTTGTTAGGTTGGGACTGTGAGTTAGATTTTGTTGCAAGTATTTCATATGACTATTTCCAGGTTTACAAAGGCGCACCCTACTGTGCAATATAGTGCCAATTCATCTGCTATTGCTGAGAGTTTCATAAGTAGAAAGCAGTTGTTTTCAATTATTTCAAAAGAGGCTAAAGAGACTATTGAAAAATTGATCAACACCAATCAAAGGTGAGCTGTTTGCACTTTGTCATTATTATTATTGTGAACATTAGAAAATAAAAATTCATCATCTGGTTTTCAATGTTTGTTTGGCCGCTGATGACGTTTTGGCCAACATGGTGACATTACTAACTACAATTGACAGAACTAAGATATTTTCATCTGTAGACAGTGTTTGAAGCATATGAAGTTTCATTTAGTGGCCAAACAAACATGGAAGATTAGACTTGAGATTGATGGAAATCTTAGATTATTCATTTTATATACACTTGAACAGCTAAAAATACAAACTTGGATCAAATGTAAATCATTCCATTATACCAGTTGCAGCTGCTAATTTCCAGTAACTTGTCAAAAAAATAACAAGTTTTAGGCAAAATTTTATGTTTGTTGAAGATTTATTTAGCATTAATGCTACAATGTCAGTTTTGTATAATTATTTTTCTTCTATCCATTTTCTGTAATTTTGCACTCTTGTCTATTAAAATTACATCACTAATGATTTTTTAATTTCATCTAAAACATGTTTAAATTCAAACACTGTTTAATATCACTATTCAATGTATTAAATTCAAATACTCCCTTTTGAAATACACATTTGTTAGTAATGCTACTATTACAATTTTGCAGATAAAAATCTATACTGCCTCTGGTTTCATAGTTATGATAATGACTATTTAATTTTGTGAAGATTTCTAAATGTGATGGTAAAAAATGTTTTTTTAATTTGAATATGAAAATGAGAACTAAATAACAGGAAATGTTTCACATTCAACCACTGTAGTTCTTCTAACATAGATTTGATCCTAGCATATTTGTTTTTCTTTAGAATTATTCTCATAGCTTTATTTAGAAGAATTTGTAATTTTGAAAATATGTTTTCATTTGCTTTAAACAAGATGGTTGAACAATACAAAAAATGGGGGAGAATTATAGTATTATTCACATTTTTTTTTTTTGAATACATACTAAGATTATGGGAAACTCTGTAGAAGTAATTTATCTTTTTTGATATTTTTGAAATAATGCTCGTGAAACAGTAGTTTACTATCCACATGTATACCCAAATACTTAAATGATTCCACTTCAATTTTTTTGTTTTTGATTTGGGTTTATTAACATTTAACGAATTCATATTTTTTTTTAATATCACTATTTAACCGTTCTAAAGCAGTCTTCAAATGCTTATGTGCTATATATATATCAATAGATCATCCGCAAATATTTGAATTATATTGAAACAATCATTTAAAATCTTTTCTGAGAGATTCTCACTTAGATTTCAATTCTGAGATAGCTTTTCTTAGATTGTTGATGTTAATTGTCCAGGTTTATTGTGAATGGGTCATTCATGATCCACAGCAACTCACTGGTCTATTGTGGCTTGCACCTATACAGTGTGTTCCAAATTCAACCCTCACTATTGGGGTCTCTGAAACTGTAAAAGATACAAAGTCACTTAAATGGGGGCAAAGTTGCGTATTTAGGTAATCAACAAAATGCCGCTTATGAAGTTTGTAATTTCAAATTACTTCTGGAGAGAGACAGAAAAAACTGAATTATCACAAAATCATTTTAATTTTTTCCTGGCTCTACTTGCAGTATGATTTACAAAAAAACTGCACATTTACATTGCCACTTTTTCTCCTCTACAGAAAGGCATAATTAGAATTTCAGTATGACATTTTGTCTCTTGTCACCTAGCACCCCTCTTGATGGACACCTCCTGACAGCTCTAAACCTAAGTGTTTCGACCTGTAAGGATGTCATTATTGTGCATTGTATGTTATGTGCTATCAACTTCAGTCTTACACTGAAATTAATAGGTCCCGGATCTTTAGATAGAAATAACGTGATTGCACTTATATAAGCTCAAAGTCAAAGATACATTAGCGTTACAGAAAAGCGATCTTCTACTACATCAAAAAATGGTTACAGTGCATCCTATTCTTTGTACTCTGTATTTATGACCTAAACACTGCACTATATGTTTGTGTCAAATTAGCCATCTTTTTTTCAGATTACCAGCTGCAAAGATGTTGAAAGAACGCCCTTGGTATAGCAAGACCTGGAAAAAAATCAGTTCAGGTGAATCTAAGTTTGTAGAAAATTCTGTCGGTCTGTCTTTTCTGCAAACATATTCAGATGATGATAATGATGCAAATGATGAAGAAGAAATCATCATTTGTAGCAGGGTAACCACAAGTGAAAAACCCTCTGAGCAATCAAACTATGAGAGCATAGAAGATGCTGTGCAATCACAGGAGAATTCAGATACTGAAAAACAGCAAGAAGAGCTAGTTTATACAAAAGACAATGATGAAATGGTAACTGAAGGTGTTGCAGAACAAGTCCCAAGCAAGACTTTCCAAGAACCTGCAGAACAAATGCATTATGAAACTTGTCAACAAACCCCTGACAAAACTCCTCAAACGTTCATAGACAGAACTCCAGAGGTCCTTCCAGAAGAAATGACTGATGTACCTCTCCAAGATGAAAATGAAATTGGTCAAACCCCTGATGGTAGATATTCTGATGGTTTCAGAACTCCTGAATTACGCCCGAATATAGAAAGCATTAGTGAAGATAGAGAATTGGATGAAACTAGAAGGGCTATTGAAGAACTTGAAGATGAGTTGATAAGGAAGCAGGACGTATTGAAAGAAGATGTCAGACATGTCATTGAACTGGATTTGAAGAATGTAAAGAAGAAAAAGAAAGATATCGCAACAACTGAGAAGGCAAATAAGAAGAAAAAGAAAAAGGAGAAGGCAAAGAAGTGTGTGAGCTCTGAGGATGAATCTTCAAGTTCAGATGGGAAAAAGAAGAGTAAAAAGAAAAGTAAAAGCAAAAAGTTGAAGAAGAAATCAGAAGATGAAAAAGCGAAAAAACGCTCAAAGAAAAAGAAAAAACAAAGTGCTGGTTTTTCAGATAATTCAGTCAGTGAAGAAGATGAAGAGCCTCCGAAAAAGAAGACTAGCAAGAAGAAAAAACGTAAGGAGATCACTAAGAAGCTCAAAAAGAAAAAGCATAAGAAGGATAAGAAGAAGACAGACTGGGATGAGACTGATGAAGAAACAGTAGATGAATATAGTGATGAAGAAAAGACTGAATCTAGGAAACTCAGAAGAAAACTGGAAGGAGAACATATTTCTAAGAAAAAAAATAAGCAGCGCATTTTTGAGATTGTCAGTTCCAAAGATGAATCTGATAATAAGGAATTTGGCATAGAATTGAAGATAAATAAGAAATATCTAATGAGAAAGGGTGAAAATAGGGAAATCACTGAAGATGGCCACTTAGAATCTGAAGAATTCGTGCCTAGCAAAAAATTAGCAGAAGCGTTTGACGAAGAATTTCCTCTAGAGAAAGATATGTCCGTATCAAATAAAGTTGTCGAAAAATCTCCTTACCCACATTGGGAAAGTGATGAAGAAGTATCACCAACCAAATCTCAGAAACTTAACACTTCTTGGGAGAGCGACGAGGAGGTTTTTGTCAGACGACATTATGAACCTGAACCAGAGTCAGAAAAAGGTGTACCAAAATCATTTAATGATAGTTGTGGGGACCTTGAAATACCTCTTAATATTAAACCCTACAAAAAGAGAGAACCCGAGGTCGACTTAAGAGTGCAAATGGAAATGAAAAGGAAAGGAAATATTGATTTTATTGGCCAGATCAAGAATGATGATAACATTAAGATGGAGAAACCAGTATCTATGTTTGAGAATGATTTTGATGAAACTAGTAAATCTGATAAACACGAAACATCTTTTGAGGATCATACTGTTGTTGAGAAACAGGTGCTTGGTGAAATAAATAAGCAAATGGAGAACAAAAGAACAGAATTGAAGATGGATTTTGAAGGTCAGATATCCACCACATGTAAAAAACCTATAGAAATAGAAAACCTTGACATGGAGCATAAAATCCCTCATGATATAGAAAAGAATAAAGTGCCAGAGGAAAGAGAAAATGTATTTCTAGATTTTGAAACCACACAATCCAAAATAGTCACTCCTAAAAGAGGAAGATGGGATAAGAGAGAATCGCTTGCGAAAATTTCCAGCGTTTCCACTCCTAAATCGGAAACAGATTCGACTTCAACACAATCTTTTCACTCTGAGAAGAACAGCAGCAATAGTATCATAGACTTAACTACTAATAATGCCTCTTTAGAAAACGAGTATGAAGAATTTTTAAAAGCAGTTACCTCGAACGTGGCAGAGGATCCTGAGAAATCCATGCCTATATCCATTAGCAGTATATCTGATATGAGTGATACAGATTCAGTACCAGTTAGCTTTAATAAAACTGATTTCATACAAAATGACAAACCACTAGTACAGATCCCGGTTGTGTTACCTAAAGACATACCATTCATACCAATGCCTGCAGAGGTAAGCGAAATAAAACCTGTACCGGTTCCCTCGCCGAAATTTGAAGTTAAGAAGCCGCTAGTAGCGTTAGATCTTAATCTCATCTCAGCCATACAGAAACCGCCAGTCAGCGCAAATGCTACTATATCTCGTGTGGCTGGTGTGGATCTTGCTATTCAAGGAGCAGGACCAGATGTCATCAGGACACCAGCTTCAATATTTGATGATGCTTCGGCTTCAAATTCTGGTGAGCTGGCTAGCATAAATCTACCACCGTCATGTGAAAGTACGTCTGCAGCTGAGGATATTCACCAACAAAAGTCCGAATTAGCTGAAGATACTCTGACTAAGAAAATTGTTGATGATGTAGCTCCCGCCAAGCCCCCAGAAAAACAATTTAGTTTTAGTGGGATGGTTTTGACATCGAAGAAGTTACTTCTCGATAAGCCTAAGTTGAATTTCGGAGATTCTGATGACGATGAGCCAAAATCATCGTTGACAAAACTGGAAGATATAAAAAAAGAAAATTCCAAGATACCGCCAAAATATGAAAATGTCGTTGAGCAAAAAATCATGGAACAAAAAGTGGCCATAGAAGAAAAGATTTTATCAGATGAGAAAAGAGTTTTTGAGGAAAAGAAGGAAGTTGGACAATCAGCAAAAGTGCTAATAAAGGAAGAAGCAAAGGTAGAAAGGAAGAGAAGTAGGTCGAGAAGTCCTTATTCTTCAAGGAGCAAAGAAGGGGATAGAAAGAGAGAAGTGTCTCCGTATAAGAGGCGGAGGAGTCCTTCGCCTAGAAGCAGGAAAAGAATCAGTCCTCCACGAAGGAAGGACTCGCCGAGAAGGGGCTCTTCTCCTAGGAAGAGATCGCCTGGTAGAAGGAGAACGCCAGGTAATATACTTCTTGATTTTCTAAATTTGTACTAAAAGTATTCTCTATTAGATATTTTATGATTTCATGGGGGTTCACGAAGATGAATTTCTTTCAATTAGTGTCATACGTCCCACGGGTTTGCCATGCTAAATTGATATTTTCGTCTTCCACTGTTCCAAGTGAAGGAAACTCGGTTCACCATGATAATTCGAGATTCTGAATGTGACTATTAGAAACGCTAGAGCTCCGTGAAGATCTGATTATTGATGATGTATGACCTCCGCACCCGATTTACCCAGGAAACGGGTTTTGGTCGAGAATGCAGATACGCAAAATTTTTTGTAAATATTCTGCCTCTAAATTTTAAGATTTTTCTGTACAAAATTTCCATTTATATCTAAACTGATACAATTGAAAAAGGGCTCGTGTCGCGAAGCTTTATTTGGAATTGGGCCCCCTACTCATCTCAGCAAAAAAAATATTACATAAAAGTTGATGTCTACGCACCCAATTTATCCGGGTAACTAGTTTTGGTCTATACAGGGTGTTTCAGTTTATTGTTGCATAACTTTAAAAGATTCGATAGAACTTTTAAAATTAATGCATAAAGTCTATATAAACATGGGTCGAAAAATGCGTGGCTTCCGAAATACAGGGTGTTTAAATTTACTTTCTAAAATAGTTTTTTTTAAATATTTCGAACAATATTTGATGTATAACAGTGAAAATTGGTATACAAAGGTTTTTTGGTACGACAAAATGAACCATATGCATAGTTTTACTGTAGCAGCTAGAGGGCGCTCTCTACTGTACCTGTAGTGTATTAAAATGACGCACTTTTCAACATAAAAAAGCTCTCTTGTGAATTTTCGTTATAGTTAGCCGTTTTTGCATTTTTAATTATTTATGATAAAATAACGTTAAAAAGTCAGTATCTCGATAATTTTTAGAAGTAGGCTGTGCCTGCAAATATTTTTGAAATTGAAAGCAGAATAAGGTTAAACGTCAATTAGTTGACAGTTAGTTTTGTTGTCTGTTGAAACCTGAAACGTTTTTTTGCAATTGTGAATGCACGAAATTTAGTTTCTTTTACCTGTTTTTTTTTGTAAATTTTATAAAAATGCCATTTTTATTCTCCAATCAAGAGTTAGCGGATATTTATTTTGTGTATGGCTTTGTAAATGAAAACGCGGCAGAAGCAGCCAGAGAATACGCACGAAGATTTCCAAACAGACGACATCCAACTCGCTCAGTATTTGTAAGAGTGCATCGCCAAATAATTGAAAATGGTTTTGGAAATCTCCAAAGGGATCAAAACATAAATGTTCGTCAGCGCAGATTTACCCGTATGATTCTGCGTGAGTTTGATAGAGATCCGACCACAAGTGTTAGGAGAGTTTCTGGTGCCTTGGGAATTTCAGCAAGCCATGTTCACCGTGTTCTTAGAAATGACCATAGACGTCCTTACCATTTGCAACCTGTGCAAGGACTACAGCCAGGGGACGGAGAACGAATTATCACATTTTGTCAGTGGATTCTTGAGAGAACTGATAATAATAGGGAGTTTTTGAGTAACGTTTTATGGACCGATGAGTCATGCTTCACTAGACGTGGAGTGTCAAATTTTCATAATCAACATATTTGGTCGCATGAAAATCCGCATGCAGTTCGGGAAAGAAATTTTCAGCATGAATTTAGTGTGAACGTGTGGATTGGTATCTACCGTAATCGACTATTTGGACGCTACCTTTTGCCTGCAAGGTTAAATGCTGCGACCTTCTTGGAATTTTTAAAGGCTGGACATGCAAATATGTGGGATGATGTTATGTTAGATTTAAGAAGATTGGCCTGGTTCCAGCTTGATGGTTGTCCAGCTCATTATTCGAGAATAGTTAGAAACTGGCTGGACGAAAATTATCCAGAAAGATGGATCGGCCGTGAGGACCAGTCGCCTGGCCTCCACGATCCCCTGACCTAAATCCATTAGATTTCTCTGTGTGGGGATTTCTAAAAGAAAAAGTGCACCAGACTCCCGTAACCACAAGAGATATGCTAATAGACAGAATCAGCAATGCATGTGATGAAATAAGGCCTTATTTGAATAATGCTATACCACGTTCGATCATTCGTAGATGTGAATGGTGTATTGAACAATTGGGTTTACATTTCGAGCAACTACTTTAGATTTTGTATGTTTGTCCTAACTATCCAATAGCATTTTAGTTGTAAATATTGGAAAATTAAACAAATTAATATTCTGTTTTTTGTGTTTATTGGGAGTTAGGAATTATTGCTGTGTTTAAAAACACAATCTAAACGATCATCTTAATTACTTGTAATGCCCAAATCGAAAACGTAAAAAAAATATTATTTTCCCATAAATAATTAAAAATGCATCGAACCTTAAAAATCGAAATATCTCAAAAACGGCTAACTATAACGAAAACTCACAGGACAGCTTTTTTATGTTGAAAAGTGCGAAGAATCAGTTTTTTTATTCAAAAATCAAAAAATTGCGCTAAGAAAAAATTTTCATTTCATTTTAATACACTACAGGTACAGTAGAGAGCGCCCTCTAGCGGCTACAGTAAAACTATGCCCATGGTTCGTTTTGTCGTACCAGAAAGCCTTGTATACCAATTTTCACTGTTATACATCAAATATTGTTCGAAATATTTAAAAAAAAAACTATTTTAGAAAGTAAATTTAAACACTCTGTATTTCGGAAGCCACGCATTTTTCGACCCATGTTTATATAGACTTTATGCATTAATTTTAAAAGTTCTATCGAATCTTAAAGTTATGCAACAATAAACTGAAACACCCTGTATTGGAATACGGACCAACCATATTTAGGATGGGGTTACTCACGTTTAGTACATGGTGGCGGATATGTAATTAACTGGTTTGTTTCTTGAATATTTATGAAAAGAAATAAGTTACATCAATTTTTTTCATTATAATTTTTTATCGAAACTTTGAAATTATTTATGAAAAATAATATCAATTATAAGCCGCGCAAACCTGAGCCCTCTTGATAACAATTTCCATCACTTTTCAGTAGGTTTCGGGAGGAATATTTACATAAATATTTTCAAAAATCCCCATAAAAAAAGTCATGAGCCGCTTAATCCGGTGACCTTGGCGGCATGTTGACATCACCAAATCGAGAAATTAAACGTCCCGGAAATATTATTCTCAAAAGATGCATTGTTTCCCTGGCTGTGTGACGAGCTGCTCCGTCCTGCTCCACTACACTTTCACGAACTCTCTCGATATTTTCGGGAGTACGAACAATTCGAACACGGCCCGACCTTCAACTTCACCTGTTTGTTCAAACTGCCAACTGACGAATGTTGACAGTGTTGACACTGGGCACATTATTTCAACCTAAATCTTGTCGTAGCTTCCGAATTGTTGCAACAATCGACTCATTATTTAAGTAAAACGTTTAAACAATACGCACGCGTTGTGGGATCGTATTGCGCTCCATGATGAATTGGATTTTAAACAACTACTATGGTGCGCAATTTAAATCAGTCAGTTATAGATTGGCCACCCTGTATAAATAGATGCCTATTAAACAACCTCTTCGTTGAGATTTTTTGACATATGTTCATTGATATACAGAAAGGAAAAAGCTTCCATCACGAAGAAGTCCCTCTCCTAGAAGGAGTAGCAGTGGAGCATCGAGTAGAAAGAAAAGCAGGCGGAGTACAACACCACGAAAAAGGGGCCTATCTCCCAAAAGAAGAAGCCCATCCCCTAGAAAGCGAAGTATATCACCAAGAAAACGACTATCTTCGCCAAAACGGAAGCGTAGTTTATCGCCGAGGAGGAGAAGCTCGCCCAGAAGAGGTGCCTCTCCTAAACCCTCGTCTAAAAGGTTGCGCTCCAAGTCGCCGGAAAGGATTCAGACTATTATGGACTCTAGGCCTAGGTAAGGTCATAAATCCAATTAAATGATATACAGAATATTTTCAGGGAAATTGTAAGGCCTTGAAATACGAAAAAAGTTCATATAAATGTAAGATGCAGAAATGGCGAGTTTTAGCCCTACTTTAATAGTTCAAAATTTAGATAATACCTCTCACTTGAAAGAAAACATCATCGTGAAGTAAGCGGAATTGAACTTGCTTCAGTGTGTTAGGCAAAATGCAATGAGATGAGTGCATTACGTTGGACGCATGAGGTCATTTATATAATAATACTAATGATAACAGGGCGAAGCTTAGACATATGATACTCTTCCAGTTGTTAACCCTGATGTAATATTAAAAAATGAAACTGGAAATCCTAAATCATGCATCTCTTGAGGTTTGAAAACAGTTGTGTATAAAAGTGGGGCAAGTATCCAGTCAATCTACTTGACACCGTTCTTCCAATTGCAGGTCACCACCCCGATCAACCTCACCCCACGAAGGTTTGAAGCGCAGTATCGCCGACTCGACAATTTCCGATGACCTCCTACCTCAACCTAGCCTTCCGTACGAGGAGTACGCGAACTCACCCTCGTTCTTCGAACGCAGATCGGCGGATTCTCCAAGGAGAATCCCCTTGGAGGAACGCATCAGCCAGGTGCTGGGGGAGAGCAAGGAGGAGGAACCTAAGGCGATCACTTCCACGTATGATAATTATGCGAGGTACAGTAGAAATATTCTCAAGGGTATCTTTCTACCTGAATATGTATTTAGGAAACTACTCATCCCAGATGAAAAGTTTCGAACAAAACCGGTTTCGAGGGTGCAAAATGTCGGGGACCTTGATAATGACCTTGACTACGACATTGAGGTCATTTCAAGGTCAAGTTGATATTTCTGAAAAGAACCCCATTTTTTCTACTTTGTAATTGAAAAAAGGAGAAAAATTGCTCGAAAGCACCGTTGGAGGTTTGTGGGATCATCCAAAGTTGACCTTGATCATGAAGTCAAAATTTCCAAGGCAATCTGTTTTTTACACTGGAGGTAGAAAAGTAATAAATTTTACGTCCAAATGTGACCTTGACCTCGAAGTCAAGGTCGAGCCAAGGTTAGAGGTTATTTGAGGTCAAGGTCACAATCGGATGTAAAATTTCTTGCTTGTTACATCTCCAGTATAAATATGAGAGGTTTACTTTGGAAATATTGACTTGATCTTAAAAGTCATGGTCAAGGTCACCTATGGGTGGTCGGCACAAACCTGACAACTGTGCTGTCGAACGTTTCTGGTACAGCAAATTATTTTCAACGACTTGATTTAACTTTGAAATGACCTTGAAGGCAATGGTCGAGGTTACGTATAACATGTCTAGCGCCTATTGTCATTCTCATAAGTATCCATTACGGTATTATAACAGCTGATTATCAGGTAATATTTCAAAATTCCCCATGTCGGTAAATGGCACAAAATTCTACGTCAAGTAGACAGAGCAGTATTTTGTTTTGGTTTTTTGTACGCTACAGATTCATTTTGTACTTGCTAACAACTCTTTTATTTAGAAAATTTCATTTGCATACAAGAAAAAACACTACAAGCAAGCTTTACTGGACTTACACCTAATTCATTATTGCCAATGTTACAGCTGTTCACCTCAGTAGACGTCAAAATGTGATGGATACTCGAGGCTCACAACATGGGACAGTTCATAGAGGATGCTTAGCTTCCATGCCGAGTATTTGAACACGACTTTTTTGCTGTTCAAAAACTTTGTTTGCCTCCTAATTTAGCAGTAACGTTTTAATGCTACCCAAATTTGTTTGTTTGTTTTAAGACTTATTTAGCATTATTGCTACAATTACATTCTTCTAAAAAACTAAACAATTACATAACATACAGACGTTCAGAAAAAAAAACAAAGTCTGCATCTCTAAGAATTTTCATTGTCCATGAAATATTCCTTTAATTTTCCTTTAAATACCTTTAAATTACAAGTAGACTTTATATCATTATTTAGTTTATTAAATTCAAGTAATCCTTTCTGAAATATTGATTTGCTAGTTATAATACTATTGCAATTTTATAAATGAAAATCTATATTTCCTCTTGTATAATAATTGTGGTAATGATTATTCAATTCTGTAGTGTTCTAAATGTTCTGGCAAAAGATGATTTTTTATTTTAAATATAAAAATAAGAACCAAATGTCATTTATCTTCACGAACTTTCTGCAGCATTTTAAAGTAAGCAATCATTCCAAAAACCAAAGAAGAAATTTTGGACCTGGACTCAACTTAGTCTTTTTATCATTTACAGGTACAATCAGGGGGATTATTCTAATCAAATGGATTATCCAACAACCAACTACAAGCCAAGCAGTTATGTACAGGTGGGAAATATGCTGCAAATTGTGCCAACTGAATTGCCTGCAGAAAGGCCTACAGCAAATGTTGAAGTGGTGTGTCAGGATAAACCCAGTATAATACAGGTACAAGCCTAGTTCTATTTCGTTCTATTTACTGAATTTGTGGAGGTGATATGGTTGTCAAAAACTAACGTTTTTATTTGTACGACCGTTTAGAAAAAAAGTTGTATCTATACAAAAGTTATAGGGTTTGATATAAGGTTTTATTCATAGGTCGGAAACATGCTCCAGATCGTGCCAACTGTAATTTCTCCTCAAATGCCTCCCCTACCGCCAACTCCCGCAGCCCCAAAAGAACAGATCCCTGGAATCTCAGGTGCTTCTGAAGCGATCGCCTCTCCGTCTCCGGTAATGAAGCAGTCAGCCGAAGAGAGCATGCAGCAAAAGGTGGCTGAAAGAAGGGCTGAGAGGGAAAAGCGGAAGCTTGAGAGGGAGAAGAAGAGGGAAGAGAAGGAAAAGAAGAGGAATGAGAAGGAGAAGAAACGGCAGATTCGATTGAAGTTGAAGACGGAAAATATGATCAAGGTAAGTTCATTTGTGGCAACAATACAGACATTTATAGTTTTTCTTTCAATTTTTGGCATAGTGTCTGGTTACTCTGAATGCGTCTAAAAGATAGAAACTTTAAAATCAGATCATTCTTTATAGTATAGTTTTTGATATGATGTCTGTCAATTAAGTAATGAGACCGGTAACGTGGCGTTCGTTGTAGGCGCCGGGCTTAGAGGGGGTACAGGGGAACATGTGATCCGAGTCATTTGGTTGTTGGTGGCGATTTTTTCTTTGCGATACAGTTTTTTCTATTGTGTTCTAAGAATTAGTAATCTTGTGCGTTCAGATCGTCGGCTGACAGTCAGAATGATCGGGAAAGAGATGAATTTGACTCACACCACCATTCAGATTTGGACCACTGAATTGGGGGCGAGAATAATTTGCGCAAAAGTGGTTTCAATAAACCAAAATGACATCAAGAAGGAAAGGTGCCTTGACTTTTTGGATTCGATTGAAAATGACCCCCATTTTCTGAACGTGACTTTACTGGTGACGAGTCTTGGATGTTTGAATACAACCCAGAAACCAAGTGCCAGAACATGTGGTGGCACACTTCAACCTCTCCAAGGCCCAAAAGAGCAATGAAGACAAAGTCGAAGATCTAATGCATGCTGATTTGTTTTTTCGATATCCATGGAGTCGTCCACAAAGTGTTTCTACCTCAAGGCTAAACGGCCAATCCAAACTTTGAAAAAGGGTCATTCGTGTGAGACCAATGTCAATAAACGAGTTATGTGGCCAGTAAAAACATTTCTGTGGCTCCTCATTGCTTAATTTACAGACCTCGTACACCTTGATAAGCTGTTTGATCAAATAATTTTCCATTAATCAAGCTACTTGACGCTGTTCACTACCTTTGGTTATTTATAGCGAGCACTCCAGCTGGAAGTAGGTGGTGAAGAAGAGGAAACCGCCAATGGGACTCAAGCTAAGTGGCCTCCCATTTCAGTGGTATGCAGTACTCCAAAAGATATCGGAAAGAGCATATTGAGTGTGGGGTAAGTATTTTTTTTTTCATACTTTACAAGAGCGAGAGAAAGGTGACCTATAGTAACAAATTGACAAAATATTAATAATTGTACTGTTTATTTTTTAGTGCTGATTACTTTTTTTTATTAGACCTTTCATTAGTGTGAAGGTCCATGTTAATTGAACAACAAATTAATATCAATGTTTCTCTTTTTTATCGTCGACAAAAAGTATGGAGGTTACTTGGAAATTTATCCGATGTTAAAATGTCCTTGAAGGTCATGGTCAAGTTAATTGGCAAGGATATACTCGTACTTTAGCTTAAAATTGTCAGAAATTTGCATTTCAGAAATTGAAAAAAATTCATTTGCGCAAAGCGCTATCTATCACACCAGAATTGACACCAAGCCTAGACCATGCTGTTGAGTAGCCAAAAAGCACGAAACAGCTGTCCATGTTCTGACTTTTCGGTCGGGCGAACGAAAACATCATGTTTAGTTTATTCAATGGCAAGTAAACTACATCTACTTCACAGCCAGAATCGTCAGCCATCTAGCGGTCACGTGATGCCTGGGCTATTAAACGTGAACTGAGATCCCCAACAGGTTATCTTCAAGTATTTTTTTAAGATAAAGCATCATTTCGGAAACTGATCATGTTTTATTTTTATAGGAAACGTGAAGGGAAAAGCACTCCTCAGAAAGTTGTATCATTTGCTGACGGTATTAGGCCAGGTGAAGGTACTTCGCCATCTGCTGGCGAGGAATTGAGCTCTCCACCACCGAAAAAATTACCTAAGGAGAAGCGTTACACGAAAACCAATATAGTGGAGAAGAATAAGAAGAAGAAAGTTAAGGTAGGATTATGTCATAACTTTATATTATGGTCCACTTTCTTGTTTTGTATTTTTTTGGTATTATTAAGTGATCATCTTCGATTTTTAATTTGTATTATTTTACGTTTGTTGTTAGTTCTAACTATTGTTTCTTTTTATGTACTCGATCTTATTTAGCTTTGAAATCATTTCTTTTATTTTTAAAAGAATATTGTTTATTGTATTGATATGAAGTTAATTCGTGCCTTTGGCCATTTAATCGTGCCATACAGATTCTAAACATTCATTTGGAATTCTATAGGATAAGAATGGAAGTAAGCCAGCTACGGAGATTGTGTCTGATGGGAAGAAAACTCCAAGGTACATTGGAATAAGGAATGGCAAAACCGGAGATAACACGCAGAAAAACGTAATGAGCTCCTTTAATTATCTTGTATGGGCAGAATATATCTTTTGATAACGTTTTCTTGAATCGGGAAAGTCTTCTTTTATTAGGAGTTTAAGACAAATAAAGATCATAGCAAGCAATTCATGAATGGGTTTAATGGTCGCTGATCTCTCGACCTGGTACACCGTTGTTTATTTCTGATGTTTCACTTTTGGTATAGTTAACACAAACGCGTTGTTTTCTTTGTGCAATATACGAGCGAAACAACTGTAGTCCCAAGCCACGAATTCCATACCTATGCAGTTTGAGAAATAGTAGCTCATGGTCCACATAATCGAACGCACGATAGAAATCTGTGAATAAACCGTATATATGTATATGTTTTTTTTATCTAGTGCAGTCATATAATGGTCAAAATTAGGAAACCATGTATAATTTTTAACATTTTAGAAATGTTCCACTAGACACTCTGTATAATAATTGTTTTTTTTTAACCTTTGCTTAGAAGCAATATTCTATCCCCACATGGATGGGACACCCCCAATATTTGAACAGCTGGCAAAGTCGCCTTGGCGTCCCCGTGAGGGAGAGCTGTTAATATACTGTACCTCGCACACCTCTTAATGACATGTTTGCAGCATTTCTGAATGTCAAATATACAAAGAAGGTCCAAGGTTATATGCCTTCCACAACAACCTCCACCATTAATCCCCCCTGTTTCTTCCACCTTACAGGTGAAGATAATCAAGAAACCTCTCCTACCGCTACTATCCTCGGATGGCCCCGACTCAGACGAAGACGACAACCTGCCGCCTCCATCCCCACCACCTGGCTCGCCGCCTCCGCATATCTTCCCGCCGCGCGTTAAAGTGCCCGCCCCCAATAACCTGATCCCGTACGCCACGCCCACGCATATGCAGATGTTTGGGGCGCCGCTGGGGTTGATGATGGCTCCGCCTCCGCCACCACCGCCTCCGCTGCCCCCGAATACTCCGCCTGGGAGTAGACAATCGCCTGTTGGACATGGAGGCAGATCGTTAGGTGAGTTATAGGGAATGTAAGGGGTCTGTAAATTAAGTGATAAGACTGTTTTTTTTTTATTTAAATTTAACTCTTCCCCGATCATTCTGGGCCCTGAAGGCCTTCCGCTTTGTGGTTCATCTTCAGTCGACTCTCTTATGAAAATGTTTTAAACCACCGAAAATCTTGGCTCTTGACAAAACACTATCTCCGTAGGCCTACTGAAGTTTAGTAAGAGTCAATAATTCGAACTCCACCGATGGCATCAACATCAAATGTGACCTCGTGAATCCGTGTCACTAGGGCCGGATTTTACTATTCTGGTCGTAAAATTTGCGTCTCGGACGCAAATTCTACCAATCTGAAGGCATTTGGGAAATAAAGGATCTCCTCAAATTAGCGAAAAATTATATGATTTGTGTAATATGGGCCTCTAATTCTCATATTAAATCAAGAAATGCCTCATTTAGTTACAGAAACTTATCTTTATATTTGACCTTGGATGCAAAATTTGCGACCTAGTCGCAAATTCGACCAATTCTTAGGAAGGATTTACGCTCTGCTCGAAACAAGTGTCAAACCTGATACAATATCTATATTGATATGGCAGAAGTTACTAAGCATTTTATTGAAAATAACATTGTCACTACATATCTGGGAGATATGTCTGATATATTTTTAACAATCCATCCATATGACCGCTGAGGTTAACTACAAAGCCTATTTTTCCTCTTTATAGGTTTGTAACAGGGCAGTTAAACTAGGTCATTGATTTTTGTCCTTGGTTCACAAAGTTCTGCTTAATAAATTCTTTAAAAACATGAATAAAATTTGAGAATGCTTATTTTTTAACAAACATGGATATTATTCAATTTACTTAACTACCGTGTGAAAAACCCGGTATCTCTATAACTACTTTTATGCTTAACACTTGTTTAAAGTCAATTTCCCCTGGCTTATCGCAACATGGAGCTAATTACAGTAGCGGACAAACGTTTGGAAATATTCTTAGTAATTTTTAAAAAGTGCGCCAATTTTTTATTCTTTAATATTAAGGACTATTTTTTTCTCATATAGTTTGCTTACGGTCTTGAGGATACAAATGATAATCTGTTTGCTGTGGTACTACTACGTACTAGCATTAAAATACCTTCATATTATTTTATGACCGAAAATGAGACGACGAAAGTATGGAAACATATTTTTTGTTACAAAATTAAATACAATAAGATTGAAAACATACTGTTTAGCTAATATTTGGTAGCATAGTCTTTAGCATTCAACACTGCCTGACATCTGCTGCACATAGAAGACAGCAATTTTTTACAAACGTCTGATGGGATATTTTACCAAATATTTTTTACATAATCAAATAAATCGTTCCTATTTTTAAAAGTTTTTATTGTTAGTTGTAACATGCTCTCAGAGATGCTCTATAGGGTTTAGGTCCGGCGATTGCGAAGGCCATGAAAGACCATTAACATTTTTTAGTCTTAACCAGTTTTTTACGAATTTTGAGGTATGCTTGGGGTCATTATCTAGCTGGAATGTCCATCGTAAAGACTTTTCTTCTTCAGCAAAACGGAGCATGTATTCACTTTGTATAGTTTATCCATTTTCCTAATAATTTTAACAATTGGTCCCGTTCCAGAACTAGAAAAACAGCCGCAAACCATGATGTTGCATCCACCGTGCTTAACTGTGGAAACTGATACTTTTTGTCGAAGCTTTTTCGTATTGGGCCTCTCACATATGTTCTGTCCAAGTTAGATGAGTTTTAGCAAATTCAAGCTGAGCAATACGATTTTTTTTAAAATGAGAGCCGTTTGCACTGGACGCCTACCAAAAAGCCCAAAATCCACCAACCGTCTCTGCGCTGTTCTGACAGAAAGATTCATGGGACAAACAGTTAATGTAGCGATCCAAAACATGACCGGTTTTTTCGTTCTTCAGCACCTGGGCCGCGTTGCTGTTGATCCGTATTCTTGGTATTTACTAATAATTTTCGAAATCGTCCCTTTTGTACATTCGTTATCTTTGAGAAATGTCAACATTTCTGACACCACTAAATAATTCAATTACTTTGCCTCTTCTGATTTTTTTTTACTTTTACCATACTCACTTATGTTAATATTTACCGCACGCAATATCACAGTATCGCAGTCAGAATAAATACGGCAAAACTGAAATGTTTCCATACTTTTGTCGTTACAAAAACTGTGGTACTTAAAAAAAACGCGTGTTTTTATGTTCAGAGAATTTGAATATTGATAAGATAAACCTTGTATTAGTACGGGAGTCAAAGGTAGACTTTAATAATTATATTATCGGTTCCTTTACAATTTTAATTTAGGTATATGAAATAGTTCATAATAATATTAATATTTGTTTCCAAACTTTTGTCCACTACTGTATACTGCTGGCGATGAAACGACTACGCCACCTACCATGACATCGGTAGTAAAATCGGGCCTAGATGTCGTTCTCGGAATGGCAGAATTTATTTTCTCACTCAATGCATGAATGATACCCAAAATAATGAATATGAATTTTAATTGAGTGAACATTGCAAATAATAGAACTGAGGGTTGAAAACGTAAAAACTTCATCAGTACATTGTTTATAGGTCTTCAACAGTAAATGGTATTTGGTGAGTAATCAGTTTGCACCCACTGTAGTGAAGATCCTAATTTATTTTTTTTTAATTTTTTCCAATTTCTCGTTTTAATTTGCCAAACGTCCTATATCAACGTTTTCCACCCGTCTTAGTGACTATTTTTACTAGCTTTTATTTTAAAAACGAAAATGGAAACTCTGCCTTTAGATGTCAACCTCCCATCTGCTTATTATTTTCCGTTCATTCCACATGCCACCTTACGTGACAAAATTAACATTCTCATTCAATTCATCACGTTACACATTTTCCATACAAATACCCCAAAAATTTATGTAAACATTGTTACTATCTTTTGCTAATGGGTATGGCAATAAAGAACTCCAAAATTAGCTATTGAAAAAGTCCAACATTCTGAGCTATATACAAATATGCAGCCGATTAATGTCTAGCCAGAAGTCGAGAAGCAGTTCTAAGTCACAATATATGAACAAATCATTGAATTGATTGGAAAAACAATTTTTTTTAAAAATATCAAGCTAATTTAACAGAAACAGCAATCCAAATGGTGGTGGAAGACTGGAGAAGAAGTACAGATGAGACTGTAACAGTATTTTTAGACTTCAAAAGGGATTTGAGACTATAGATAGGGAATCAGTATTCAACATTTTACAATATTATTTAACCAGTAGAAATCAAAAAACTAAAATTGGAAATATATACATATTCAAAATATATCAGTCGTGGTGCCACAGGGGAGTAAATTTTATATATATATTATAAAAAAAATATTTATTACCACTACATTTAAAATACTTCACAAAATTAAATAGCCATTATCATAACTTTGAAACTAGAGACAGTATAGATTTTCATCTTCAAAATTGTAATTGTAGCATAACCAGCACATCTGTATTTCAAAAGGGAGTATTTGAATTTAATAAATTGAATAATGACATTAAACCGTGTTGGAATTTAAAAATGTTTTTAAGGTGAAATTAAAAAGTCACTTTATGAATACTCAAGATTTATCGTGATGTAATTTTAATAGACAAGAATGAAAAATTACAGATGATTTAAAACACGTTTACTAGCACTAATGCTAAATAAATCTTCAACAAACATACAAAATGGGTGCCAAAAGTTTTCTGGATATCAATGTTTTCTCCCATCTCCACTAATCACATACAGCGTTGCTTCACCCTTTTAAGCGATTTTCAGTATCGAATCGACTTCTACGAATGAAAGAAGATAATATCCAACCGCACTCAAAGTGTGTTTGTAATGATAGTCGGTGTCCCATAGGTATCTCAATATTTTTAATTTGCCTTTGTTTTTCAGGGTCGCATAGCCATAGTCATCGTACCCAACTTTATCATTTTTGACTGTGCAAATAATGCTGACAAGATGTATAACATGTACAGAAACTGTTTAAGGTTACAATTTTTGCTACTCCGCGGGAGTTGCTACGCACGATTTAGTGGGGTTTCCTGTTTGTTTTTTTTTATGTTAAAACTATTCTATTGAGTAACTGATATGAAATAATTCTTTATATGTACCTAGATCTTTTTTTTAAATAAGTGATACTGCTAGAATTGTATAGTTTTTCTTATTCAGTGAATAATAACTATTGTCTGAGACTGTAGTAATATATTGTTTCTTTGCAACAGCAGCTTATTGTCTTATTAACACAAGGGCAACTCATAGTAGTCTGAGGATAGAATTCACTACCCTAGTACCATCAGAACAACTATTTATTCTTTATTGAGACGTTCATCACAAAGGATGAGATATTGGAAAAGCGTCGTGTAGTTTATTTACCAGGTAAGAAATATTAAGGTAAAAAGGCAACGTTTCTCCGTACTCACCCGCTTTTTGTAGGAACTCTTGAAAACTACTGAGATGTGAACACTTCAATATGAGCTCATGAGTGAAACAGTTTTTGTTTATTGGCACTTCGTCACTTATATGCAAAACTAGACCGAGTAATGTACAATATCGAAAATAAGACATAGGCTACTTGAGTTTGACATTGCCACGGTAATTTCGGTATATATTTTTTTAGAATCAGTTATTAAAATAATCTTTTCGGTTCAGATTCATGGCGACATCGGAATGCAGGTCAAAATTCAGTTGAAATAATGCCTCAGGTATCTCTTGAATTTCTTCATTCCTTCAACCACAAGATTTTTTAAAAGATAAAATTACGGCGACATGCGCTATTGCACAGATATCGAAAGGCCTTCACTAGTTTCTTGGTTATATTTTTTGTTTATTGGGACTATGCTACAAAACTAATAAGACCTGCTAGAATCCTGCTTCCTCTCCTCAACCTCTCTGCAGTACGTTTCTGTTTTGATAGAACTACTACTGGATATGGATGAAAGACTGCTGCAATCGGCTTGCCTAGGTTGTAGATGAATTTGAATATCCCACTGCCTTTTGACTCTGAACTGTTTATTCCTACGGTCATTGGACTTAGCTAAACGATGTTGTTCTATCACGTCAATGATACCAGGCCTTATGTCACCACCTTCTGTAAAAATACCAATCGCGTTCAGGATCTTCTCGTTGAGTTTTGGAAGGTCCTTGCTGTTCAGCTTCAGTGGGTGGGACTTTTCTGAGGCAGTAGCTACAAATTTAAAATAAATCATTGTTTCGTGTCTTCTGATTCTAAAGAAATGATATTTTGCCTAAAGGCATTATTCTCACCAATGGCAACACTATATTTTTACTAATAAGACTGCGGAATATGAATAAGACTATTTTGATTTATAAAAATGACATCTATTCTAATATTTTACAAACACCCACGTAACACCATAAACACGTTTCAAGTTTTGTAGTTTAAAGCGGTTTTATAAGGGTAAAAAAATATAATAGTTTTAAGGTTACCTTGTAGATATACTGTAAGATCTTTAGCATTTAGTATTGGTTTTAAAGAATTTAATAAGATTGTCAAATAAGATTATCTAATCTTAAAAGTTTTCTTATTGTAGTTTTAATATCATTTAGTCTCAATTAACTTTAAAACTAATCAGTTTTATGGAGAACTTGTGGGCTGTTTGGTTTTATTTTGTGGTAGTTAGGACCCTGTAATTTTTTGACAGTTTTAAAGATTCTACTAGTATAAGTAATAAAACCCATTATTAAATCTACTTGATCTTACAACTATTGTGTCAGTGAATAATATGTATTTAATACATCTTTTTAGATTTCCCTAAAACTGCTTTCTTAAATGCAATTAGCAAGCTATATTAAAAGTGAACGCTCTTAACTTAATGAATTTGATTATCGTATAGATTTATTGTTAGAAACAATAAAACTAAATTCATCCACCCTTTTTTCATGTCCATAATGGACGCCGCATTTTGTTTAGAGTGTAACAGTGGTGCAGAGTATGGTTAATTTTAACAATTTTATTGTTAAAAAACACATCAGAACACTCCGACTCGTCTTACATAGAATAATAAACTATTAACTTGAAGGCGTAATCCGATTTATTTCAACTTTGCAATTTAATAGAGATATAATTATTTTGCTTTCAAACTGAAGTTTTTCACGTTTACGATTTTTTCTTATTTTTTTGTATTGCAAGACTATTTGAGATGGTTAAATTTTTACGACCTTTTTTGTTAAAATTTATTGATAATTCGCGCACGCAAGCATTTTTCTACCATATATAGCCATCTTTTATTTTTTATTATTTTATGGTTATAGATACGTACCTATACAAATTCGTTGGCCTACTATCTGTTGTATGTTGATAATAAGGCAAATTATCTTTAAAAGGATACATTTAATAAGCATTTTTTTAGTGTACTTTAGAACTGCGTGTGATTAAAATGTATTTAACTGCTTTTAAAAGTAACTCCACCTCCAGTATGAAAAACAGTTGCTCATGATATTAAAGTTTTGGTTTTATTGACCGCTTTCAGTGTGGGCCCTTTCATGCTAAAGGCGAGTTTATTACAACCTTAACGTTTATTTAAAAACCACTTGATTTTATTTGCATTTATATTCCTCAGTTTCAACGCATCTTTTAAATACTTAATAAACCCGTTCGGTGCTACTTGGGTAAAGTTCATCCAGATCAATCAATCATTACATGTAGTATTTTTATACAGTAAAAGTAACACACCTTACGCGCAAGCATATTTCTCAAATCTGGTGTAAAAATTATTTGCTAGAACCAAATCAGGAAAAACCTTTGAGCAACTTGTATTTGAATACTGTACTGAGTCTGGTTGCAACTGTCAGTTGTTCTGGATGAAAACGGTCATTTTTTATCGCAAAGGATTAATCACATTCATACCTCTGCAGTTTTTCTTGTGTTTCGTCAGCACTGCCTCAGATCTAGATTCTGGATATCTGCATTGGCTTAACATTTCAAACTGTTCATCATCCATTATCTCACTGTCACTATCGCTGTCGACAGTTACACTTTGGTCTTTAGAAATATTCTCGAACATCTCTTTTACTTTCTTTTGTGTCCTAGGCCCAACTTTCGAGGTATCTTTTGTACTCCTAATGTTATGCTTTTCGTTCAGCTTACTGATGTGCTGTGGCTGAATGTTGACTGAACCAAATAAAGATTTTTCCAACATGACTCGACTTTCGGGTTCGCTGGATCTCTTCTTGGTTTGTGTGAAAAAATCTTGACTCGCGCTGCGATTGCACATTGAATTCAAAAATACTTCAGGCTGAATATCGACCACATGGAATGAGGCTTTTTTAAGTTCAACATGTTTTTCCGTATAGGTGATTGTCTCTTTCTCATTTTTGTCATATGTAAAGAGTTCTTGTAATACACACTCGTTTAGTTTCGAAAAATTGAAGGTCTCGGGAATTGCGGGTAGTTTCACATTTTTGGGTATATCTGGTTTCTCACTTATTGATGAATGTTTTAGGCATCCATTTAATTCCACATGTTTGGTAAGCAAGATATCTACAATTATGTAACAATAACATTACTTTAAACACATATCAACCATTTAAAGTCTTATTTGAATTTTGTCTAATCAAACGATTTAACAAAAACAGTTTGAAAGGCCTTACCATACCTCTAGAAGGTTTTTCATCGACTTTATTCTGTTTTTCATGAATTTTATTCTTGTTTTTTGGATCCTCTTGATCTTTAATATCCTCAACTAAATCTTCAAGTTTTTCGTCAATCTTGTTGGCTTCCTGTTTCTTGATTACTTTTTTTATAGGTTGTTCTGCAACAGTATCTTTACAAGTCTGATGAGGCTTGTTCAGGAATTTAGGAAAAAGAAGAGAATAGTTCGGAATTATAGGAAATTTGAAGCAGTGCTCATCACTAGACTTTGTATCACCATGTTCTCCACTTTGCTCTCTAAGTTTGCTGTTCACATGATTGTGAAAATTATTAATATAGTTCAAAGCCGCAAAGTAGTTTTTCCTAGATACAACATCAAAGTTAGCATCTTCATGGGTAAATATAAGTTTTGGTTCCTGAAAGGTTGAAGTGAACAAGTCGGCTTTCTCAGTTTCAATTCCTTTGGAACTGGTGCTTTTTTTATTATGTGACCCTTTGGGGATGGAGGTAAGTGGTCTTTTTGTGGTATGCATCGCCAGAATTTAGCCAAAGGATGAATATTGTTGTTTTTATTGAATGGGCATACAGAACAGTCAACGTGACTTCTACAAAAATGACAAAATGTGTCAAAAAACTTATGGTTCTCTCAAACAATGCAAGATAATCGCGCGCAAAAAAACGGAAGTACATATAATTTTCACGGTATACAGAGCGAGTTTTTAGTATAGCCTGTGTCGATATCTTTAATTATAAAAATTGTAGCTCAAAGTATGCTTCTTGCTTGGAAAAAATAGACAGAAGATTGCTCGTAACTTTATTCTTCAAGGTACCTCATGGCAGATCATTTTCTTTCTTAATTTAGTCAAAGTAGGATGAGACTACAACATCTACTCAAGCTATAGCAGTGGTCGTCAACCTTTTCGGTGTGTTGAGCTACTTTGATAATTTTGGAATAACCAGTTAGCTACCTAGTCGTAAGCAATGTAAGCCAACATAAATGAAATTATACAAAGTTGCGACATACATGTGTTTATTTAACTAATACTAATACATACTAATAAAGTTAAACTAATAACTAATACATACTACATCCATTCCTACCAATCGTAGATGTTTGAAACATGAACAAAAATTTTCGTCAGCTACAATGGCATGTCATACGATTTAGTAAAGGTAACTTAAAAAAAACAATGCACTATTTTAAACAAAAACATGTTCAGATAAAACATTCGTGCATGTTCAATGAGAAGCCTGACACTCAGACTCACTGACATTTTTTTTTAATGTTTGGCGTATAATTTGATAACGTCATTCGAATACAACTATCCAAATGTTCATCTGTCGATTACGCTATTTGTTTCTAACAAACTTCAGATTTGGAAAAGGAAGATTCACGCAAATAGGTTGAACTAAATAACGCTTTTAACTTTCAAGGCAACACGACATAAAACTGAATATTTATCTTCACTTACTGAAGGCCAGATACATTTTGTATTTGAGACTAATTTCGGTCGCAACGATGTCTTCGCTAAAATTCTGCGTAACAGACGTTGCATACTGTTGGATATCAATTTCCATGAAGGGTGAAACAACAAATTGCGCCACTAAAGCAGTTTCGTTGAAATCCTTTAAACGATTTTTGAAGTTATCCTTCAATCTAGAGACTATTTCTACATGATATTTATTCTCATATGGTTCTAATGGACTTTGAGATATCTTTTCTGAAAGAACAGGAAAATGCCTGGTATCGCCATCGATTAAGTTTTGTTCCTAAAACTAAAGCTTTTTGATAAACGCTTTTGTATCAGCAATAATTTCTGCTAGTTCTGTGTCCCTCCCCTGAAGCTGCAAATTAAGTTCATGTAATTTTTCTGTTATATCTACAAGAAAACCAAAATCTCTAAGCCAGATTGAATTTTCCAGTTCCGAAATCGATTCATCGCGTTGTTTGAAAAATAGAACTATGGCAGATATGATATCATTAAAACGTTTCGTTCAGCACTTGTCCCCTACTTAACCATCGGACTTCAGAGTGAAGAAGTAGTTCCCCGTATTGACAGTCAATTTCATCGGCCACGGTTTTGAATAATCTTCTTTGTAATGCTTGAGCTCTAATCTTGTTCACAATTTTTACTACCAATTTCATAACGTTTTTTAGTTTAAGAAAATGTCCACTCAATGCTTGTTGATGGGTAATGCAGTGGTAACAGAGAAATTGCGGAAAACTTTCATCTTTACGCCATAATCTTACGAGCCACCATAGCGGGAACGTCTTCGGTTGTCAAGCCTACAATTTTCGATATTGGAATTTTCTCAGAAGAAATATTTTTAAAAGAAGAAAACCTGTCCTAAAAAAATCACTAAAAACCATTATGACGAACACGGCCACCTGAGAGGTCAACGATATCTGTGAATTCATCCAGCTGCAGTGAAAAATAAGCACAGTTATCGAAGTAATTTCTTAACTAAAAACTATGTCATTGCTCATTAGTTCTATTCGTCTCATCACTGTATTAGCAGAAAGTTGCATAGATTATAATTATAGAGACACGTCTTTATTTCTAAAGTTGGCAAACAATGAATCTGCAGCTCCTAAAAACGCCTGTTTTATTATTTTCCTGTCTTTATAAGGCTTCTTCTTTTGTGTAATTATCCGGGACGTATGATGCTTTAGTTGCAGCCTTACTTTTGTCAATTGTTTAAAAAAAAAATTGTTATCCAATTAACTGATTTTTTAATTGTTTCAGTTTTTCCGTTCTGGTTGCAGAACGTAATGGGAATGATTTTTCAAAATTGGAATGTACAGTTTTATAGACCCTCTCAATATTCCATTTTTTAGCCTCAAAAACATGGATTACATAACAAACATACATTTTTACCTTTAACTTCTGTAAAGAAATATTGTTCTTCCCATTCCAAATGGAAATGGTATGTTTTCATCTTATTACTGCTCATAATGTTTTTAATTGCAGGCCAACACTAACCCAACCACTGGACTTTGTACTGTTCAGTTCTAAACTGAGCGCACTATCGCCGCACCTTGCGTATTTATTCCGCTCAAAGTAATCGCGATCGTTCTCGAACAGATCGCTCACCGTAGCGTCGCCGCTGCTTGCGTTTATTATGAATTTACAAAAATTACAGTAGCTTTCGATGGTTTTTGTACCTTTTTAAAATACGTTGTGACCCACCAGAATTGCCTTTGGGAGCTACCAGTAGCTCGCGATCTACAGCTGGCGACCACTGAACTATAGTATAGAAACATAATCAAAAACCTGTATTGATTTGGGAAATTCAAAATTCACAAACACGAAACATCTTTAGACAAAGTTTATTTACATATTTTATCACGTTTAAATTATATACTTATCATTCCAATAGATCATTTAGCCAATCAGTATTTTCACTAAATGTTTCTATTGATGCTACACTGCCAACATCAACATCTTTTAGCAACTCATCTATTTTTGCCTCAAGCAGATTCTCAACATCATAATCTAGAGCTGAATTGTTTTTCCCTGTCTCCTCTATATTACTTTTATTTGTTGATACTTCTTCATCTGTGGTATCTGACTCATCATGGATTGTTTTTACAATCACCTCTTTACTGACTGGATCTATCTCTACCTCTATTTGTAATACCTCACAGTCACTATTTGATTCATTACAGTTGGCATCAGTTGTATTTTTAATCACATCAACATTATTGCTATCATTATCCTTATCGTTTTCCAAGTCATGCTCACTATTTCCTGCTACAGTTTGGGATATTCTTTGGCTTATATCACTGTTTATTGGTTGTATCTTTTTTGAATCTAATTTGTGATGCAGATGAGCATCAGACCATGTTTCTTTTATTCCATTTGATAAGCCTAATAATGTTTCTATGTCTAATGATAAATCGTCAATTTTATTTTTGGCTTAGTATGATTTCTTGTTCCTTTGTTCTGATATTGTGATGGAGTATTGGAATTGATATCTCTTAATTTCCGTTTATATATTTTTATATCTCCTTCTAAGGGATATGGACATTTTAAATTGGTGCACATCAAAATTGCTTCTTGAAAATTGATCTGTTTGATCTCTAATATGTTTTTACAACAAGGACAATCTGGAAATAAAAAAAATCATTTGATAATTGAAGACAAAAGTAGATAAAGGCGCCATGTAGTAAAATGATTGTATGGAGAAAATTGACTTTGAACATTTTTCATTCAGACTTGTTACTTTATTGACATTTTGAATATTTAGTTTAATTAGTTTGTCATTATCTTGTTTTTGCAACAAGAAGAAAGAATCGCTCCTAAGGTTAGTTTAATGCAAAAAAAAACAATTTTTAAAAAATTTCACGTCGCCTTTATCCGCGTATGTCTTCAATTGATAGTTGCATATTATTATGTAAACTAGCGTACCAGTTTCTTGTGTTGCTCGTTCTATATTTTGCATCTTAATAGTGTGGTAATGCTTAAAATTAAAAGCTCAAATTTAGAAACGATTTTTTTTTTTACATCTTACGTCAATTTTGTTCTATGTTCGTTCATTCGTTCATTGAACAAATAATTCGATCATTTCTGCCTCTTCCTCTATTGGCAACACTGATTCAGTTTTAATTTGTCAATGTCATTTTTTGATATTGTCAAAAAAGCCTACTACAAGGTAAGATGAGTCAGGTGTTAACACTATAGAACTGGACATCACAGCCAAAAAAACTGTGGAAGGAAAGATGGCGGATAAGAATACGTTATTCCTCCTCTTACACTCGGAGTGTTATTTCTGTCATTCTTCCATGCTCTGTGAAATTAGTTGACAGATAGCAGCAATGACCCGTCTGTCATTTTCCGTTTTCGATTTGCCTTTTGGTACACAAGTGAACCCATACGTCAATGCAGTAATTTATGTAGATTTTTCTAATTACCTCAATGGATTTTCGTGATTTTCACCAATGTTGTCGGTGACTACATTTGTGAAATCTTGATAATCCGATAGATGCAAGAAATGTACTCTGGAAGTGATTCTAACGAGTCTCAAAAATACACGCAATGGCCTCTCAGTGCATCAGCCGGCAATGCCGGTTATGCCCCTTCGGCAGGAGAGCAGGTAGCAAAAACAATCTACCAATATTCACACCATTATTTCATCTTTTCCTTCATCAACATATGATTTATAAGTTTACTCATAGTCAGAATGAAAATGTCTCCTCGCAAGTATTTTGTGATAAAATAGAAAAAAATTAACTTAAAAATGATAGTGCATGGAAGGAAACACCATCAAAATGCATATAAAAGGATTTTTATTTCTAAGAAAGGCTCCTAGTAACATTGAATTATGCATGATGCCTGAAGAGAACCAACCTAATGCTATATTTCTGCAACCAAAATTAATCTGAGAAAATTAAATGCTGTAGTATCTTTGGGGGTTTGTTATAGCTGTTTCTTTATTTACTATATATACTCTGGAAAGGATAGCAAAGTAGCCACCTATATGCTTGTAAAAGTTTATACAGACCTTTTTCAATTGCAATTGCCAATTGTAAGCCAAAACATGGGACATTTTAGAATCTATGTTCATATCAACATTCCATGTTTTTCTATTGAGCTACATTATGACTACAAATATCAGTGTTTTCTGAATCCTTGTACACTACTTAAAATTTACAACTATACAAAAAATACAGTCATATGTAAAAATAGGTGGACTGGGCAGCACTGGCACAACAATGGATCATCATGAAAGAAGCAGGCCCTCCTCCACCTGTTCCTGGAGAACAACCTGTACTTATCAATAACAAAAAGGACAAGGGCCAAGATGATGCTGAAGGTATGATTCACTGCATATGCTTTGCAAGTATTAATGCAAATGTTGACATTATTTAGCAAAATATAATGTTCTTAATATACTTAAAAAGCAAATTTTGTACCAGAGGTTAGAACATAACTCTAATTTATTGAAACAAAATAGGTAAATGCAATGAAGGTATATTGAATTGCATACTCATAAATCTTTGTCCATTTTGCAGTCAAGTTGGAGTATTGTCGAACAACTTATATCAGGAAACGGGGATACTTGATACTAGACCACTTTATTACTTACATGCCACCTTGTACCATAAGCATTGTAATGAAAAAAATTCCCCTAAACACAAGCATAACACAATTTTGAATAGGCTTTATGTAATATCCAAAGACCACACAAAGGATTATTCAAAAAATTAAATGCTTAGCAGCTAAATTATATAATGTTGTACCAAACAAAATAAAAACACTTAAATTTGGGAAAAAATTGAAACAAAAATTAAAAGACTGGGTTTGTACTATGCAGCAAATGATTATACATAATTATATAGAAAACTATAACAAAAAAAATCCAATTATATTAATACTTTTTAAAATTAACAATAATTGTTATACACATATGTTTTTTGCCTGTTTTGTATGGCAAATAAAGAGTATTGTCATTATTATTAAATGGTGATATGAATGATTTTTTTCATTTCTCATTAACTAATATTTGTTATTTTATAGTTCTCAAGTATAAAATAAGGCTGAAGGCATTAATCTGTAAGAATATAAACTGTAAATAATAATTAAGCAATATTTGAGTCACATGGATATTCTTTATTATTGCATCTTCTATTTATATCAAAATGTTCCAATGCAAATCTAGTCCATTTTTTAAATGAAAAAACATTTTTCTGAGTTTTAGAATGAGTAGTCTTAATTTCTAATATTGATGAATAGAAGAATATAATCATAAATAATCCAATTAGAAAGTAATAGAAAAAATCAACAAGTAATATAGTAGAATATGGAAAATTAAATATAACAGAAATGTTATCACACAAGAAACATCAACATTCGCTCAAATATTTTTTATGGGTGTATACATTGAAAACCAAATTTGTCTGACACAAGAAGTGTGTTTCAATACATTTTAGAAGGAGATAGAAGCTGCTGGCTGAAGAGCGAATGTCATCACCACATTGCCTAGCAATGTGCCAATATGTTACACTAGAAAATGTTTACACAGACTTCTTCAATAGGTAAGTTTGCTGTCAAACCCAAGAAGGAGGTCTCGGACATTTAATTTAATATTTAGTTTTCTGAATCGATCCTAAACAGATTCGACGCTCAATATAAAACCAGTATTTGGGCGTAAATAAAGAACTAACGCATATTTTCAATATGCATCTTAATTCAAGGAACTGGTGTAACATATTGGAAACGCGGCAGATTGCCGTCTATACACATTTCTCTCTTGTACATATTGAACACAGGCCATCAAACAAATTTGGTTTCCAATTTTTATTGTAAACATGTCTTATTCCCTTATTATCCTAAAATTTCATAGGTGGCCTTTTAATATATTTGGTGTTGTAATTTGCCAAACTTTGTGTTTCTTTTTTTTTTACATTGGTTTATTGTAGTTAGTTACTCATAATCATCAAAATATTCTCACGTCTTATCTAATTTTAACAAATTTTGATGCAACATTGGATTATAACTAAGGTCTCAACTTATAAGAAACAGGTCCAAGGACTCAAATGTTTGATATTGTATCACTTTATTCTTATAATGCAATCCACATGTCTAATTAGTTAAACATTGAGCTTTGGCCGAAGGTTGTGTTATAGGGCGAACGTCGCCTTTGGTCAAAAAATCGTCCTTCAGACTTTACTCATTTAGTATAAAGAATACCTTTCCATAACGAATCCTTACTCAGAAGGCGGTGAGGCCCCAATGGAAGTGGAAGCCGATCGCGGAGATTCCGCGTGGCAGTCGGCTGCGTCGTCCGCCAATTGGACTTGGCCTCCCGCCATGTCCGCCCAAGGTGCATGGTCGAGCGCGTGGGACAACGCCTCAGCTTGGGGGGCCCAGGCGGCAGCTGCCGCTCCACCGGCACCGCATATCTCCGGATCTAGGACGCCGCTGCTACCCACTCCTGACGCTGCGGGGACATCCAGGGGGTACAACACGTATGCATATTATTTTTATACAGTGCTTTTCAAATTAATATGACTATACAGGGTGTCCGCAAAGTTGGGGTTTTCCTTTTCAGAAACAACTACCCTTGAAATAACAAAGATAATGTGTAGTGAAACGAGGGCGACCAAATAAAGGAAAAAGTACTCACTCGAGAAGGGCTAAGTACGTCTCTGCCCGAAATCATACCGCTCCAACAGAAAATGAAATCAGCTGATGCGCTACCGAGCAGACGCAGGCAAACAAGGAAGGCAAAATGTTGCGTAAAAGTCTAGGTATTGCATCCCGTCCAATCAATTTGGGAGAATAAATGGTCCAATGAGCATACCGTTCACCATGCCAGCCCAAACATTCACCGAAAATGTTTGTTGAAAATGTGCCCGACGGACAGCGTGCGGATTTTCTACCGACCAAACATGAGTGTTGCGAAAGTTATTTACCCCATTACGCGTGAACGTAGATTCGTCCGTCACCAATATGCACTTCAAAAAGTCCGGATTATTGTCATGTTGATGCAACAACCACTCACAAAACCGCACTCTTGCTGGAAAATCGTCAGGTTGAAGGGCTTGTACACGTTGGACGTGAAACGGATACAGCTCCTCTTCACGCAGCGTTTGCCACACTTTAGTTTTTGATAATTGCACTTCTCTAGCCACGTCTCTAGTGCTTGTTGAGGGATTCTCGTCTACGCGATTACCTCTACACTCGTGACCGTAACTGTCGGTTGAAGGTTGCATACTGACCTGACACACTGACCCCGACCCAGTTCTGTCGTCGGGTTGAGCTAGCGTCCTAGTACCACTCGGGGATGTCGCGGCTACAGGACGGTATTCAGATATTTTTGATGTTGCAGAGCCCTTTATCTCGGTTCCCTTAAGACATTGGTGTATATGGTACTAAGAAAAATTGCTTATGTTTTCAAGATCTACACGTCGTGTAAAGGAAAACCCCAACTTTGCGGACACCCTGTATAAGTAATGAAATGGATGCATGAAAACTATATCTTAGCATTGAAAATATCAAGATGGCAGCCGGACGCCATTTTGGAACATGTTTTTTAGTGGAAACTTTGAAAGATGGCGATTTTACATTCCATAAAGTACTCGGTAGGAAGCACGTCTCACGATTCAGGTCTATCAATGTAATTTTACACTGAGCAATAATACCATTTTCTTGAAAAAAAAATGGCAGACCTGAGCCTCTAGGGCGGGTCGCGCCAGCTCTAAATCCGCGCTTGACCTAGATTTTCGTTGAGCAAAAGTTGGCAGGATTTAGGTGAATGAACTTGTTATTAGTATCTCTGAAATTTTTATGTTTGAACAATTGCAATAACTTTATCTTGACCCATCAATACAATTTCAGCAGTGCAGCTGGTGCAGTATCTAATGCATCAGTCGACGGCAGCAGCGCAGCTAACAGTTACTGGACAGCAAATTCTGCTGCTTCCGGTACTAAGCACATTCGACCTCATAATAAACGTTATAGCAAGGTAATATTTCATTATTTATTTCATGTGATTTATCAGATACCAACGTACGCTTTACAAACCAGATCTACTTTGCATCCAAATACACGGTTGCCAGTTCTCACGCTTCTATTGACGTTCAACTCCTATTGCCTATTAGTAGCTCAGTAATTTAGTGAATCGAAAGCTGATGAGGGGGCGTAAGCGTCATTTGAATAAGGTACACAGTTTTCTCTTTTAGATTTATGAACGTTATACAATTTTTTAGGTTAATGTTCCAATCAAGGCTCCAACTCCTCTACCCCCAGCTCTTTTGGGAGCGCCACCAAATGAGTCTTTACGGCATCATCACAGGTCTGCTATATCCTCTGACGTCACAACGCCTAGTATGCCAGTTTTAGATGCTAACAAGAGAAAACAACTACCGGCCTGGATTAGAGAAGGTAAGATGAAAAGAAAAATGACTAGCGGTCGGACACGCCAAATTGACGTTTTACAAAAAGGGAGAAGAAAAAATAAAACATCAACAGACGATAAAATATTAAAAAAAAACTTGAGTGATCAAGACATATATGAAAACATTTATAAATCAAGATTATTTACATGTGAGAGGTTATAAAACCATTTCCGGACTAGAATATTTTTTAAGTTTTTCTTAAATGTTAGCAATGGATTAGAGTGTTTTAATGTAACTGGTAATAGTGAATTCTAGCTTCTTGCAAAACGTGAGAAAATTTGTCAACACAATAATTACTTCTACTTGTAGTGTGATGGTCATGAATATCACAATTCCTTTTGAAAATAGCTAAATTCTGCTTATTGTATACAAGGAGATTCAAGGTTTGTTCGGAAAATACGTAAAATAAAAAATTCTGGGCGTCGTGTCAAGGCGTTGTGAAGGGGTAGCCCGGTGCTTACCTCTCTCTATGCAATCCCCTCTATGCTCAGTTCGAGCCAGAGCGCTCTGCGAGTAAGTAGGATTTACGTGTGCTTGTTGAAAGTAACCATTTTTTACCTGCCGTCGGCATGGAGCTCTCTCAGATCGAGGAACAGCGTATCATCAACTTTCTTGCAAAGCTAGGCGCCCCTCCACATCGAGCTCCGAGCGAAATGTTGAACGAATTCGGCGCTGTGTTCTTAAAGACCGTCGATCGACAGTTAGAATGATAGCTGAGGAACTAGCAATCCTCAAAACAATCGTCCACGAAATTCATGAAATGAAAAAATGTGCGCGAAAATCGTTCCAAAGCAAAGAGGGTTGCTTTCTGGGTGGATTTGTTAGAAGCAGATGAAAGGGATTTATCATGTGGAAGCCATCAAGGCAGAAACAAATGAAATGAAGAGCCTCACAAGTGAAGACTTTCAGCGATCGTATCAACATAGGAAACGGCGTTGGCAGAATTGGATCTCCTCTCAGGAGGAGTACTTTGAAGGAAACGATATTGAAATGAATGAACAATTGTAAAATAAAGTGATTGTTCCATTTTTATACGTATTTTTCGGACAAACCGCGTATATTCCCACAACTGTTAATAAATGATTCTCCGTAAATGTATGGCAACATGACGCAATAGTTCCTCGGTCGAAAATTGAACGCACGATTCTTTTTTGAAGGATAAAAAATCGAGACCATTGAGTAGCTAATAGTAGAGTAAACATAGGAATAATTACATTGAAAATATATTGAACATCATTGATTATAGGTCTAGAGAAAATGGAGAAAGAGAAAATGAAGCAACTTGAGAAGGAGAAACAAAAACTAGAGAGAGAAGAGACCATGGAGAAAAATAAGCAAAATGATCAGGAAACTATGGAAATTTTGAAAAACACAATGAAAGAAAGGCAGAAAAGCAGATTTGTGAGTATTAACTGACCCTATATGTAGAACACAATGATATTTTAAGCGTCTTAAAAGGATAGCGACGAGGATGAAGAAGAGAAAAAAGAACGCCAGAGAGCAAGTAGTCCTGAACCAGTTCCTTTAACTCAGGACGAATTGGTAGGTTCCATACTGAGCTTCTCAGGATAGTGTTTCTTATAAGAATTTCTTTATTCATCCATGTTTTTTGCAACCTAGATGATGAAAGTGCGTAGGACAATGACTGAGATTCTTCTGAGAGTAACAAACTCGCTGATCGAGAGTGTGTGTAAGGAAGAACGTAATCGTTACCTCAAAAAACGCAAAGGTATCCTTAGTTTTAATAGTTTTAGGTTATATGTCAGAGTAAGTTTTTGGATATAGTATTAGGTTATATACTCATTTTTTTTATTAATAAATTTTGAAAGAGAAGATTTATAGCAGTGTGTTATCAGTCAGAGCAAGTTTGAAGTTGTTCAAGTTATAGAGTGTGCTGGGTAATTATATTGCGTAAACTTCAGCTTCAGATCAGCGTCAAACAGCGCCACGCGGTGGCGTCTTCCTAAGCGCAAAACTCGGTAAGTTCCTTTTTTATTTTGTTTCTTAACCCTTACTCCTCAGCCTTATGTATAGTTAAAGCAATGGTGATTGGGAACGAGTTTGTACGGTTTGTCTTATAACTAACGGTCGAGAGCATAGCGGTTCTTTTACTTGAGGTATCCTTAGAGTCAATTCTTAAAAATGAGGGAGAATAATAACTAAAAGAAATTGGACGTGTTCTATTACTTCTAGAGGGATGATATTCTTTAACGTTTGCTTAATAGAACAGTCGCTTTCTGAAACATTCTTATTAGCAGAATAATCTCGCCATCGTCTCATTCGAAGAATTTTGTGATGAAACATCCTAGAAGCAGCCAGAAACTGTCTCGAAAAGTGATAAAAATATGCTCATTTTCTATTACTTACTCTACTCCCCCACTCTTAATAATAGCCTTGAATACTAATTAACTTTGAGGATTCCTCATTTCTAATTTCCGCAAAAATTGCAGAGGCCTATATATATATTTTAGTTTTTGTCTATAGAAAACATATCTCACATTAAGCGCCAACTTACTTATTGATAACCAGAGAAATAAGCAGGCCCTTTTTGATACTTGATGTAGCTCTTTCCTTCCTCGAAACATTGCTTTAAATATAGATCCTTGTACTTTGAATGCATGGAATATTTGTTTTTGTAATTGCATTTTCAGTTTTGAATTACATCAATTTTTGCTGAGATGTTTGCATTCAAGGTGGAAAATATTCAACCTGGTTACATTGTGCCATTACAGTGTATTAGATTTTTTTGTATGTGTTTTTCCTTATAATGTTTTGAACAAATATTAGGTTTGGGTGCTTACGGGGACGATTCCAGCAGTAACTCTGAGGAAGAAGATGGAGATTCGGATTCAAAAGGCGATAGAGATTCAGACAGTGAGCTCAGAGTAAGTGTAATATATATTCAGTATAATTGTCCAGTCGAGAATTTTGAGGTTTATTGAAGTTTTGAAATATGGTATTGTCAGCTGATTGTCTAGTAATCTTTCAAAATTCCCTACATCGACAATTGACACTTAACTCTGGCGGATCCGTCAACGCCAGATAGACAGAGCCATATGTTTTTTTTTCGTACGCTACAGATTCATTTTGTACTTGCTAACGACTCTTTTATTTAGAAAAGTTCATTTGAGTGAATCAGTTAATAAATAATCAAAAGAAGGATTTGTTCCTATTTAATCATGCGTGAATTTTGTGGCACTCTCCATTTCGTGGATAGTATAATAGGTTTTTGAGTGTTTATTAATGGGGGCACTAGGTTGCAGTCAAATTTTTGGTCTTCAAATATACAAGTGTATCATTTTAGGACACAATCAAGAGGCGTCAGTCTGATTTCGTGAGGACTGAAAGGGAAATAGAGGAACGTCTAGAAGAGGCAGAGAAACAGAAGGCAGAGAGCCCCAGCAGATCGTCTACGCCGGATTCTAACGATAACGAAACACAGGTAGACTCAACCAGACTCCAAGGTCAGTACTCTAAGCCACTAAATATATACAAATACTCTAAACAGAAAAAGGTAACGTGAATATGGATATAAGTGATTGTTAGTACATATTGGCATACTTGGTGAATGTCCAAATGTTGTATCTAATAGGACTATTAGGATTTAAAAAATATTGTAAGAATTAAAGACAAATAGTAAATAAAGGGATTTCCATTGTGGACTAGTGATATAGGGACTGGAATAAACCAAGTGATGTATGAGGTATTAACAAAACCCTTTTTTTCTTTGAAAGGCCCCTGTTTGGACTTGATTGTCATTGATTAACACATTATCCAAAAAGATGCTCAACCTCATGCTGTCTTTTGATGACAGCCTTGTTGCCAACTCGACTGTAGAAATTCCCTTTGAAGTAGTAAAACAAATTCGATTGTCCTTTTAAATGACAATTTATTCTTAAACACATTAACTTTCCAAGGAAAGGCCACCCTCCAACCTACATCGCAATTGTTATTAAACATTTTTTCTCAGAATTTCTCAACGACTCAGATCAGATTTATTCAGACAATTTTTTTAACTAAATTACAATTTTAAAAAATTATAATTTTTGAGCTCACCTTGTTTACAAGATCCCGAAGAGTATTTTGAGAATATGTTACATAATTTCAAAGCTTGTCTGTTGGGCCGAAATTGGCGAAATTTTTGCGGACTATGCAACAGTTATGTGAACTTGGAGGGTGTAAACATAAGACTTCAGGTGGAGATACATTATCAAAAAGTTATTTGGTGATCGCCATTGATTAGTTTCTCTCGTAGATTGGCTTGAATGGTCGACCAAGATCGTCGTGATTATTTTTTTCTTGTGGGGTTTTCGAACTTCCAGACTTGTTATTCAGTGCAACCCATCTATTTTTTTAAACAATATATTACAAAAATAGAGTATTACAAAATATAATAACATTCAATTCTCTAAACAGTGCTTCAAAAACACTGGCATCGAGAATAACAACATTCTAAATTTCTAAATGTGCTTATTACTAATTACAATATTCCACAATATTTAACTACAAATACAATGTGTTATTTGCTGTGAATATGATCTTTTAATTTCTTTACAAAACAGTTAAAGCTATTGTTACTGCTTTTTATGCTATTTGGCAATTTATTGTATGCATTTGATGCTTGCGATATATGATTATTCAAACCTATGGCAGTACTAACATTATACATGTAGATATACATATGTGTTCTAGTATTATATTTGTGTGTCATTTGTAAATTGAATCTCAGTATTGCACTTTAGGGCTTTAGTACCTACCTACACAATCTAGGCCATCAGTCAAATTTTGTGAGTTCTATGAGGACTATTGGATCGTATTACTTGACCTATGTCACATTACTTAAAATTTGTCATAAATAGGTCTTTCAAATAAAAAATAGCTCTGTTAGTACCTCACACGCTTCTTTTATCCCATTTCAACATCGACCTGCCATTAACATTGGAAAGTCATGTGTATTGTAATCTTTGTCAATTGACGTTTCATACGCCATCAACATGCCTCGTTCAAAACCCACATAATCTCTGGACCACCATCTACTTTACAGAGCTCCATCGAACTTCAGCAGAGAAGAACTTCCAGAAGCCGAACAACAGCAACGGCGATGCTTCAGACGAAAAACGCCAATTATCTCCTGAACCATCCAGATCTAGATCGCGCAGCCTATCTGAACCCTCCCGGTCTTCTTCACCGTCTGTGGTGAGCGTAAAATCGAGCGAGGCTCAAAAGAAGTCTTCCAGGAAGAAATCCACCTCTTATGATTCGGATTCGTATGAAAGAAAGAGAAAGAAACAGAGGAAGAGTAAGAGTAGGAGCAGAAGTAGGTATAAAAGCAGGAGTAGAACTAGGAGTAGAAGCAAGAGTAGGGGACGGAGTAAGAGCAGGAGTCGCAGCCGTGGGAGAGATAAGGATTATAAAAGGTAATCTGCAATATTTGGCTTTGACATTCTAGTGATATACTGTTAAAAATAACATCAACATATTGCTTTAACCGATCCGTTTTACTTTTTCCCAATCATGATTAAAGGGTAATGAAATGTCCAATTTATCTTTTGTATCGATTTAAAAAAACAAATAGTACTGGGTGCGAAAATTTGATAAAACCCGTGGTATGATTCAGAACATTTGTTTTTTCCATAGTGTAGGCACATGCCTCAAGTTTTGTTTAATATTGTTTTGAAGATCGTATCAGATATCTGACGTGTCCACCATTCTCCATATCCATACACTGAGTAAACATATTTCTGGCGTTTGTTATGATTCTTACCAGCATAGCAGGCGTTATTTTGGCAATCTGTTCCTGGGTGTTGGTCTTCAAATCTTGTAGGGTCCTTGGACTCTTCACATAAACACGGGATTGCAAAAAACCCCATAGAAAAAATCACAAGGGTCAAATCGGAACAGCGGGACGGCCACTCCAAATCGCACCCAATTGAGACGAGGCGTTCTGCCATTGCACCGTCTTGTTGGAACCAAATGTCCCCTCACTCCAGCTCTTCTAGCCGTGCGAAAAAATCCCTGTAACATTTCTACACACTGGTCAGAATGCACTGCCACTGCGACTGCATTTTCCTCAAAGAACCATGGGCCCAATAATTCCAGCTGAGGAAATTGCACACCACACTGCGACTTTAGGTGAATGCAAAAGCCTTTGGTGCAATTGTCGAGGATTGTTGTCAGCCATTAGGCCATGTTTTGTCTGTTGGCGGATTTACTCAAATGTAAATGGGCTTCATCGCTGAAAATAAAAAAAAATAGTCCTCAGGAACGACTACGAGAAGACGTTCATACGAGGATTGAATCACGTTTAAAAAGTTCCTGTAAAATTGCCATCTTGTAAGAACGGAAATGAAGATCATGGGGCGCATTTTAAAAAAGGAAGTTTTGCTACCGCACACTGTATTTTGCCATCTGGGTACCGATTTTTTCTTCAAGTTTATTAAATTGCGAAAATATGTTTTTAAGGTGTCCAATACTACTCACCAACTTATTTGAGATTCTTGTAACAGGTATTCTTCGGGATCGTCCAAGAGAGAATCCCGGGATTCAAGAGAATCTAGCAGCAGAAAAAAATCGTCCAGGAGGAGCAAAACACGGTAAGTTTGCGTTGGTAGTAATGTAACGATGCATCCATACGCTTGGTTTGCGTGTTTGTGGATGTTCTTTTTTAAATACAAATCGAAAAATTTTGTGGCAAGCATTTGTACGGACTTACACAGGTGGTGGATAGATGTGATAGAATTAGTAATTGTGTCATTATTGACAATATGTAATTACAGGTCTCGCTCAAGGTCTCGACACTCTCGCTCTTCCTCAAGATCTTACTACAATCATCGCAGTTCCCGTAGACGAAGATCAAGTTCTCCGCCCTCTAGTAGAAGCAAGAGGTCTAAGCGAACAAAGTCGCGTAGCCGTACTCCTAAAAGTAAGCGCAGAAGCACACGATCCAGGTCCTATAGCAGGGACAGATACAGCAGCAGTAGGACCAGCAAAAACAGCAGGTCATCTCACTATAAACACCGTTGAAGGTACTGCTATTTTTCAAATCAATAGTGTCGTATAATTTATTGACTGTCAATGCGCTTCTTCGGACATTCGCTATATTTAAATTTTGTTGGATAGAAGGGACAGGCGACGCAGCAGTTAAGAGTAATTTGTTCTATTATAAACCTTGTTGAAAATACTGTTTTTTCCAATAATGTTCTGATTCATGTAGCCTGAAAGTATATCAAATTTGGGAGTAAAAAAACTTTCAAAAACGCAAATATAATCTATTTATTACCAAAAGTTGCTGAAATAGCCAGCGTAAAACACACCACCGAGTACCCGGCCAGGTACCCAAAATTTGGGTTTTGAAAAAAGAAGTACCTGATGTATCCATAATGATAAAGAACATATGATGACTTGGCGATGAATTTATTATATCTCATAGTATCAACTGGCAGACAATTCATGATCACAGTGTCCTAGAGATGGCGCTGTATATCGTAAACGTGGAAGATAGTAAAATAATCATTTTTAGATGGGTTGAGAAACGACATTACATTTACCATGAGCTCTTTACGTTAACCTTATCCTATATTGACATTTAATTCAATGACTTCTTTTCCAGGTGTGGATTACTATGGCTGGGAGTATTCAAAAGCAAATTGTGTATATTATTATACTATAATAACCTGTTGTATATATTTGGTTAAACATTCGTTGAATTCCTTAAAGCTGTACAAAATATCTTCTATATGTTTTGGATTTGTAATGCTATTACATTAGATGTACTGTGGATCAAACTACTCAGTATCGTCATTATAACGTAATTGTATTTATTGAATCTGATTGAAAATGATTAAACTTGTTTTCATATCTTTACAGTAATTTTCACGTTATGTTTTTAATAATTAGCCCAAAATTTACAAGAGTTGCAACCAAAACATCACATGCTAGAGAAGTGCTTCCACATTGGAAGTGTTTTAGATTGAAATTATTCATTTTCAATGTTTCCATGATTTGATCCATGGTACATCAAAACTTCATATCTTCCACTTGTAAAATAAATATAACTAATCTTATATATAGACCCAAATAAATAGCGAGTTTTTGAGCCTACAAAAGTTTTTTAACATTCCTGCGTGTTATTCGTCTTTTTCAAATAGCCTTAGCGCATGCGTTTCAGCGTGACTGTCGATATATGGGTCTGACAAATTAAGACAATGTTTTGGTCCTTCGGCGAGTATCTACACATGACTCACGTTTCTTCTTGTGTCGTTACCACCGAGAGGTAAAGCTGGTGTGCATAATGTTAAAAATGAAAGTACACCAGTGCTTTCCTATTGTTTTCTGTATACTCTAGCTATCATGATGGCCTACGGCCTAAACACCCATGGGGTACCGTGGGGCTATAGGGGAAAAGGGGGGACGCCACACGGACTCCAGCGAGGGAACACGTGTGCAGGCAGCATGCATACATTCTGGCCTCGCCTACGAGATCCGCCGGGTGGTACAATACCTCCGCGAATGACAGTCAGAGACCATCTAGCACCTACGGAAAACGCCCATAGTCAAGAAACTTAAATTTCCATGAGATTTAAAAAAAAAACATTTTTTGATGAAAATATTATTTTGTTTGGATTAGTTTATTATATTCTAATATTACGTATTAGATTTGGCTTTGTTGAAAAACAAAGCGTCCTCCTCCTTAGATGCATTGGGGCTTGCTGAACCGATTTCAGCAGCCCAAGGTAGTCATTCAAAACGGTGGACTTTGTGGTGGCTACCAATATGCAGCGCCATCTATTGGAGAGTAGCCGAATATAAAGAATATATCCATCCGTATATCTCCAAGTATGATTTTAAGCTAATTTTGTGCATTTTCAACTAGGTCAAAAACATTCGTTTAGTTCGGCTACCATCCCATAGATGGCGGTTCTTTGTAAAGTGTTATCACAGGTCACACAAAATTCAACTAGTCAAGAAGATTCTTTGGGGGAGGTCGGTCGGGGTTTGGGTGGCTTCTATTACAACGCATCTGCAACGATTAAGAAACTTAAATTTCAGTGAGGGGGGTTAAAAATCCCCCTATTTTTTGATGAAACAATTATTTTGATTGGATTAGTTTATTATATCTAATATTACGTGTTAGATTTGGCTTTGTTGTAAAACAAAGCGTCCTCCTCCTAGAATGCATTGGGGTTTACTGAATGGATTTACGGCAGCCCAAGGTAGTCATTCAAAATGGTGGACTTTGTGGTGGCTATCGATATGCAGCGCCATCTATTGGAGAGGAGCCGAATAAAAAATATATTCATGCGAATACCTTTCTTGAATGATTTTTGCATTGGCATTGATTATGGCAACGGATCTTCAAAGATCAAGAAACTTAAATTTCCGTGAAGGGGGTTAAAAATCCCATTTTTTGATGAAACGATTATTTTGATTGGATTAGTTTATTATATCTAATATTACGTGTTAGATTTGGCTTTGTTGTAAAACAAAGCGTCCTCCTCCTAGAATGCATTGGGGTTTACTGAATGGATTTCGGCAGCCCAAGGTAGTCATTCAAAATGGTGGACTTTGTGGTGGCTATCGATATGCAGCGCCATCTATTGGAGAGGAGCCGAATAAAAAATATATTCATGCGAATACCTTTCTTGAATGATTTTTGCATTGGCATTGATTATGGCAACGGATCTTCAAAGATCAAGAAACTTAAATTTCCGTGAAGGGGGTTAAAAATCCCATTTTTTGATGAAACGATTATTTTGTTTGGATTAGTTTATTATATCTAATATTACGTGTTAGATTTGGCTTTGTTGGAAAACAAAGCGTCCTCCTCCTAGAATGCATTGGGGTTTACTGAATGGATTTCGGCAGCCCAAGGTAGTCATTCAAAATGGTGGATTTTGTGGTGGCTATCGATATGCAGCGCCATCTATTGGAGAGTAGCCGAATAAAAAAATATATTCATGCGTATACCTTTCTTAAATGATTTTTTCATTGGCTTTGATGATGGCAACGCATCTTCAAAGATCAAGAAACTTAAATTTCCGTGACGGGGGTTAAAAATCCCATTTTTTGATGAAACATTCTAATATTACTTATTACATTTTTCTTTGTTGAAAAACAAAGCATCATCCCCCTTGCATGCGATGGGACTTACTGAACGGATTTCGGCAGCCCAAGGTAGTCATTCAAAATGGTGGACTTTGTGGTGGCTACCGATATGCAGCGCCATCTATTGGAGAGTAGCCGAATAAAAAAATATATTCATGCGAATACCTTTCTTAAATGATTTTTGCATTGGCATTGATTATGGCAACGCATCTTCAAAGATCAAGAAACTCTCTCAGCGCATGCCGACTAATCAGGAGACGAAGCGTCTACCGCTGCGGCCACCTGCTTTGCAATAAATACCATTGTTGAAGTGAGATGTAAAACTTGTAATAGGATAAAATGCATTTTCCGTCACCATCAGGCGCTCGTGTATTTTTCAGGCGTCAAGGACGAATAGATGAAAAGAATTAAAAATTGGAAACCAGTTGAGTTATGCTATATTCACTTTGTAGAACATTATGAGTGATCATATATCAATACAAGAAAATCATTCTAACAAATTACTTGACCGCGACGTTTTTCAAGGTCTTTGCAACACAGTACCCCTTGCCAGATACCTCAAATGGACTATCCTTATAACAAGCTTCAAGTTTATCATTGGTGTGTAGATCGGGAGCAACTGTTTCAAATATCTTTTTCTTGGGGTTCATGAATGGCCTGTCAGGAGTACCTTCATAACCTTTGCAAATAACTGGTTCTCCAGGAGTACTGTTAGGTGGTGGGATGAGCACTTCTACTCCATTTTCACTGCTGGCACACATTACCATTGCCTCTGATGTTACCCCTCGCATCTAGAACAAATAAAAAAAATCATAATTGGAATGGACAATTGGGGTATATGAAATAGTATTATAAGGTGTGAAGCTGAGTTGATTGATTGGTTCTGTGACATGTCTGAAGATCATGGTTCTCCAAATCCCCCCCACTGAGAGGTGTTTCCCTTACTATTTTTTCTTGGATGTAAACAGTAAGAATTACAGGTGTGATGCTGAGTTGAAGGATTGCTTTTTTGACATATACATTAAGGTCATGGTCCTTTTGTCACTCAAGCAATTAACATCTGATAATGTCATCTGAACTGTTGATGGATTCAGAATTAAAAAATAATACTATTATACATCTGAGCCAGCACAATATCTCATGAGAAACAGAGGAATCAATAACACTGTAACCTGGAGCTAGCAAAATGAAATGATTTCATCTGAAATACAAGGACAAATTAAGAAAAGCTTGGAGGAAAGGAGTTGAGAAGAAGGTTCAGTTTACAGAACATTTTTTTTAATAAAAGGTTTCATCATTTTTTTCATGCTATTTTGTTCTTGGATTAAACAGTAATAGTTACATACCTTCACAGGTTTCAAATTGCATAGTAAGATCACAACTCGGTCTTGTAATTCTTCAATAGGCACATACTTCACCAAACCAGAGCAGACAGTTCTAGGCCTCTCTTCGCCACACTCAATTTGTAACAAGTACAGTGAATCAGCATCAGGGTGTCTTTTAGCCTCAACTATTTTACCAATTTTTAGATCTAATCTCCCTAAAAAAATAGGTTGAGTTGAACTTGCTTTTTTAAAGTGCACTTTAACACCATAAAAAAGTACCAGAAAGAGGCATATATTTATGTATCTAAGGCAATTATGCCAAAATTTTGAGTACCCTTTCAGCAAATATAAAAATAAATATAGACGGTTGTCACAGTTAATGAGTATGTCATTTTAATGATAGCAGACCCTAAGTAGGTACTGCCTCTGGCATCAACAGGTTTGTGGACTAAAAAGTAGAGCAGTACACGTGAGAAACCTATTCATGAAGTACACTTTATTGCCTAGAGATGGATAAAAATTTATGACTTACCCACATTCACAGGTGCTTCTACAGGCACTTCTTTCTCCTTTTTCTCTTTCCTTTCTTTTTTCTCTTTAGCTTCTTTTGGTTGGTGCTGTTTAGGAGGTTCTGCTTGGTCCACTACTTTTTCAGGAACATCCTGCTCAGTTTCATGGTTTCTATTAGGCACCGGGATCTGCTTTTTACCATTTTGTGTCTCCAACTTGATCAGCTTCTCCTTTGCCTGTTCTACAGCAAGTTGGAGTGCTGCATTTTCAGTACGAAGTTGTTCAGCCAAAAGAGCGTTATATCTCTCATTGATAACCCTTAACTGGAATCAGTAGTACTTTTGTAGAAATATAGTTAACTAAAGCAGATAATATTTACCTCATTTTTTAGCTCTTCAATGGTTTGTTTTGCATTTTTTGTATTTTGTTTTACTTGTTCAAGTGCAGACTGTGGCGGCATTTTCAGAAGAACTCTAGCACTTCGGTAGATTTTATTCAAAATATTCTGATAGATATTGAGGCTCCTCAGGCTGGCATTTATCATTATTTTTTCTAACCTCTCAATCGAACTGTCAATGTCGCTTGACTGACAGCAGGAGGCACCACTATTACAGACCGTAGTGTAGAGATGAGATGCTTTTATGATATTTGTGAAAATCACTGCTACGAAAGTCGTTTGAAAAGTACTTACGTTGTACTAGCGTGAGCTTCCAATGAACGAGTAATCATCATGTATATGCTCCACCATATTCTTACAAATTGTAAAATTCCGCGTCAAATTAACTTCGCAAGTTAATGACGTAAGCACGTCGAATGAAAGTAATCGATGTCTTTAAGTGGATTAGCGGATACAGTCTGGTGAAATTAACTCATCTAGTAATGAGGAAGTTTTGACAGTCACCTCGAATAGGATTGTCAAGGTCGTCAAGTGGATTAAATGATATAGTCTGGTAAAATTAACTTCGCTCACATCTCAAGGGGAACGAATAATCAAAGTTTGATTGGAGGATTATCGAAAATAGTCCGGTGAAATTAGCTTCGCAAGCTGATGAGGTAAACACGTCGAATGAAAGTAACAGATGTCTTCAGGTGGATTAGCGGATAGTCAGGTGAAATTAACTCTAGTAATGAAGAATTTTCCAATTTTTGAAACATACTTAAAGTGATAATCTGAGTAAAGTGAAATATAGCACTGAATTTTTTTTGAGTATCCTGAAAGATGACAAAGACACGTTACCCAGAAGTTTCTTATTTGTTTCTTGTTGGATTGATGACGTCACACGACTCCTCCGACAGATTCCTGAATCCGTCCTACGCGACAATATTTTTGCACTGCTAAGCACTGCCAGTAGTCGGTGTTACAGGGTGGATTAAAGGATATTAAAATTCATTCGCGGTTAATGCTGTTTTTGTAAATAACAAAGTTGAGTTAAAAATAATTTATTTTAACGTATCGACTTTTCAAGTCTTGACAAATCATAATACATGCACAAAGGTAATACACTGAAGTTCACATAATACATATCAATGTAGATGTTCTTACGCCTAAATTCTCAAAATAAATTACACTCTACATCTAAATTGTGCAATACTTGAATCTTAACGATACACGGCGAAGTAATGGTTTGATCGAAACTGTAGCAACTGAGCATAGATAATATGCCGACTTTTCCTCTTACTCCTGTCAAAAACTTGTGAACACCGTACGGATAAAAAATGAGTTAGCGTGAAATTCTCGTGGAAAATAGGATAACGTTTGTACTATCGATAGCACACATCACTTTAATAGTTCGCGTTGTCTTTTCTTTCGATTTTCTTCCATTTAGTAGGATCTGATCGCTGGAGGTACAGTCTTGCACTCGCTCAAGTCCAGAGTCTGATCTATCACAGGTCTGTATTTGATGGTTACCTGGCCTGTCTTGGGGTCTATCCATGTCAGGGTGTGCTTTCTCCAGTGCTCTGTCATTGGTTTCTGTAATAAAAAAATATATAATATTGTGACTGCATACAAGTTGTCCCTGAAGTCGACGTCAAGCCTGAAACGGGGGGATAGGCCTTCAATCTACACCCTGTGATGGTCTTTTAGGTCCTATTACTACAAATTTCAATTTTTTCTTAGGTGCAGTGACGGACAGTGCAATTCTATGTAGTGACAGCAAGACAAGATAGTAACGCCACTTTTCTGTTCTAAAAATGCTCAACTATGACCGCTCTCCGATCTGCCACTTTCAAAAATGGTTCATTTATATACTAGTTTATTTTTTAGAGTCCAAGATGGCGCACAGTCGTTATAAAGAAATTTCATTTTCATGCATTAATTTCAACTCGCCAACATGACACTTTGAAAAAATCAGATCCAACTGAAGGGATTAACGGACATGATATTTAATTGCAAGAAAAAAAAAATAGTTTAGGAAATATTAAGCTAAAATTACAAACCAATTAAAACAGCACAGAAACATTAAGGAAATGACAAAAATCGAGACTTGCCTTCTGCTGTCCTTCCAAAGGCTTGCTGTAATCAAATTCATCTATTCTGGTTTTGTAGTCCTCTCTGGCATGCGCACCTCGACTTTCCTTCCTGTTTTCGGCACCCACGATCGTCTGACAGGCATTCAACATCAAGTTTTGAAGTTCCAGTGTTTCTACCAGATCTGAGTTCCAAATGAGACTATGATCGGCAACCTAAAAAAAAAAGAACACAAAAATGATTGTCTAAAATCTAGAGTCGTTATTATAAATGGAAACTATATTATACAGGGTGTCCGCAAAGTTGGGGTTTTCCTTTACACGACGTGTAGATCTTGAAAACATAAGCAATTTTTCTTAGTACCATATACACCAATGTCTTAAGGGAACCGAGATAAAGGGCTCTGCAACATCAAAAATATCTGAATACCGCCCTGTAGCCACGACATCCCCGAGTGGTACTAGGACACTAGCTCAACCCGACGACCGAACTGGGTCGGGGTCAGTGTGTCAGGTCAGTATGCAATCTTCAACCGACGGTTACGGTCACGCCTGTAGAGGTAATCGCGTAGACGAGAATCCCTCAACAAGCTCAAAAAAACGCTGCGTGAAGAGGGGCTGTATCCGTTTCACGTCCAACGTGTACAAGCCCTTCAACCTGACGATTTTCCAGCAAGAGTGCGGTTTTGTGAGTGGTTGTTGCATCAACATGACAATAATCCGGACTTTTTGAACTGCATATTGGTGACAGACGAATCTACGTTCACGCGTAATGGGGTGAATAACTTTCGCAACACTCATGTTTGGTCAGTAGAAAAACCGCACGCTGTCCTTCGGGCACATTTTCAACAAACATTTTCGGTGAATTTTTGGGCTGGCATGGTGAACGGTATGCTCATTGGACCATTTATTCTCCCAAATCGATTGGACGGGATGCAATACCTAGACTTTTTACGCAACATTTTGCCTTTCTTGTTTGGCTGCGTCTGCTCGGTAGCGCAACAGCTGATTTCATTTTCTGTTGGAGCGGTATGATTTCGGGCAGAGACGTACTTAGCCCTTCTCGTCAACTGGAGAGTGAGTACTTTTTCCTTTATTTTTTTTTACTTGGTCGCCCTCGTTTCACTAACCATTACCTTTGTTATTTCAAGGGTAGTTGTTTCTGAAAAGGAAAACCCCAACTTTGCGGACACCTTGTATATTTTAAAGCAAAAAAATATATCCAAAAAGTATGGATAGACTAAAATATATCAAAAAATATATTTGCCAGAGAAAAACATTGTAGAAAGAAGTTGTAAGGTTTGAAAAGGTTCATCCATTGGCGAACTGAACGTGATAGTTTTCTTTACATGAGTTGAGTTTACATAAATGACGGTGTCCAGAAAGTAGCGAATGGACAAAAACATAAATGACGGTGTCCAGAAAGTAGCGAATGGACAAAATATCTCGAAGTATACGTTTCATAAAGAAAAATGTGTAATAAAGTTATAGGGTTTGAAAATATTCATCTAATGGTGACCTAGACTACGACGTTCAAACTCGTGACTTTTGGAATAAAAAGAGCAAGAAGCTTCATGTTCAAGTATGTTCACGACATTGACTACGACCATCAAGGGCAATCGAACATTAAAACACTATTTAACGGGAAACATTTATTTTTAGCTCCACAAATGCAAGTTCCGGACAATTTCAAGTGCAAATGATTCAGTCCATAACCTTCAAGGTGATTTCAAGATAAGATACATTTCCATTATATTATGTCCAGGATATGAAAAAGCAAAACATTGAAATTAATTTCCTGAAAATGTTGGTTAAAAAATGTTCATTGTCAAAATAACTATTGCATTTCTTTTTCCGAAACCAATCTTTGCACTGATGTAAAATGAATGATCTATACTTCCACGCGTGAGGAGTCACGAGTTTTGGTCTGGTCCTCTATGAAACGCTTTTACCTAAGCCCAAGACACTAGCAGAAAAATTAGACTATTTACCTTCACGTCTTCCAGGTTTTTATAGAGCTCGCCCATCTTCTTGCATCCTTCCTTCAACGTTTCCTCTGTCCTGAATACAGCTGCATGGTTCTGCATAGTCTTCTGCATCTGTAGACGCAGTGAAGCCGTAGGTTGGGGGCCATTTGCGAATCTGCACCAATCCAAGTTCGCTACCGACGCCTCGCCAGAATTCTGCAATGCAAAATCATTTTAGTAAAAAACAGCCAGTAAATCAGATATAAAGCTTTGAAAACCTCAAAAATTTGCTTTGCAGCTTGAAATGATGAACATGTTTACTCAAAAAGCTATTAGATATTTCTTTCTCTCATACAGTGCAGTACAATGAAATACATTGTTTCACATACTCTTTTAACACTCATATAATTCAGAAATATTTGAACTATCTAAAAAAAGTTTTCTTTTGAGGATGCGTTTCTTTCAAGTTTACTTCTCATTTTGATAAAAACAGTATAAATAAAAAATTATTAATGTGAAGACGCATTTATGGAAATTAGTTTCACTATAGAGAATAAATGTCTTTTTACCTTTTTCTGAATAGAATACTGCTAATAAAATTATGTATTATTATTAATATGCATGTTACATATTTGAACGTTTGTCAGTTTTCTTACGTCTTTCAAAGGCCCAATCGATTCTCCCGGTCTGTTTTCTTCAGCGATGGTCTTAGCACACGCCCTTCCAAAAACAACAAGATCAAGAAGAGAATTCGCTCCAAGACGATTTGCACCATGGACGGAGCAAGATGCAGCCTCTCCACACGCGTACAGGCCAGGTACCACTTTGTCCTGGTTATTCACAGTTGCCAGTACCTGTCAAATGGAAAAGACACTTAGAAACAGCTCTCACCGGAAACAATTGGCGACTGCAACGCTACGCATCACATGTATTCAAATATAAGCGTTCTCAAATAAGTGACGGCAATCCGACCAGTTGCTTAAAAAATCACTGATAGTTGTTGCGCTAGTTTTCAAGTTTGGTGAGATAGTCAGACAGATATGAGCCGGTTAAATTAGTGAATGTCTGGCTCACTTTATCATGGAGCTACACTCTCTAGGCTTTTGCAGTTTGCTGACATGGATTGCCGCTGAAAAGTGCAAGCAAAACAAAAAATCTCAAAATTTGAATTTGGTGGATTTTGCACATAAACTGAGACTTAATATAGAGTTTTCCATTAAGGACTTAACAACTTTCTTTTTAAATAAAATTGTCGTATGACGTCGACGCGGTTTTTCCGTTTTTTTTCCCGGTTCGCGAAACGTTCGGAAGGAAAGCGATACCGTTTCGGAAACTAGAAACTCGGCGCTTTACCGGGAAGCGGGAGCCGTCGCGGTGAGAGGAACGGATCGGATCGAAAACGGCCGGTAAATTCGAAAAAAACGGTAGATTTTCGTTCTGTCCGACGTTCAACATAGGTTTCCGCCGAAGACAAAGGAGCTGCGAACCTGGCGATTTTTGCCCGAGAAAGCCCCGGCTTCGGGCTCAAAGATAGCGGCTTTCTTTTTTTTTCTTTATGCCTTTTCGTTCGAAAATTTCGATTTTTTTGATTTCCTCGACTACGCGCTACTTTCCGATTTTTCCAGTTTTTTTCCGGGTTCGCGGAACGTTCGGAAGGAAAACGATACCGTTTCGGAAACTAGAAACTCTGCGCTTTACGATGGAGCGAGAGTTGTCGCGGTAGGAGGAACGAACGCGATCGAAAATGGCCGGTAAAGTTGAAAAATCGGTAGATTTTCGTGCCGTTCGACGCGCTTTTTCTATCTCCTCCGAAGATAAAGGAGCTACGAACCTGACGATTTTTGCGTGAGAAAGCCCGGACATCGGACTCAAAGATAGCGTCTTTTTTTTTCCTTTATCCATTTGGGATATCTCGAAAATTTTATCATATGTCCACCACGGGCACGTTCGCAGAGATCGATTCGTTGAACACAATTTTCAATGACTCGGCCACACATTTCGACAGAAACGGTCGCTACTTCTCGTTCAATATTGGCTCTGAGCTCCTCTAACGACGCCGGCTTGTTGGCATAGACCAATGATTCAATGTAGCCCCACAAAAAGGGTCCAGAGATGTTAAATCACACGATCTAGGCTGTCAATCGATATAATACGTTCACCGAATTTTGATTTTATTATGTCGATTGTTTCATCCGCTTTGTGGCTTGTGGCACCGTCTCATTGAAACCACATATCATTAATGTCTACCCCTTCCAATTGACCAAAAAATAACGTTGCAACATGTCTGTATAACGATCTCCGTTGACTGTAACATGATGGTCATTTTCATAAACGAAAAAAACGGCGCGATGACACCACCAGCATCAAAACCACACCATACAGTTATTTTTTGTGGATGAAGTGATGTTTCTTGAAGTACATGAGGGTTTTCACCTGACCAATAACGCATATTCTGTTAGTTGACGAAGCCGTTTAGCCAAAAACGCGCCTTATAACTGAAGATGATTTTGCGATTAAATTGGTCATTTTCTTGCAACATTCCCCCCCCCAATTCGAGAACGTACGTCGGTTCATATGATCAAACGGCATTTGTTCTTTAGTTAACTTGATCTTATAAGGGTGCAGGCCAAGATCTCTTCTCAAAATTCGCCATAGTGTGGTGTGAACGATGCCCAATTCTTGAAAACGTCGAGGAATCGACGTGTTCTGTCCGTTTGCGATGGAAGCTTGAAGGGCAGCAATATTCTCGGCACTTCGAGTAACCCGTTGTCTCAGTGGCACATCCAGCAGCGAATATGCGGACTCAATTTTTTTTACTAGACTATGAATTGGGACGAGAATTACTACCAAAAATTGCCGTTAACGCTCTTAAAATTGCAGTCACCGACTCGGAATTTCGGTAGTAAATTTTAATTATTTGTAAGCGTTGTTCATTCGTGTACTTCACCAAGATGAAAATGTTTTCTTTACTGAATGTTTTCACATTGACAGTTCGGTAATTGATTTAAAGGTGCGTTCACAGTGAAAGTTCAAAGTTGTCAAGTTCCTATTGGAAAACCCGACATAAAAGCTGCAAGTCACCACGAATTCGACTGAGCTGAAGTTGGGGTAAGGAGGGAGAAAGAAATCTCGCCTCATTGAAACTGAGTTTTGGTAAAATGAACGTCAAATTGAAGTCAGGTGAATGTATCTAAGATTGTGAGTAAAATGAGCGCATCTAATTTGATAAAAGCACTTCTCCATCACGTTTTTGTGCCCTTTTTATGTGACTCAGATGGAGGAGCAGAAATAAATCCCTTCCAAGAGAGCTTCAGTTGATTCAAGAGGTGTGACAATCAAGTTAATAGTGTATCAGTGATACCAGACTCAATAATAAGTTTGCTAACAAGATGTTTACTTTCCATAGACCATTGCACATTATATTTGTTATGTGCTGCGAGTTTTTGGTAAATACAAAAATTCAATACGTGTGTTGATTGATCTAGCTAGAGACTTTATATGTGGTTTACTTATATAACTTATATTGAATCAAGATACTTAAGAATAAAAATATTACTGGAAAGTAGGTAGTCTGCGAAAATAAAAATTCGCCAATTCTGGCCTAACAAATAAGCTCAAAACTCGCTTCAAAATAAACTAATCTTAAAATACCGGTGTCTTGTAGAGCAAGGTTTTAGCTTTAGTTTAAATATTAGGCGGCCTCAAAAATTATCATTTTAATAGTTTTTAAACATTGAATATACCCATTTTTATTGTTTTCAGACATTAAATCGCTTGTAAGTCTCAAACGGTCAACTTTAGAGAAAAGTTAATGGATGACTTTTTTGTTCAGAAAGATCCAGAAAACTCTAAAAAAATAACGAGCAAAAAAACTTATTTGTAATTTGATAAAAAAAATATTTGACTAAATTGATCTGGGTTACAGAGCGGCTACCTATTTCATGTTAGGGATATAACCCAATAAAACTGTTTTTTTAATAAATTTCAAAATATTTTTTTTATAAAAAACCTAAATGATTATGATATTTTCAATAACCTCAACACCTCATTACTAAGCACTTGTTTATGGTGACAGTGCAAAAGCAATGCAACTAATGTCTAAGGCCCGTATCGTCAGTCGTCCCTACAATTGTAGGGCGCGTGTATGGCCTCCTTGATTGTCATACCTACTCTTTTCTCTCCTTCAAAAATTTCTAGATTACACTCGTCCCGTGTCAGCGTCAGCGCTCTCCTATTGTTAAGATATGTTTTCCTTTTAAATTGTAGGAAATTTCAGGCTGATAAAACATGATGAAACTCAAAAGCAAGCACAATTTGATGCAAATAGATGTTTGTGACATAACCACAAAATAGAGCGCTGACACGGAGAAGTAGAAAACTATGACAATCAAGGAGGTCATAAACGCGCCCTACAATATTGTAGGGACGACTGACGATACGGGCCTAAATCAGTGTCTTATAGAGTTGCTTTGGGTAAGTACACTACCTCAAAATACTGTATATTTATCAAAGTTTAATATATGATAAAGAAACGTGACTTAAATGGGAAGAAGTTCAGTATTGTGAAAATTACCTGTCCTTTGTAATTGGTTGGCACTCCACCCATGTTGTAATGTACCGTTGGTAGTACGGGGATGGGCTCTCTGGTGACGTCTACGCCAGCAAAGATCATGGCCGTTTCAGAAATACCGGGTAGTCGTTGGGCAAGTTGTTCGGCCGGTAAGTGATGAAGCTGCAGGTGGACGTGGTCTTTTTCTGGACCACAACCGCGACCTATCCAACACAAGGAATCGATTTTATAGGGAGAAAAAAAATCATATTTAATAACAATAATTGTTGCAATATAATGAGTTGAATATAACACGCATTATTCTGAAATAGGAACTAACCTTCTCTGATCTCGATAGTCATACTTCTAGACACAACGTCTCTTGAAGCTAGATCCTTTGCAACAGGAGCATATCTCTCCATGAACCTGAAAAAGAAATTCCACCATAACATACCGTTATAATCTGTTGCTTTTGGGCATTTAAAACAGATAATTTTTACTTTGTGCAAACTTAAAGAAGTATCAATTTTGATAGAAGTACTAGCCAGCCTCCTGCTTCCGATCAACGCTACCAACAATCCAGACCTCTAATCTTCTACCTGTCAATCACGAAAAAACATTTCCACATCGAAAAAAAAAATATTGATAAGACAAGTTCCTACCTTTCGCCGTTTGAGTTAACAAGGTATCCCCCTTCTCCTCTGCATCCTTCTGTCATGAGACATCCAGCTCCGTAGATTCCAGTAGGATGGAACTGAACGAATTCCAGATCCTGGCAAGGCAATCCAGCTCTGGAGACCATCGCGTTGCCGTCACCAGTGCAGGTATGCGCCGATGTGCAAGAGAAGTACGCTCTGCCGTAACCGCCAGTCGCTAGAATCTGCAAACAAATACAACCATTTATCTCAACAGCATTATGATTCCCATACAAAGCTATAAAAATATTATGTTCGGAACAAGTTATTATTATTAGGACTCCAACCGTAGCCGGAAAAGTCCGATAATCCTGTAGCATACATTCTTTTTTTCCCGCTGAATAATGGATGAAACGTGGTGCCCTGGCTCCTTATCCAACTTATTCTTGAAGAAATTGACAGTTGTTGCACTGTCTGTTTCTTCACTAACAGAATTCCACGAGTATACCACATGATTTGAAATGAAATTTATCTTTATCCACTTTAGGGTATCCAGATTGTGGAACAATCTACATAAGGAGATTTTCCCAAGTTCTACTAACTTTAGGCAGTTCAAAAATCGGACTAATAAAGTTTCTTTAAGCCCCTCAAAGCAGCCCCGGTGTCCTGGCATTTAGGCTTCTTCCTGGGCGGCTGCTTCGGTGTAAAAAAAAGAAGGGAATGGTTTTTAACTGTTCTTTGAATCAAACAGATCAGAGAGTTGACATTTTTTAATTCTGTTGGTAAAGAGCTCCCCATTTTAAATGTTGTGTTATTATAACTCATACATCTTTCTGGTACTACACATTTTCAATTTCCACTTGCCCTAAACTGTAGTTTATAAATATGAGGACTTGTCTTCCGAATATGAACGATATCGTGCACTTTTCTGCGTTGAGTGACATTTGCCATTTCTTTGACCACTCCTCGATAGTGAGTATGCCGTTTTCAATTTCGACCTATATAGAATAAAATGTTGTTTCTTATATCCATTGACAGATCTAATATGTAAACCAGGAATAGAAAAGGTCCAAGTACAGAGACTTGTAAAACACCACTCCACCACCACACCATTTGTTCTTTCTGACCCTTCTTAGAAAAAAAATAACAATGCACGTGTATATCAAAGGAATTAAATAGACCACTACATAAAGGAGCACGAGTATCTAAATCGTTAAAAAATGAAAGGCAGATAGATACATAGACATATGGAGACAAGTGACACAGTCTTTCGCTCGATATTTCGTGATGTCATATAACACAAAAAAACTATTTAGTTTACGAAATGTTTCGCGATTACAATACTTCTTCGCCAACTGGAGTAGAAGATAAAAGTAATGTCATTATCACCGGCTGCAAAAACTTTTGGATGGGATCTGAAACACGTTTGCCATCTAATAATAATAATAATAAACGACTTTTATTTCAGTCGAAGTTTAGCTACAAGCTATTCTACCACTTAAGAAAATAACTAATAGCGTATAAAAAATGCAGTACTGTTTTGAGTGCATAAAAGGGTAAATCCTCAACAAATTTTGTTTTTTGCATATGATTGTCGAAAAGGCTGCAATTTTAAAAAGAGCATGCTAGTGAGATCAAGCTTTTGAACCAAGTTCAACCATGGATCAATGATAAAACAGTTTTAACCAATTACCAACTTGAGTTGATCTACGTTCGAATTTTAACCAAGTTTAACCATGGTTGAACAATAAAACAGTTTTAATCAATGATCAACTTGAGTTGATCTACGTTCGAGTTTGATTATTTGTCGATGTTGGTTCAATGGCTAAAACAGGTTGGAATTGTCAAGAATCAGTGTCCAAAGTAACGGATCTTACAATTTTGAAACTTTGATGTTTGGGGAAAGTGAGACCAAAGATACATTACTATAATAAGGTGAATAAAGGTCATACTGCTAACTATTTACCGTGTTTTTAGCATGGAACCTATGAAGTGTGCCATCTTCAAGACATAATGCGATCACACCTCTGCATTCCCCATCTTCCATCAATAAATCCAAGGCAAAGTATTCGACAAAGTAATTACAATCATATTTCAAACTCTGCCCATATAGTGTATGTAGCAGACTGTGTCCAGTCCTGTCTGCTACGCAGCAACATCTGAAATAAAAATCAAGAACATTTTTACATTTTTATCTAAACTCTATTCAAACCTCATCTACGCCGCGTCAAAACAAGCACGCTATCGCTGCGTGTCTGGGCATTTATGGCCTGCTGGCAAACAGGAGTGCAGAATTTGAATCACGCACACTGGTTTTTGTTTTGACGCGGTATAAATGCAATTTGAATATAGTTTACATTTAGGTACTATAAGCACTTCCCTAATCAGATACCTCATATCTGGTGTTTGTGTGTTTGTATATTTATTCAGCATGCTTGCTACAACTACATTCGTTTAAAAACCTACAACAATTACATAACACAAATATTCAGAAAAGCATCTCTAAGAATTTTCACTGTCCGTGAAATGTTCCTTTAATTTTCCTTTAAACAACTTCAAATTACAAGTAGACTTTAGATAGTTTATTAAATTCAAGTTATCCCTTCTGAGATATTGATTTGCTAGTTATCTTATTATTGCAATTTTGTAGATGAAAACCTATATTTCCTCTTGTATAATAATTGTGGTAATGTCAATTCATTGCAATGTTCTGAATATTGCGGCAAATATATTATGGAATTTTTCATATTCAACCACTGCAATTCTTATAACATAGATTTTATTCTGGATACTTATTTTTATTCAATATTATTCTCACTGCAGTATTTTGTAGGACCTGTAATTTTGAGAATACAGCTTCATTGGCACTGAACAAGATTGTTGAACAATAAGGTAGAATAATTGTACTATAAACTATTTTTTTGGAATTTGTGTCAAGACTATGAGAAGCTCTATAAAAGGAATGTTTTTTTGGCAATTTCTAAAATAATGTAGTTACAGTGATCACAAACTTTAGTTTGCTATGAATATATATGTAGAAACAAATATTTAATTAATGCAAATTTTTCAATTACTTCACCAATTAAAATACCGCCGTTTCAGCTGAGTTTCTTACTGAATCCAGCTTGACATTTTGTTAAAATTCTATTTTCCTCGTTGAATTCGATGATCTGTTCGTAAATAATTTCTTCAAAAACTTTTTCAACATCTGACAGAACATTTATTGGAGTACAATTCGTAACTTTCGAAACAGAAATTATTATGAAACACTTCAATTTTGTTGGAAATTCAGCATATTTTTATGTTATTTATCAGGATTAATATCATTGCTTCAATAATATCAAATTAATTCGTTAAGCCCTTTTTGACAGAATCTTCCTTTTTTTTGATTTGATGAATCTAGTTCCGTATGATTCTTGTTGTATCGATGATTCCAAGATATTGCCTTTGTTTAAATTATGACGTTTAGTTTATCCTTCTTCTTACCTATGCGCTTGGCCTCCCTTGCCGAACTTCAAGCTCTGACCACCGAAAGCTCTCTGGTAAATTTTTCCCTCCTGCGTCCTAGAGAAGGGCATACCAGCATTTTCTAGTTCGATGACAGCCTGTGGTGCTTCTCGTGTCATATAGTGAATGGCGTCTTGGTCTCCCAGCCAATCGGAACCTTTTACAGTATCGTACATGTGCCATTGCCAATTGTCCTCTTCCATATTACCTATTATAAAATAAATATTATGAAGATAATTGCCCACAAATGGTATCAAGTGTGATTATTGGGTCGTAATTTAGATCGTCACCAGACACACCGGCGGATTAGGAGCAGAAAAACTGAAGCCCTGAGAATTTCTAATGGGTCGCTAATTTTAATGTAAAGACTTAGAAATTAGCCCTGGCAGAGTGACTCATATTCAAGATAACATCTGGATCTTTTGGAACGTGTTAGTAGAAGGTTTCGCACACTTTTCAGCATAATCACATTTTGAAACTATGACACTCAATAGAACACGATGGAGATAAAATTTATGGCTCATGTTTATCATGTTCGTGTTTTTCCAGCTCTCGATAATGACATATTTTTCACTCATGTAAAGATGCACTTTAGTTTGAAATGCATCTTTTTTGGAAATTTATGATATCTACATCACGAAAAGCCATGTAACTTATTACCGAAGGTCAGTCTGTCGATTTGTCCGCTATTTCTTGGCTCGTCTATAACTTGGATTTTGATAAATTTTTGTCACAAGGTTACTAGTATGCCGGAGACAAAAAAGCTTTGTAGTTTTTAAGAATCGACTACTAGCTTTTTCGGCAAAACACGAAAAAGGTCAAAGTTCGTTTTTTATCGTTTCAGACTCCTGATCATTATTGAAATTTTTTCGCGAGGTAAAAAAAATAGGGGGTGGGGGGTTTTTGTTTGGGGTGGTGGGTGGTGTATTTTGGTATATTTTATTTATAAAAGAGGATGCCAACGACGTGTGACGTCATAAATTATTGAATATATACACATAGGGTAACATTAGGGCTGAAGCTTGGCAGGAAATTCTGGGAATGTGAAAATATTTTGAAGAATGAAAAATGCATTATCTCAATTTTTTGTAGCTTTTCCTCAAGCGAAATGACAATGCGTCATGCCATTATACAGATGTATACGTGTTTTTATAGCCGTCGAAGACTAATAATACCAGGCCGTACGAAACTTGTTCATTATTGAAATAAAAAGATAAACTACGAATACTTTTTCTTCAATGATATTTCTATAACATAACCAGTGGTAAGGGTTTTTCCATGGCCGACCAAATGGTGGAAATACCAGAACATTAAGAAAGTTGACTTTAATACTATACATTGTGCATATTCAAAGCCAATAATTTCAATTTTTTACAAAGACGGAATATTTTTTCTTTGGCATCACTCTACTTTATGGTCTTATGTCACGGTTTTCATAGCCAGTTAACAAAAAACAGACATTATAAATGATGCTTATACAAAGACAATTGTATGGGAATTACAGAGTCAACCTACTTGTCGCCATTCTTTAATTGCTGATATAGATTGTTTACATCCATTTATCAAAGATAATTCTTTTTTTTTCTGTCAAACTGTCAACATCAGAGAATAAAGGTTAATTGCTCACATGTGATGTTTAGTACTAAATTTTACGTTTGAACTTTGCATGGTAACTTTTTTCACATATCGTCAATAGGAAAAAGTGAATATATTTTTGAGTGGCTAAATATTGATATTCCGTTGAATAGAAATTTTATAAAATATCCTCTACTATGCGGTCCAACGTGAAGTTCCAACTTTATCCTTTACTACCCTCGAGATTCAACTCGCTTGTTTTTCAGTTTGGTATGATGGCCTTAGGTATCTATTACTTTCACCTTATTTGATTGTTTTGAAACGAAGTTTTAAAGTTTATTAAACGCATGTTAAGGAACAGGGTTATGCTGGAGTTAATATATTATGAATCCAGTTACGTTGTCTATCTGACAATAACATAAAAGCAGTAAAATGTAAATCAGCTGATTGTCTACCACTGATAGAATGTACGCCGAAAAACCAAGATTTATATAACACTATAGATAAGTCATTTTACATAATTAACGCATCATTTAACTGTCACCACTTTCGATAAATTTAGGTCAGAGGTCAGCCGTATCGCGTATTTCCAAGAAGAATTGTTAATTGCTTCCATGAATTTTCGCAACAGGGAGATTCCAATTCCAGAGTCCTCGTCCCATTCGATAATGATAAGCTGAATAAACAATTCTGTTTTGTAGTTATGAGTTTGCTGGTTATAATATCGTATTGTCTGGTGTTATCAGTCACGAAATATCACATGAAAATTAACATAGTTTTTCATATAATAGGTTCTCATAGAAGAGCTGCTAATATTTCACTGTTTGAGAACTGATTAAAAAATCCAAATACTGAAATCCTTGTTTTTTTCCTAATGAGTGATATAAAGTTCAAGTTCATGAATTGATCTTTAATATATTTAGTTTGGGAGATATCATTTTGTCCTAGGCAAGTGTTGGGTTCATTATTATATTGGCCTTGCATGGAAAACATTTAACTATGTATATATGTGGGAAGAAATAAAGTCAATTTCACTATAAAATCGGAAACTTCATGGAAAAAAAGAATAAACTATTAGTCGTTAACTGCAGAAGCGGTTGGTATGTTAGTCTATCAGGTTTGGGTACACAGCTGGAAAGAGCAAAAGCGGAAGAAAAAAAAAATGAGAACTTCCAAAATTTCCTTCCGTATCTTCAATTCGACCAAGCTTTGTTTATTGACTTACTTGGGTGGACCATGAATCTAATGTTGGTTTTTCAATTTACATTGGCACAAGAAGCAAAAAGACCCATTCTCTTAATACAATACTTTGCAATTGTTGATGGCCATATTCGAAATCAGCGATCCAAATGTTCTGTTCTTTAAACACTATCTTCAGCAGCGCACGCAGTATGTCTTTGTGGACAACAAGCTGTCAGGAGTTAGCATAATACCATCTGGCGCCCTTAGGGTTGCGTACTAGGCCCAGTATTATTTTGTATATACACTTTCGATTTGCACAAATTTGTCGCACATTCTGATTTGCAAATTTTTTCTGATCACATTCAACTGATACATTATTTTGACACAAGATGCTGCTGTCCTATTAGAGCAGGATCTGAGCAAAGTGCAAAAATATTCAAGTGACCATAATCTAGATAAAACGAAAATATTGCTATTTTGCTCAGAAGCAAGGAGAAGAAATGTGGAAAATTCATTTAAAGTGCATCCAGATGCCTCGCTGTAACAACATACAAATTCAGCTAAAATTTCATGTATCTAACTAACTAAAAATACATATATCAATCGCCATCTTCTAAATTATAAATTAACGAAAAAAATTATGCAGTATTTTCTTTTGTCACTTTCAAGTTATTGCGATATTCAGTACTATCCATGTCTAGACCATTTCATGAAAGAATCGGTTGAACATAATTTAAAATAATTGCATCCGTTTTATCTATGTGCTGAGAAAATATGACCATGTTAGCGATAAATACAGTCATACGAAATGGCTAAAAACTGGCAAACTAGTTGATACAAGTACTTATTGTATTTCCATAAGTTAATAGCTACATCCAGGCCCGCTTATCTGAGAGAAATAGTTATATTTAGTCATGCAGTTCATAACAGGAGCATTAGACACCGTTGCTTCACGTATAATGCTGCGATACTTTATTATGCTTTACCAGGTAAATACAAGAAAATGTCTTCCAGTTCTCATAAGCAAACCAAACAATTCACTCTGGCCTGATATTGGTTTAGTTGGTATAAGTAACTACATAGTAATCGTGTATTTTAGCTTCTACTTTAGTGTAGTTATCATTCTCAGTGATTATTCTAGTTTTCTCTTTGAGGTCATTTTTTAAGCATCGCATAATTATAATATTGTGCTTTCAATGTACCTATTGATGAAGATAGTTAAGTGTAAGAGCAGCCTAGGCTAAACTTTTTTATCTTTGTCTCTCCCATGTACCGATGAATAAAGGGGCGTGATTATTATAATTAATTTTAAATTATGACAGTGCCCGAATTTTGGTGAACAGGAAATATGCAGTGACGAAAATGGATAATTTGCCTTGAGAGATAAAGATTAAAGGAAATATGATTGATTGAAAATGTAAAAAATGTGTTTCTTCAATTACGACCAAATCTCATTGCTCGCCTAATTTGGTTGCGTAAATCACAAACATTCTTCTGGTTCCTTCTTTTTTATTAACGAGAATTGACAAATTTTACATATTTGTGATAGAGGTCAGATTTGAGGAAAATGTTCATTCCTTTTTTCCAAAACATGAACTAAAAAAATGGCGTCAGGTAAGTTGATCGAATTCCGAAGGGTACTTCTCATGTTATAGGCGGTTATAAGATTAGCGAACAGACCAACAGACAGACTGATGTAAATGAGGTCTTATTTTGTTGTGTAAACGGTATGCTCGGATGTCTTGATGTCCTGAAAATGTGTCACGCAATCAGCCACGGTCTAACACAGTTTCTAAGTCCAAGAGTTGTCTACTCCATCATCCTACCTAAAGCCGCATTGATTCCTCCTTGAGCAGCAACTGTATGCGACCTGGTGGGAAAGAGTTTTGTGATGACGGCCGTTTTGAAGCCTTCCTGCACCAGACCATAGGCCGCACGTAGTCCTGCACCTCCTGCACCCACAACCACGGCATCGTAAGTGTGGTCTACCACCGGGTACACCTTGGAAGAGCTGTCTGTCTGTTTGGCAGACCGTCTGTCTACCTGGATGTGCAGGGAGCGGTTGCCGCTAGAAGCGAAGCATGTCGGCTATAGAAAAATGAATTAGAAAAACATACAGAAATCTGTCAAAAAGACGTCATTAGGATGATGTATGCTACCCATCATGATGAAATGCATCCAGCTTTGCGCACTGTCGTGATGGGGCGTATAGAGGGCGCTTGACGAGTTTTACTCAGTATACTGAATTTTTGAGAGTCCCACACTTCGGTCGGAAAAGCCAACTGGAAAAAGTACTACAAGTGTTTTAAGCTTTTGCGCTTAACAGAGGTTATAGAAGCTAGTGCCCGATCATTTTTGAAATTCGGCCAGTTGGAAATAGTTTTTGTTTTTTGAATAAATCTAGAAAACCACTATTTAGTAGTCACCCAAATTCCTTTAGAATAGCATCATGGTCAATAAAATTCATTGTTGAAAACTAAAAATAAATAAGACGATCTTTAGACTCCAAAAATTTATCGTTTAAGTTAAACATAGTTTACCACACGTTAAACGAGGTTTAAGTACATTGCTATCAAACACATATGATTTTAAGGCATGAGCATGTCAAGAACGAGGCAGATCACAATCTGCCTGAACTTCAGATTATCAAATTTTTAAAGTCATGTTCATTTCTTAGTTGAGCATCTACCAAAATTTCTTCATGCAAGCATCCACTTCCTGACCCATCAAAGCTTTTTTTTATTTTTTCTTTCCGCGTGATTCTTAACCGTTGGTCATTTCTCACAATAAATTTTACACGGTCTCTAGGGTCAATCTGAGCCTCCTAAATACCAATGTATATTTTTTGAATAATCAATAAGTTGAAAGAAATATGCTATTTAAGAAAAAAGAATATTATGTGATAAAATAACACAATTATAATCATTTTCTGAACAGGTTTGACATACAATAATTGAGCATGTGTTGCAAATTGGTATTGTTTGAAAATATTGTTTTCAAAGCTGATCGAGTCTCATAGACCAATCAGTAACAACCAAGGGTTAAACTTTTCGCTAACATACCACTAAAATCTTATTTCAAAAGTGCACACCTATTAATGATGGTTGACTACATTTAATAATCTGAACTCAAGACAAGAGTCACAAAAGAGTCAACCTACGTGACGTCACGTTAAAACTAATTTGTAAAAAGAAAGATTTCCAGTTGACTCTTCTCAGGCAACAACAGAAAAAACATACAATTATAAACAAGTGATGTAATCATAAGTTTTTGTGCGTCATAAGAACAAATGAGTTTGAAGCACGTTTTAATAAAGTATTGTCACGCGATCAATATCCTTTGCAATGTGAACAATTACCTATAAGTCACAGGTGGTTCACAACATATGTTATTTCACTTTTGTAAATATATGATTATATGCAATAATTGATAACAATAGAAAATATATGAATCTTTTGGTACATTTCTCGTAGCAAGATACTTTATAGGCTGTACTTAATCTGAAAATTGGTATCAAGTAGAATAACTCTGATGCAGTGGTAACAGATGGAAAATTTCTGTGGATTTCACAATTTCTATATATACAGTAATAGACAAAATTATATAGACAAATATGAATATTTACCTAAATACCTTTAGAAAACGAATTCATACTTCATTGCGTTATTAGTAGAAAAACTACTACTTGTTTTTACATTATCTGCAATGAACACAATACAAGTCTGAATATAAGCACTTTTTTATGAGGGACAAAAATATGTAGACAACATTAGTTTAGTACAGTTTCATGTCAGAAGAGGATTAGTTTGTGTTCATCAAGTATTGTGGAATAAGTTGAGTGATTTTAAGACCATGCCACGTGGTCTAGAAATTTCTTTTGATGTGAAAACTAAGATCATTGAGTTATACAAAGATGGTCAACGTCAAGTCGACATTGCCAAAAATTTGAAGCTGAAGCGTAAAGCAGTTTGGGCAATATTGAACAAATATAAACAAAAAGGTATCTTGGAAGTCTCTAAGAGAAGTGGTCGGCCTAGAAAACTAAATGCTAAATCAGTTAGATTAATAAGAGTAATTTCGTTCAAAGAGCCGTTTAAAACCCCAAGACAAATAAAAGCTGAAATCAAGACAAAAGGAATCGTCAGTGTTTCCACATAAGTAGAAGATTAAACAATTTGAAGTTATTTGCACGTCGTCCCAGTAAGAAGCCGCTAATCTCGAGGAAAAACCGTAAGGACCGGTTACAATTTGCACGGTTGCATCTTGATTGGAGCATCTGTGACTGGAAGAGGGTATGTTTCAGTGACGAATCCAAGATCAATATGTTTGGATCAGATGGTGTTCATTACCTTAGACGTCCTAGTGGACAAAGATTGAACCTCAAGTACACTTTGCCCACTGTCAAACATGGAGGCGAGTCTGTTATGGTTTGTGGGTGCTTTTCGGGGTTTGGGATGGGACCTTTACATAGAATAGATGGGATTATGGATAAGTTTGTATACACAGACATACTAAAGCATGTCATGTTACCCTATATGGAAGACAATATGTCCTTAAGATCAATCTTCCAGCAAGATAATGACCCAAAGCACACTTCAAATCTCGCAAAGATTCTTTCTGGATGAAAAAATACCAGTTCTCAAATGGCCTTCACAGTCTCCCGATATAAACCCCATTGAAAATCTATGGGAATACTTAGATAAGCAAATACAAGATAAAAATTATTCAAACAAGGATGAACTTTTTGCCGCTTTAGAGCAAAAGTAGAGACAGATTGATGAATCTTATATCAAGAAACTTCTACAATCTATGCCAAGATGGTGCCAGGTGGTGATTGATAATAATGGTTATGCTACAAAATATTAACACAAATATGGTCAGTTTTCTATAATTCAATGCACTTTGCTTCTTTTTTCTATAATTGTTTTGCTTTGTCTATATATTTTTGTCCATCATAATTCCAGTTTTTATCAATTAATTTTTTATTGAAGGGAGTCTAATGAATTTATTTATGTATAAGTTAGTATTATGCTATAACGAATTATGTATACAGGTTGGTGTATTATTAAAACAAGTTAAAAAAGAAATACAATATATTAATTTGTCTATATACTTTTGTCCTGTACTGTATTTCAGATCTTTGTAATTTAAGACCATATTTCAGAAGTTCTTGAGATTACAGAGTCCAAATAATAAATATGCTAGGTACTTAATAATCTTATTCTACCATGTTTAATACCTATATAATCAAAAGATTTAAAAAGATATGGCCCAACAAATCTAATCAGGAAAATGTTTGTGCTGTGCAATGTACCATAAAGAGAATACCTTGAAATTGCTCAAGAAGTGGAACTTGCATAAAAAATAAATCAGTACTGGAATTCAGATGGCTTCATACTGAGTAGGTACTTATTGAACATATGTTGTGCAATGATTAATGTAGAAATGAACCTGAACTATACAGCACAGCATTAATACCGTGATTATCTATTCTGGTAAACAACATAGTTAAAGGTGATAAAAAAATTATTGAACTGGTCAAGGCTTCTAAACTAGCTTTTGAATATTTTCTTAATTTTCACTTCTATGCTAAATGCTACCTACTGCAACAATTTTAATAATAGCAAATAGCGCAAAGCATGCAAAAAAGGGTGAATGAAATGTTGATTTTCATTAAGAAAAAAATGTGCTACGTGCATATAGCTACGTGACATTTCAACTAAAATTAAACCCTCCTTGAAACCGTCAATATATTGTAACGATGGGAGCGTATTTATAAACTTGTTTACAAAATCATTCCATATATTATTTCTATAAGTTGCATTTTCCACTTCCACGATAATAATCAAATCAATCATAAATGCACCAGGTAGCTGCATTTTTTTGTTATGTAACTAGATAATTTGTAGGGAAAAATTAATCTTACCTTTGTTACAGCATTCAGCAAATTTTTAAGTACACGTGACTGAATTTTCAGCAGACGACTCATTTTTAATTATTTTCTGCAAAAGGTTCACAATTTTGATCACTACCAATAAATTCGAATTTCCTTCACATTTGTCACGGAAAAAGGAAAATGAGGTTCAAAAACCAGAAGACCCAAAATAATCTAAGATAGACAAACTAAGGATGGCAAAATGCACGCGAGACATGAAAGCAATAATGGCTCCAGCATCTCAGCAGGTTTGTAACAGATGTCCTCCATGTGATTGGTTGTTCCTTCAGATAGAATTTACTGGCAGCATTTTTCATTGGATAATCGAACAAAATCAGTAGGTGCAGAACACCTGGGATTTTCAGCAAAGTTGTACATCTCATACGCTGTTGTCTATGATAGAAGGCGTTCCATGTCAATTGTCAATCAATTGTCACCAGTGACATTTCCATTTCGGTATATCCAAATTCCAAACAGATTCCGTGATTCCGAATCTCGAGAATATCAGAGAACTTGATAAGTTTATAGAGAATAATAATGCAGGAATCAAGATTACTTGTCAGGTCGTTCCAGAAACTGAAATATTGGAGAAACATATCGAAATGGTAAGACAAATATTGAGGAACTCCACCAAAAAAGACATGCCTTAGCACATAACCTCATTCTAGTGTCGCTGCGCCCCAAGCTGCCGCAACTGAAGCAGCTGCGGCTCCCGTAGAAAAACTCGTTGTACCTCCTCCCAGTAACGAGGAGAAACCAGTATCCCCGAAAATTGAAAAGCTAGTCACAGAAATTTCGCAATTAAACCTAATTGAGGTATCTGAGCTCAGTGGTCTGTTGAAAAAAAGACTGAACTTACCTGATGCCCCTGTAATGCCGATGGGGGGCTTTGCAGCAGCTCCTGTAGCCAAAGATGAAGAAGAAGAAGCGCCTCAGAAAGTCAAATCTATATTTACAGTAAGCTTGAAATGAATTTGTTCTTAAGAGTAAAGGTTACATTTCAATTAACTCCAATCAACTAATATCAGAGTGCATAATAATAATTGCTTGAACAGTGTATGCAACCATGTGTACATTTATATAATTCTAAAAAATTATTTAAATTTGAACTATGATTTTGGTACAAGTATTGGTGTTAAGTAATGCAACACATAATACAAGTCTGATCTTAATTGCTTCTGCCTTAAGTTTTAAATTTGGATGAATCCAACACAAAACTCACATTGACAATGGGATAATTGTCAAGTAATTTGATTTTATTTCTTTAATAGGTGAAACTGACCAAATTTGATGAGAAACAGAAGGTTGCATTAATTAAGGAAATCAAAAATTTACTGGAAGGCATGAATTTAGTGCAAGCTAAAAAGTTTGTAGAAAGTGCACCTACTGTGGTGAGAAACGAGGTACCAAAAGAGGAAGCTGAGAAACTGAAAGCTGCTATTGAAAAAGTTGGTGGGACTGTTGAAATTGAATAAAGCAAATTCCACAATTTTGAGTGTGTGAAATATTCATGTTATATGTTTTTTGTAATTAGACAAGTATTAAAGTGTTAATAAAATTAGTTCTTGGTTATTTTTTCTTTAGAACCAGTAGGATGGAGATCTTTTACTCTAAGTGTTCCTAATACTGGGCAAAATTCCACTATGTATATAGTAGATCAACAGATTTATCATAAAGAAACAAACTTTGATTCATGGAAAATCCTACTTTTTTTGGACTTATGAGATACTTTTCAGGACAAACCATAAAATCAGTAGTGCTTATATAAAAAGTATTCTTTATTTAATATTTGTGTCCAGATACTGCGAACATACCTAAGAATAATTTAGAATGACTATTTCTTTTACAGCCGTTCTTGGAAGTAATTTCATATAATAATTGTACAATCAGACTACTACAATTAACATCCTGGTTGTATTTTCAGAATCATTTCCATCAGTAGTGGTACTTTCCATATCCTTTGCCATGTCTGTATCTTTGGTAATCAAATCAGGAGGGCTAGCAGTACTATGTTCTAGCATAGATTCAGTGTTGGATTCTCCCTTTGACATGGTACTTGAGCTATCATCTTTCTCTAACATAGTAGTGGTAGTTGATTCCTCCGTTGTCTCAGCCATAGTTGTATCAGTGACGTTCTTACTCTCCACAGCAGATGCAACTGTCAATTTTAATTTTTCACTGATATTAGTAGTATTATGAAGAGAAGAATTCATCTTAGTGGAATGAGGATCTTGAGACAAGTTTACAAATCTGGCTATAGTTTCTTTGCTATAATTCATTTGAGGTCCTGATGTTGTAGTCTGGAGTGCTTCAGATGTTACTCTAGACATCCTAGCACCAATTTCAAACGTGTCATCTAAGGATTTATCCTGTCTATTTCCCATAAACAGTTCTTTTTCGTCGTTAGATTCCAAGGAATTTAGATGAGTAAAATGTTGACTAATTATGGATTCAGATGCTTGTATGAACGGTTCTTGTAACCTGATGGTACTAGCTGGAACATGATTGAAGAAATGAACTATACTGTTTGGTTGTACTGGATGCTCCAGCATTGTAGCTATCAAGGACAGTGGACTGGAAAGGGGCGAGTTCCTCAGTTGTTGATTTTGGCCTAAAAAAAAAAGAAAGATGGTTTAATCTATTTCTAATTTTGCATTGGTTAAAAGCAAGTTTCCATTGTAAGAGCTTGTCAGACACATATTGTGTAATCTGTGTTGTACTTTTCTTAAACGGAAACGCAACATATTACAGAGTATGAAAACATTTTGTACGTCAAAAGTACTGGACGCAACTCAGCCATTTGGCCACACGTAGAACTGGCTGAGCTTCATAAGAATTCTCTCAACCCAACACATTTTGGGAGTAAGAAAAATTAGAAGAAACTACAGCACGTACGTAGAACGAAAACTTCCTGACGACATGCATAGAACTCGCCGAGATTTATGGGACTTCCAAGAACCCAGAAAATTTCAGGAACAAGAGACATTTGGAAGACATATACTGGAGAGCGTACATAGGACCCACCGAGTTTCATGAAACTTGCAGAACTTCAGAATATTTTGGAAGTCCAAGAAATTTGGAGACAGCTCACGTTACACAGTTCGTAGAACTTGTCCAGCTTTATGAAGATCCCAGGAACCTCAAATTTTTTAAGATTACTGCACATTTTGATTACTGTGTAAATGAATCAGAAATTGTAAAGAAACGCCAAAAACAGGAGCGTCCAGGAGCAATAATTGGTACATTCTATAAACAATATTACATGTTATTTCTTATAGTAAACAAATCCATACGTTACCTCTCAAAGCTTCTGCGACACTGCCTTCTATACCATTATGATTTGCCTTAGAATCAACATTATCAGAGGCTAAAGTGTGTTTCCGTAATGACGAGTTCTGTATAAAATTTATTTGTGGTGTCGGTACTGGTCCTCTAAAAAATACTACGCTTGAAGAGGCACCATCATCGAAAGATGTGTGATAAGTGTATCCTCTATAATCGTCTGCGGGTAACTGGGCCGGGATCTGAAAAGTGAAAAATACTGCAATATATAAACAGAAAAAAATTGAGTTCAACTTCTAATTTTTTTTCTCTAAGTAGTCTCCATTCCGAGCCTCCAGCCATGACGTGTTCTTTACACAAAAGCAGCCGCGCAGGGAGACGCCTAAATGCCAGGGCACCGCGACTGCTCTGAGAATGAGCTTAAAGAAACTTTATTAATCCAATTTTTGAACTGCCAAAGTAGAAATGGGAAAAGCTTCCCCATGTAGATTGTGCCACAATATCGATACCCTAGGGGCAAAAGAGCGGTCGTATCGGCCAGTTCAGGATGTACGAAGTTCGACATCATGAGGCGGCATTATGGAGGAGAGCTTTGAGGAGCAATACTCATTGGCTTAGTGGTATAAGAGAGCCAGATCGCCGGTGCGAAAGGGTCCCGAGACTGTCGGTTAGAACAGCATCGAGCATAGATAATGTAGTTGGGGTGGCATCATCCCAAACCTGTGAACAATACTCGAGGCTAGGTCCAATCTGGACTTTGTACAGAGTGAGGAGGTCGTGTGGGGAAAAGAACTTCTTAGCCCTAAACAAACAGACTAGCTTTTTCTCTGCAGCTGACGCTATTGACGAGATGTGTTGGTGCCAGATCAAGTCCTCGGTGATCTCGACTGCGACCAGCCGAAATGAACGGCTCTTTGATAGAACTCTGCCATCCATCGTTGTTGTTTGTCAAGGCACAGTACTGTGTTTTGAAAGCATTAAACTGTAAAATCTCTAGATCCAGAGGAGTCGCTGATAGGATAGTCTGCTTTTCTCCAGCTCATAGGCCGATATTGGCTTTTGCCACCTCTGAATTCCTGCATGTACAGTGCTGTTATCGGCAAAGCTGTGGATTGGCTTAAGCGTACAGGATGCAAGAGGAACAGTGTCGGAGCCAAGACCGCGTTGACGTTGTGGGATGAAGAGGAGAGCCCGTTAATTATGACGGATATCTTGCGGCCACAGAGAAAGTCAGCCACCCATCTCTGCAAAGCTTCTCTGGGACGCCATAAGATGGAGGTTTGCATAAGAGGACAGCATGCCACAGCTGATCGAACGCTTTCGTGATATCATAAGACTGCATGAGCTTACTCCACAAATGCGTGACACAAGCTAGGAGGCCCCATGTGGATCGCTGGTGCCGGAAACCATACTGCCCGTCGCTATAATCAAGCCGTGACGCTCGAGGTAGTCCAGAAGGGTTAGATGGGTTAGACATGAGCAAATTTCTAGTTTTCGGCGAAGGTGCAAGATTCGTAAGATATGTGGAATAGACGCGAAACACTCTTCAAAACAACGGCAGGAATCAAGTCCGGACCAGAAGCTTTGTTGATGTCGAACGACAAGAGCACCTGTCTCACGGTCTTATGCCTAACGTTAGTTCCCGAATACTGTAGGAAACCCTTTGAATCGACGGCATTCGGGCGTTCAATTACGTCAGAACATCTAAAAATATAAATAATTATGCTGTCCCTACTCTCATTTTTATGTTTATCCGTTTACTGGATTTGTGAGTTCGAGCCTACCGACATTTTTCCAAGGCATTTCCTATTTGTAACATATTCCTCATTCGAAATGAAATGCGTTCTTCTTACCTGTGATTGATAAAACCCCTCTTGTTGGAATCGTGCATGCTGGGGAATTCGTGGAGTATAAACTTGAGGATGCTGCCAACCAAACTGCTGTAGGGGAGCGGTGGGGTTGGTATAGAAGTACTGAAAGTGCTGAGCTTTTCCTTGTAAGGATAATGCTAACACTACCTGAAATTCAAAGCTAAAATCAGAGATATCCATCAATAGTTATCAGGACAAACTATTGGATCATAGGATATGGGTGGATTCACGGGCGTATCCAGCTCAAAACGGAAGGGGGGAACCTTCAAAAAATGTTTTGGTGGAAGTTCTACAAATCATATCTACATAACAATACTTGTTATTTTTCTCTCTATTTGAATTTCTTTTATATAGAGTCTTCCACGGCGATTTGACAATTCATGTGGATATGAAAACTTCTAGGATTACTTTTTTGAAAGATTCAAGCAAGCTAAATGTGAACCCTGTTGTAAAAGAAATTGTACAGAAGGATTTATATTCGACCAGAAATAAAAAATTCTGGGTAACTTTCTTCTCAATGTTCAAAGTTATACGTCTATAGAAGAATTGAGAAAGGGATAAAAATACCTTCAAAATGGATATGTCAAGTTCGTTACAACAGCTAACTGGTTCTTGCAAAAAATCATTCAATTTTTCCGAAAAGTGCATAAGAGTAAATACGAAATAAGAGCCAAAAGTGATTAACATCGAAAAAAGTCTAAAAAAATGCTCAAGCTATCCAGCGACGTAACTGCTGCTAAAAATTAAACATACAGGGTGAGTTTTTAGTACCTTGGATAATATCTCCATCACTATAAAATATACTGAAACATGTTATTTATAAAAATTATGGGCAATACGCCTCTTACTTGGAATATACTGCACCCTACAGGGGATTCATACCGTTATGACAACAAAAATGATTTTTTTTTTAAATGGGACACCGTACATCTTTTAGTAATATCTAATATGCCACTTCTAAGGCAGAAGTTTGGAAATAGCCGGGGATATAGCAGTTCCAAAAATAATTTCTCTTTGTAGATATTTATTCGTTATTTTTCTACAATTGTAATTTTGTCATATAGCCAAAAATAGTCTTATAGAATATGTAGAAGGATGTGTACCTAGATGATTCTAGAATAATTCTAAGAAAAATTCTTATATCTTCACTATTGTGATCTCCGAAACGTTAAGAGTACGGATCGGTTGAATGGAGGCAAAATTGCGTATTTATATATTTTAGAATAAGGACTTGAAAAGTTTTGACGCTTCCAGTATCTGCATAGATACACGGAAAAGGGAACAACCTTTCCCAAAATCGTTACTAATTTTTTTGAATTTATTTGAGATTTCAAAATAAACTGCAAATTGACATTGCCACTCTTTGATCTCTATATGGTGGCATAAACAGAACATGAATATGATTTTTCGACTCTTATCATGCGTCTGAATTTTGATAGCTCTTATGTATGCCATTTTTGCATTTCAAATACTACAGCATGCCATACATTATTTTGAAAAAAATGTTTGAGTAATCCTTGAAATTATCTTATAGTCACTTATTCCATAGTTTGAGCTCATTAAATGAGGAACAATATAATGTAACACACTTGTATTATTTAAGGATAATACTCGTAATGAAGACATCGAAATTCATCATAAAATCATAATTTAAAAAAAGTGAGAGCTGAACCGTTCATATCAAAATTCTAATTATGCCACCGTGTAGAAGAGAAAAAGCGGTAATGTTATTGTGTAATCTATTTGAAATTTTTAGTTAATGTGGATGTTTGACGTCGGACTAAAGCCAGGAAAACGTATAAACGACTTAGAGTTAATTCGGACATATTTTGATTTCCCAAACTGACCAAGTACCATTTTTTCATTTACCTACCCTACTTGCCCCCATAAGGTACACCGCGTCGTATATTTATCATGAGATGTGATATTTATTGACCGTGTAGCCTGGACGTCAGTAATTATTGATGCATAATGTTATGCTCAATGGAATCCTCTGATGGTACGGACCACAGTAAATACTGATCGTGTGACATCGTTTTTCCGTTTGACAAAGAGCACAAAGGCGAGGCTCGAATTTGAAACATATACAGGGTGTTTCAGTTTATTGTTGCATAACTTTAAGATTCGATATAACTTTTAAAATTAATGCACAAAGTCTATATGAACATGGGTCGAAAAATGCGTGGCTTCCGAAATTTAGGGATTTTAAATTTACTTTTTAAAATAGTTTTTTTGAAATATTTCGAACAATATTTGATGTATAACAGTGAAAATTGGTATACAAGGGTTTTTTGGTACAACAAAACGAACCATGGGCATAGTTTTACTGTAGCCGCTAGAGGGCGCTCTCTACTGTACCTGTATTGTATTAAAAATTTTTCTTAGTGCAATTTTTTGCTGATTCTTCGCACTTTTCTGCATAAAAAAGCTCTGCTGTGAGTTTTCGTTGTAGTTAGCCGTTTTTGAGAAATTTTGATTTTTAAGGTTCGAGGCATTTTTAATTATTTATGGGAAAATAATATTTTTTTTACATTTTCGATTTGGGCATTACAAGTAATTAAGATGATCGTTTAGATTGTGTTTTTAAACACAGCAATAATTCCTAACTCCAAATAAACACAAAAAAGCAGAATATTAATTTGTTTAATTTTCCAATATTATTTTTAACAAATTAAATTAATTATTTACAACTACAATGCTATTGGATAGTTAGGACAAACATACAAAATCTAAAGTAGTTGCTCGAAATGTAAACCCAATTGTTCAATACACAATTGGCATCTACTAATGATCGAACGTGGTATAGCATTATTCAAATAAGGCCTTATTTCATCACATGCATTCCTGATTTTGTCTATTAGTATATCTCTTGTGGTTACGGGAGTCTGGTACACTTTTCCTTTTAGAAACCCCCACACAAAGCAATCTAATGGATTTAGGTCAGGGGATCGTGGAGGCCAGGCGACTGGTCCACGGCCGATCCATCTTTCTGAATAATTTTCGGCCAGCCAGTTTCTAACTATTCTCGAATAATGAGCTGGACAACCATCAAGCTGGAACCAGGCCAATCTTCTTAAATCTAACATAACATCATCCCACATATTTGCATGTTCAGCCTTTAAAAATTCCAGGAAAGTCGAAGCATTTAACCTTGCAGGCAAAAGGTAGGGTCCAAATAGTCGATTACGGTAGATACCAATCCATACGTTCACACTAAATTCATGCTGAAAATTTCTTTCTCTAACTGCATGCGGATTTTCATGCGACCAAATATGTTGATTATGAAAATTTACCACTCCACGTCTAGTGAAGCATGACTCATCGGTCCATAAAACGTTACTTAAAAACTCCCTATTATTATCAGTTCTATCAAGAATCCACTGACAAAATGTGATTCTTCGTTCTCCGTCCCCTGGCTGTAGTCCTTGCACAGGTTGCAAATGGTAAGGACGTCTATGGTCATTTCTAAGAACACGGTGAACATGGCTTGCTGAAATTCCCAAAGCACCAGAAACTCTCCTAACACTTGTGGTCGGATCCCTATCAAACTCACGCAGAATCATACGGGTAAATCTGCGCTGACGAACATTTATGTTTTGATCCCTTTGGAGATTTCCAAAACCATTTTCAATTATTTGGCGATGCACTCTTACAAATACTGAGCGAGTTGGATGTCGTCTTTTTGGAAATCTTCGTGCGTATTCTCTGGCTGCTTCTGCTGCGTTTCCATTTACAAAGCCATACACAAAATGAATATCCGCTAACTCTTGATTGGAGCATAAAAATGGCATTTTTATAAAACTAAATTTCGTGCATTCACAATTGCAAAAAAGCGTTTCAGGTTTCAACAGACAACAAAACTAACTGTCAACTAAATGACGTTTAACCTTATTCTGCTTTCAATTTTAAAAATATTTGCAGGCACAGCCTACTTCTAAAAATTATCGAGATACTGACTTTTTAATGTTATTTTATCATAAATAATTAAAAATGCATCGAACCTTAAAAATCGAAATATCTCAAAAAGGGCTAACTATAACGAAAATTCACATGAGAGCGTTTTGTCGTACCAAAAAACCCTTGTATACCAATTTTCACTGTTATACATCAAATATTGTTTGAAATATTTAAAAAAAACTATTTTAGAAAGCAAATTTAAACACCCTGTATTTCGGAAGCCACGCATTTTTCGACCCATGTTTATATAGACTTTATGCATTAATTTTAAAACTTCTATCGAATCTTAAAGTTATGCAACAATAAACTGAAGCACCCTGTATATAGTGCTTTTAGCAAAATTAAGTTTATATCTAACATAGATTATCAACTACTCCTAGTAATTTCGCATCTAATAGATATTGATTTAGCATGTGGAGAACCATGTGCATGAATAATTTAATTTTTGTAAAAAATGTCTTTCCGTCTGATTTTTGCCGAGCTAGAGCAAAGGGGGAGCTCCTACTCTCCCTTGGCCCTCCATTGGTATGCCCTTGGGTGGATTATTCGTACAGATTTGATTGGGCAGACCTGGATTAGACGTAACAAATCCTTGGTTGACATTTCTACGATCACTTTTGTCCTACAATGTCGGCGACAGTACATTTTTTGGTGATATCGTTAGATAATTGCTTTCTAATGATAAAAGTTCAAATTGGCATCATGACAGGGCATTTGCCGCCATTTTGATAAACGCGTATGATCAAAAATATTCAAAACCATCGATCCTATGTACAAAAAGTATAGAAACAATTTTGTACGGAATTAAATACTTATCATTTTGCTTCTATAAAAATTTGCCATATAGTCAACATACCACATACCAAAGATATCTACAACCCCGTGGCGCACGGCAAGTTCGACCGATAGTTACGCGATCCGTCTGCCGAAAATATAAGTATTTTGTATTAATATACTAACATCAAAATGATCAGTGTCCCCTGAAACGTCTAAAAGTGAAAGCTTGAGCCGTATCTATTTTTTTCTTTTTCGGCATGTTTTCCGTCGCTACTGGACCGATTTTCAAAAGCATTTTTGGCACTGGCATAGTAGTAACCTTGTGTTAATTCATCCAAATCCGAGCAGTACTTTCCAACTTATAAGCACACAGATAGTTACTACTGACAGGCACAAATGACATGGTTTTGCCTGATAAGTAATACCTGAAATCTCTAATTTAACTCTGTTCTTTCGTTGGAAAAATCAATATGTAGCTCATCGGATATAGCAATTTATATGCAAACCAGCTGCAGTGTGTTACATTTCAAACCCTCCTACATTTAAACGTTTATCACCTGGAAGTTCGGGTTCTTGCTCAATCGCCGAAGAATACAAGTACACACTCACCTTGGCATATGCTTGGTGGAAAGACGTGAATTTCTGGTATTATAAATATTCGAAGAAACCAGAGCAGAATACTGTACACTCCCTTCTTTTTCAGCGCGTTCGTAAGCAAATTGAGGTTCCCATACATGACTGCGCCAGAAACAGACAATATTAAGTATTGCAACATCGTCAATCATATCATATTTTATCAAGATGGTTAACACCGTCAGAAGACCTGAACGTTTTATTTATCCTTTAGTGGAAACTACGAAAATTTAATAACTACGTCAAAAATGTGTAAAACTATTTTCTCTATCTACTCGCAACGAAGAGACCCACATTGACGATGTCAAAGGTAGGTCCAAATTTTATCAAGTACTGAATAGGGTTCAAATGGAGGATTTGCATAAATTTTATTTGAAAAGATCCTGCGAATAAAGCAACATAATTTGTGCACCTACTGACTTACACTTCATTTTAAAAGAATCAAATTTGATGGCACATCTACAAAAAAAAAACGAAGAAAATAAAATCGAAGACGATTAAGGTACCGAAGATTGTATAATTCAACAAATTGATATACACAGAAACAATATTTGCACAACTACTGAACCAAATCTCTTACTCAAGGATAAGATATTGTTTTATTATTAGAAATAAAATTACAATTTTTGTACACATGATCAAGTGACTTTATTCAGTTTCAGGTATCCATCTCCCTACTTTCTGAATTTATAACAAAGAATTACTTCTACTGAATGGTGATACCTATATTATAACCTGTTTCTGAGCAATAATTCTTAGGGTTACAAAGTTCGGAAGTTTTTACTTTGATTCGAAAACGTCAACTATCAATATCATTAAGTTTTCAAAAAAAATTTTTATCTAAGATTTGTCAGGGCAGTTATAATAAACCATAATTCCAAATATTATCCACATATCATCTCAAATCTAAATAAAATAATTTGTTAAAACTGGTCAAACACGTATAGCTAAACTAATGAAACAAATTTAATAAATTATATATATTATATAATAATTAAATTGTTTTACTTGGCACGTAAACTTATTTTAATGATTTATTATTTTTAAATAAATTGGTGTGCTCAATCTAACTAAACGGTTTAATAAATTTAATTAAATGATTCCGTTTTGGTTTAATTAAATTAGTTTCATAGATTCAAGTAAACTGTTTTAGAAATCGAAGTTTAATTAGAACGTGTTAACTGTCACATGGTTGATTAATCTTTTAATTGGCCTTGATAAAGTTTTAATTGGTGTCATTAAGCTGTTTTCTCAGTGTATTCACTTTCTATTCTCTACTGGTCTGTCTGTCGATCTAGTTCGGTTCTGAGTATGCCACAAACAAGTAAGCTTTAGTAAAAAATATTAAATAATCAATCAAAATCAATCTTTTTAAGCGTCAGAAAATTTTAAATAAATGTCTATGATCGTTATTGGTCCCAGATCATCCTAGCGTAGTAAAAAAACAAATAAAACTATGTGCCTTTTTTAATATCAAAACATCGTGTTTTTATTCTCTTTAGGTCTAAATGTCGATCTAGTTCGGTAAAGCCTGGCTTCTGAATATGCCACAAACAAGTAAGCTTTAGTAAAAAAATATTAAATAATAAACATCATCAATCTTTTGAAGCGTCAGAAAACTTGTAATAAATCTCTATCAACGTTAGGTATTGATTCCAGATCATCCTAGCGTAGTAAAAAAATATATAAGGATATGCGCGTTTTGTAATTTCAAAACCTCGTGTCTCTATTCTCTGTTGGTCTATCTGTCGATCTAGTTCGGAAAAGCCTGGCTTCTGAATATGCCACAAACCAGTAAGATATGGTAAAAAATACTAAATATTAAACATCATTAATCTTTTTAAGAGTCAGAAAACTTGGAATAAATCTCTATGATCGTTATTGATTCCAGATAATCCTAGCATAGTAAAAAAATATATGCCTTTTTTAATTTCAAAACCTCGTGTATCTTCCTGTGATGCAACTAGTAAACAATCTAAAAAATGAAATTCCAAGAGAACATGCAAGTACTCACAAGAATCGTCACCTGCATTGCGAATAGGGGATGTACCAGCCCCACAGACGCTCACAGACAAAACTTAAATTTCCAAACCGTACGCACCACTGTCGAAATTGCTGTTGAATATGAAATGGCAAGAAGTCAAGAAGCCAAAACTCAAATATCCCCACACGGTGGCCTGCCCAATTTTTCAGAACAGGTTGGGCAGTGCGTTGATACATTAACTCGATATCCTTTAATGATAATCACTTGTCTTAAGTCATTGTATTATTTGCCGCTGAAATGGCAGATCGAAAGTTGCTCTTTATTCTTTAAGGTTTTCAAGTTTTTAGTCAATTATCTCTTCTTGTTTTGTTGGTTGGGATATCGGAATGTCATCATTTGAGATTTAATTGGAGTGGTGTTTATACGGTCAGTTGCAAAATAAACCCAGCACACAAAACTTTATTCAAATACGGAATGTCATAACTCTAGGGTAATCGAAAATGATGTTGATTTACCTCTAAAACAAGCCAATACTACTAACGTATTAACATTGATTAAGGCATTTCTACTGAAGATATTCAACATAATGCCAAATTCCCGTGTCCAAACAATTATTGTTTCAAGTCTTTGGGTACGTGTTCATATAATTTTGGAGCCAAATAGATAAAAGATCGCTTCATTATGGTCTTGTGAGGTTTAGGGACAGCTTTTCATCGTAATTCATGATATATCATAGCAATGCGTGATTTTATCGCGCTCACTGACGGCTTTGTGATAATGGATGATAGTATATTTAGGCATTGCTATCATAGCTGTTTATGTATGAACATTTCTATTGGCTCATCGTGTAGGCCAATCACTCGACCCTCTAAAAGCACTTGTATGCAAATAATCCTCTAACGTACGTCTTATCCATCAGCTGACACCGTTATCAACAAACTATACGCTGCCCCTTTCCGATCCGTTACAAGCGTTATTCGCCAGGTGATGGAACCATATTTACGCCAATGGTTCCATGGTGGTACCGCCGCTTCTACTTCCCACGCCTACTTACGAGGAAGTTTTGAAATCGGGAGAAACTTCGAACATGAGATATGTTTTTTGGATGGTATATGACATGTGCAATTGTGCATCACGAAAAATCATGTCGCCCATGGCGGCGTGAAGGAAAAAAACGAAGGAATAAAAATCGCTCAAACTTCTTTTTTTAACGTTTCAGAGGCTCCTGATCATTTTCGGAAAAAATGTATAGGGCTCATGCACCAGACCCTGTGTGCATCTGATTGCATCGCCGGCATTGTCGACCTGGGATTACAGTAACGTGGCTGGAGCTTATGGCATGGTTGACAGGTGTGGTTCAGCAGTGTTGCCAGATGATTGAAAGTAGCGTTAGTGCTGTTATTATAAATAATAATAATAATAATTATCTTTATTGCCCAACCGCCTCCCAATTACAGGACAATAATACATAAACATACCATAAAACCAAATTAAATGAAAAATAAAAAACAGTTAATGGATGTAAAATTTAAACAATAACTGAATTAGCGGAAAGTACGAAAGTACAACAAATTACAGAAAGAAATATATAGGATTTTTGACATTATATCAAGCATCAATACGTTTAACTTCTACATAAAAATATAAAGAAAACACTGACAATAAACATATAATAAAAGTTGAATGCCATATTAAGATAAGGATAGCCCATTTATGTGATTTCTCTGTCCAGGTACAAACGACCACAATTCAGTATTTTTGACATACTGTCGAAATTTATATCACATACAGCAGAAATTGAATTAAAATTTTGACGCATAGTTAACACTGGTGACTTTAGAAGCAAATTAGTTCTAGCTCTCTCACAAGGGACGGTTTCTTTGTTTCTAGTCAAACAAGGCACGAAGAAATCAATACTCGATAAAATTACGCTGGCGTTATTATGTAAACGTTTATACAAAACGGTTATAGAATTACATTTTCGTCTTAGATCCAGACTTTCTAATTCAAATCTAAAAGTAAGATGCTCATAAAGTAAAGACTCAAGAGTTGGACTGTTTGGCTGACGTGATCCATTTACTTTTTTGTTATGCGTGGTTGTAGCTATCTTTGAGGGACTAACTTGTGCCGAAGGTCATGAACTCTTGACTGCATTGCGTGGAAAGTGCAAGAGTCAACCTTCTTGACGCTATTTTTTATCTCGTCACTGTATCTCCAAAAATAACGCCAAAAGCTGTAAATACAAAATTCACCTGATCGCTATACACCTTATCCCTTCCTGCACCGAGCTTTGATCAGTCAAACTTTCCTTGGTATGCTTACTGAAGAAAAGGAACTAACTACTTAACTCAGGATTGTGTTCTCCACTGAGGAACTTGGAATCCAAATGTTGATTATAATACGATTAGCTCTTAATAAAATAAGGCTAGAATTGCAAACGTTGCTTTTTACTTCCCATGACTGACTTTTTTCTCAGAGGGTCTAGTTGTTCCTTTATTTTCTGGTAAGGGCGTTGCGTGGGAAGTGCAGAGTCAACCTACTTGACGCCATTTTTTATCGGTAAAAGATATATGTTGGATCACACTGTATACCAATCAGTTCGAATAACCGAAATCACCTGTATGCAAATAATCTATTATCACTCTCCTTATCCACCTGCTAATCAGCTCTATATCAACAAGCTATACGCGTACCAGAGCTTAAACCATTTAGGCGTCATTCGTCTGTCGATGGAACCCCATCTACGCCAATGCTTCCATGGTACCACCGCTCCGCAGCCGTGACTCATCAACCAGGTGCCAGTCTGAGGTACCAGCCGTCCATTGATGGTCACTTCGTGACCCACTTATGTACCGAAAGCTCTGTGACGAAATGCTACTTCTTTTTGGTGAAAAATGCTGGTGATTAGGTGAATAGTTGAGTTTTCTATACGTGCGAGCAGTGCTTGAAAGGTGAGTACCGGAATCTACCGATAATTTGTTGTTATTTATGGTACCCGAGGCCGAGTTATTTATGATAAGGTCACCGTTTCGTTATGTTTGTGGGTATTTCGCGTAATAGTTTATTTGTTGTGGTCGAGAAAATTGATGAATGTTCACGAAAGATGTCATTAAGTCATGTATAAATAAACTCCGATTTGATACTCGTTAACAGCTTCCCTTGATAAAAAGAACTCTCCATTGAGTTATCTTCCAATTAAAAAAGGAAAGTCAAAACGGGTTCACCCTATACCTTAAATAGACGCATACCATAAACTTTAAAATTATGACACCAATCTTTTGAAGTAGCTTAACAGTAATGCATACCAAAACTTCCAAAAATATAATCTCAAAAAATTGGCTTCCTCTTCTCACTAACTCAATATTGAGGTTGCCATTAAGAACAAATATTAACCTGGAGACCCCGATTTATCCTTCAAATCAGTTCGTTTCAAAGTTCAAGTTTTATTCGGTCTTTTAAAAATGCTTGTCGCTTTAATCTCGCATGTCCCTTTTTTTCAACAGTGGAGGAGGAGTAATCTTTATAATTTTCGTCTGATTATTTCATTGTGTATACAGGGTTATCCAAATTAAGTGTCCACCATTAGTAACTTTGTTATTAGTGAAAATACAAAGTTGTTTGAATTAGCAAACTAGTAGCATTTTTAACGCTGGTAAAAATGAGAAATAAAAAAAACAATTGAGAGTCGTTATTTTGATTTTTTTCAGTAAAATAACATTTTTTTAAATGGAAACCCCTGTATATTATATTTTTTTCTGTTAAAGCATCAAATTTTAAACAAAAAAGTTCATAATGACTTTTCTCCTAGGTTACAAATTGTTGAAGTTATGGCCTCCAATCTGAAACAATTAAATTGTATCGACAAACTTTATTTTCAACATCAACTTATAATCTTACAAAATACAATAACAATTTTTTTTAAAGAAGATGCTCGAAAACACCACCTTGTTCTTCAATACATTTTTGGGCACGTTTTTCAACTGCTCGAACTGTCTTAAGTATGGTCCTACCATCTATCTGGGTTATCTTTTCCCTAACTGCAGTCTTTAACGCGTCAAGGTTATCGTACCTTCGCTTGTAAATTTGGTTCTTTAAGTAACCCCACAAGAAGTAATCAAGTGGGTTTAGATCTGGTGATCTGGGAGGCCACTGTATTGGGCCATTTGTTCCTCTCCACTGATCATTAAAAGTAGTACTTAGAAAATGATAAGTACCTCTGGAGTTGTGGGCAGGTGCGCCATCTTGCTGAAAATGCAGATGATGTCTACTTATAAGATCCAATTCGTCTAAGAAATTAGTCAGAATTTCTGGCATAAATTCCACATATCTTTCACCAGTTAGGGTTCCCTCATAAAAGAACGGGCCAACAATTTTTGAACCAATTATACCGCACCAAACGTTGAAACTGAAACGGACTTGTGGGCCTCTTGGATGTACTAACAAAAGATTTTCTCTTGACCAATAATGGTGGTTTTTTCTATTAAACATTCCAGAATTTGAAAAATTTGATTCATCTGTCCATAAAAGGTAACGAAAGTTATTTACATTTTGGCGACAGAAGCTAAGATACCAATGGCAAAAAACAAGTCTTCTCTCTGGATCCCCTGCCAAAAGCGTTTGAACTGGTCGGTACTTATACGGAATAAATTTGTATTTTTTTAAAATCCTTTGAACAGTACCATAACTTAAATTAGAGTCCTTGAGAATATCTGCTATTGAATTCTCACGATAAGCTTCAAAATATCCAATAACTGCAATTTCCGTGGCCTCGCTTATTACGAATTCTTTTTTTGCCCTTGTTTTAGCAAAAACATTTTCGTTGCCCCTAAATTTTCGATAAAGTCTCAGAAAATATCGTTCATACGGTTGAATGCGAGCGGGATATAATTCACTATAGTATTCTCTTGCTCTCAAGGAGGATTTTCTGCACACTAAATAGCATTCTAACATATCACACTTTTCTTCATGGGAGAACATTTTTCTTTAAATTAATGACACAATAAAGCTTATAAACAAGTATTTACACTAATGTTTGACATTATTTGATTTTATCATTGTTTTCCAAAGCCTTCTAGTTGCGAGTATGTCCAGTTTAACAATTTGTCGCTTATCTTAATGCTGTCAAATCGCGAACGCCATGTTGTTTTCATAGCCGTCTTAATATTATAATACTGCAAATAATTAAAAATATTTTGACTTTATTTTTGACTTTAGCGGAAAAGTCATTATGAACTTTTTTGTTTAAAATTTGATGCTTTAACAGAAAAAAATATAATATACAGGGGTTTCCATTTAAAAAAATGTTATTTTACTGAAAAAAATCAAAATAACGACTCTCAATTGTTTTTTTTTATTTCTCATTTTTACCAGCGTTAAAAATGCTACTAGTTTGCTAATTCAAACAACTTTGTATTTTCACTAATAACAAAGTTACTAATGGTGGACACTTAATTTGGATAACCCTGTATAGAGATGACCGAAAAGCTCTTTTTCAAAAGATGCATTTTTATGCGTTTTTTCCTTCAATCGTAACTACTTAACAAATAAAAAAAAATTGTATGTGAATCATACGCAAAAAACTGCGTTTGAAACAATATACACGTTCCACATCCGATTGATTTTTGATTTCATGGTAGTAATAGAGTTTTAAAGATCCATCTTTACCGTAATAGGATGCTTAACCATATTTGGGTGGTATGCTAATTCATTTCCATGTTCGACTATTAACCCATATCTGATCGTCATTCGAAAACATTTACATCAATGAAACTTGGAGAAAACGATTGCCATGTTCACAATAATTGTGAAATATCTACATCTTACCATCGCATACATAAGTATAGTCAGTAAAGCCAATTATTAGTAAATTATAGCGTCGACTGCATGAAGTGAAAGGGTCTGCGTCAATTCAGATGTTTCCTGAATCATACTTAAATTATGCAATTGAGGTCGTTAGTATATAACAAAGACACAAAGAAATTATCTTCTGTATACCTACGCTCATAAGTGCATCATACTTTGATATTGTCTCAAAGAGTTTATTTTATATCATTGCAATAAAAACGTTATATATGCATGCATAATTTATCGTTAGTGCAGAATGTCTTTGGTGAAAAGTGACAAAAATACGATACGAGCATTACTACCTCGACATTTAGCGATTTTTTGAACATACAGTGTGGTTCAGAAAAACGTGGCAATATGTCTATAGTACAAAGTACATCCAAAAACAACAAAAAGATCATAAAGACATATGGATACATGGTCAAGGGCGTATCCAGGTGCCCCCCTTTTCCTTACAGCGGCAAGAATTAAATGGAGAGAACATTCCCTACAAAAATTAAATTATTCATTCAGGGTTCTCCACTAGCTGAATCTATATCTATTAGATGAGAAGCTACTAGGATTAGTTGAAATCCATGATGGGTATAAGCTTAACCTGACCTTTGGGATCTCGGAATCGGTAAAGCGAATGTCTTGTAACCAATATGGCGGATTGTAGGTTATTCACAAATTCCTTTATAGCGCGGCCATTTTAAACCGAAAATGTCACTTGAGCCACATCGTTGGAAAGGGAATTTTGCATAGAGAGGGATTATGGAAGAAAATATACAGATTTCCATTTGAAAAACGAAAGTCAAGGGCACTGCCGGTTAAGCCAGGAGGGAGAGATAACCCATTCAACTTTCGAGAAATATCTCTTAATGACTAACTAAACACGTCCCAATCTTAGAACGGTATCTTTATTTGCCAAAAAAAAAACAGCGTGTTTCCAATTTTCATTGTTACCCGGTAGATGAAATACAAATAGAAAGACATATATCAAGCATATAAATAGATATGATTTCCACCAACAAATTTTTTTAAGGTTTTGAGCTAGGTACGCCCTTACACATGGTGTTGAAAAAATCTACGCCACTGATGAGACTGTATAAAGACAAAGCATGAATATTTCAGAACTAACGTTTGGAGAGGAGGACTCCCCTCCTAAAAGACACTACTCAGAGCTTCCAAAGTCAAACTTCATTAACTTCAGCCAATGATTAACGTAATCTATCTGAAGACAGCCAACAATATGTGTACTGCATTTCGGCGACCAAAAACGGATCTGAAAGATCATAGCTGTTCTTTTGTATGTACTTTCTATTCTTGAAATATTTCTACGTATATCGAAATTAGCCTGTATATGTAGCTATCTTATATATTAAGGACTATATCCGATGAGTTACCGCCTGAACTTTTGCTCCAATAAATAATCGAAAGCCACATCAATTATGGTATAATATTTTGGGGATCTGCTAACAAGACTCATATAGATCAGCTGAAAAAATCCAAAAATTGATACTTACAACAATACATAATCGACCAGAGTGACATTCTAGAAGCATGTTTCTTTCATATCTGCTTTCCAGAGACCCGTGTTCAGCAGAAATATCGTTCCACTGCACTTTGTATGCCCATATACACTTTTTAGAGCAGTTCGGGAACACAAAGACAAGGTCGCAGTATAGTTACGACACTAGAAACAAAGACAACTTACGAGTACCATGACCAGAAAAAACAAATTACAAAGATCATGCACATTATTATCTCCAAGATCTTATGATTTGCTACCACCAGAAATAAAGAAGTACAATAATATAAACTGATTCAAAACTGACGTGAAGAAATGGATACTGTGAAAAAATCGGTCATTTTTTCATAATGCGATTGATATTAAGAACAGCTACCTGAAATAGTTGGACAACAAAATACATAATTATGACGAATCGAACGAATAGATACAATCGACAAGGTGCGTCCTAAATGCACTTACGAGGCCATAATCAATCACTATATCGTTTTTTCAAATGCATCCTTTTCTTTGTGTATGTGTATCGTATCACTGATAATAATTAGGTAATACTCGTACTTAGATTTTCCTTACTCAGCATATTTTTTGTATATTCATATTTTATTCATTTCAGTTAATGTACAATGTTATCTTTCATAATATGTTATGTATTCCTTTGGTAGTTAATTAGCAATAATTAGCACCCACGCACAAGGAATGTTTGATCATTTCTGTGGGAACTTTGTTTATTCCAGTATTTTCTTACATGCTGATGCAGTTGTAATAATGGATACCGAATAAATTATTATTATTATTAGACACATTTTGGCTAACTGGAAGATCTCATTCGTAATGGGGTAGCTAGCTAATGACACAAACGTGAAAGGTCTTCAAGATTTTTTGTTTATATATATATATATATATATATATATATATATATATATATATATTAGCAAGATGAGTCATAAAGACCAAGATGTTTATGAAACTGCATTATAACGTTTCTGGAAAGATACTTAACGATATTGAGGAATTACAGTAATCTGTGCCTTCTTAATTTTTACAGGCAGAATGCATATCTGTTTGGCAATAGTTATTTTCTACTAATTGGGATCAATATTGAGAAATATCACTGGATGTCAACAATATTTTAAAAAAATAACAAAACATAAAAATATGATTGCATATTTATTCCGTCCAGTTGTTCGTAAAAATACATTCAGTGCATTTCTGACGTTGGTGTGATACCACTAGTAACATAGTAGAATATATATAATTACAATGTGTAAGTAATAAGTATAAGCGACATAACTTACAAATATAGTATTGGGTCAAATAATTCTAGTCCATAAAGATTTATTCATTCAAGGTATATCACTGAAATACATATACTTTGATCTTTTTAAAGCACTCTAGTCTACCAGCCTGGGTGATTTTAGTTTTTCACGGAAAATTCTGAACAAATATCCTGCTTACCGGCGTGGATAAGCAATATGTAACACTGAATACCTATTACCAAACCAATGACTGCTACCACACATACCCTTCAGTAAGTGCAAAAGGCTATACTGTACGCGTATAAAAGACTTGGACTCATGTTTTAGGAGTTTAATTCTACAACTTACCAAATTACAAAAAAATAACCTAAAATCAGGAGGATTGTGAATGGAACCTGAGAAAAAAAATTTAAACAACACCGACCTATATATCGCTTGCAAAGATTGTATTGTTTTGGGCACAGCAAAACCGATTGTATCATTTTTCGACCACTTGATGTCTTTCCTAAAAAGCTTTGGCCATGAAGAGCAGCACAACAAGTATTCTTGGCACTATAAAATATCAAAATAATACTAACTCTCAACCTCGAATAATAGTTGATGCTTTTGGTAATTTCTTTGGCAGTGTTTTTGAGGAATCTGTTTTGAATTGTGATGAACATTTAAATAGCAATGTGATGAACTCGATCCGGTGTGCACCAGGGGTCTAACTTGGGGCCACTATTATTTTTACTATTTATTAATGTCCTCTGCGAGAATTTGAACCGTGAACATTTATGTTTTGGAGACGATGTGAAAATCTACTCTTCAATTAACAACATACACGATTGTTTAAGCTTGAAGATGCAGTTATGTTCGGATTTGGTGGGAACGCAATAAATACATCTTAATATAAGCAAGTGTAGAATTTTTAGAGGACTACTTATTCATGTATCTTTAAGATCGATGAATTGGTTTGGAAAGGTGTGAAAAACTAACTGTCAATGATCGTATTCCCTGAAAGTATCTTGAGGATTAAAGGCATACGGATTTTTTGTCATAAATTATAGACAGTTCCACAATATAAGATCTTTGAAAGACTTATACTTGCTGTCATTGAGACATATTTATATGTTCCATTAAAGAATTAGTTAAGATATACGTAAGGCAACAGCTATTGTTTTTCTACCACTGCGACTTATTTCTTTTATTCCTTTTTATTTTTACCTAATTGTCCTATAAATTACTATTATAATTATTATTATTATATCAGAGGTTTGTAAAAAATTCACCAGTTGTGACCATATACTGCACCTGCATATAAAGATATGATCGGACGTCTCTCCGATCAAACAAAGTAGACACACTCGTTTTGAATCCTAAACAGCAGACGTCCCATTAGCTTGCGCACGTTCCATAAAATGCTGTTACCCCATAAAACAATTTCCGGTAGTTCTCTATTCCGCTACACGCAAGTAGACGGAACCATACACCATTGCCACTAAGAATACATAATGCATTTTACCAGGTTAATTTGAAAAGTTTATTGGATAAGGCTAAGCGATGCAAAGTTCATTTTACTCCGGTGTTTCCACGTATGAAATATGCCTTGAAATTGGTCTAAAGTCTATAGTATTTCTGGCACTATAATCAACTATTTTAAATGCATAAGAAAACAATTTGTACTTATCAACACTTTTATTTACATATTTAGTTTATGGATTTTTAGCAGTACGAAACATGCTACTTTCCATGTACAGCTGTTATCCTTTTTGTGAACTCATCAGTATACTCTAGGCTTGGTCTCTGGGACAACGACCTAATAAAGTATAGCAACTATTCTCCATGAGATCTATCGAAATAAAACAGCGCAAAGCACCATCTATTACCAGAGTCCACCACTGCGCAGCTATTGGTTGGAATTTTAAAGATCTCAGTTCCGGTTTGATAGCCTTGTGACTGCTAGAGACTGAACAGCTGATTCGTGCTTCTTGGATTCCGATACTCATGATGTCAGTGAAAAAGCCCTTGAGCCAATGTTGCGTTTTTGGCACTCTGTGAACCAGGAATTCGTGATATATCGATCGTCGAAACCAGCAGCATTCCTGTTTTGATCTGACTTACAGCTTCGTTGATTTCAGGTAATGAGAAATGATCAGAATATCATCTGAGGCTTTTAGAGCTATTTCCGTAGAGAGGCTATTCTACCGACTGTTATATATGTAGCTGATAGATACTTGGACAGTTAAAGCTTACGCAGCAGTCCCCAAACCTACAATTTGAAAAGTACAGTAGGTACTAAGATATTTTCAATATTTTCCTACTAACTATACTAATTGACATATAAATCCGAACACCCAGTTTAAATGGTTTTATTTTAATAAAAGTTGGTGAATGTATTTATCTTACTGTGAAAAAATTTTTAGCCTTATCGGTTAGACATTCCGGTTTTTATACTGCTTTTCTTTAATTCACTAACGCTCTAAAAATGAATATTTCAGCAGCAGTAAAGAATCAACGTTGGCGGATTTTGGTTCTTGACATCCTTTACGATCGGTTACGATGCCTAGAGTACGGAGACCTGTACGATTTCGTCAACTTAGTGAGTTTGATATGGCCCGTATAGTGGGACTTCGGGAAGCTGGACTTTCTTTTCGGGCAATTGCAGTTAGAGTGCAAAGAAGTGTAGACACTGTGGTTAGGTGTTGTCAGGCATGGCTTCGAGAAGGCCGTACTCAAAGAGCAAGGGGCACTGGACGCCGCCGTAGAACAACAGACCGTGAAGATCGCCGCCTAAGATTATTGGCCTTAAGGGACCGTTTCTCCACTACCAGGTCCATTGCAAATGAATGGTTTGCAGAACACGGAAGACCTATTGGCATGCGAAGTGTTTACCGACGAATGAGAAGTTTTGGCTTGTTTTCATATCGGCCACACTGGGTCCTCCCTTTAACTCGAGAACACCGACGTAATCGCCTTGAGTGGTGCAGACAACGGTCACTCTGGGATCAGGAATGGAACAGTATTGTCTTTAGTGACGAGTCTCGATTTTGTTTAGGCATGCACGATGGTCGTGCCAGGGTTAGAAGGCGACGTGGTGAAAGGAGGAATCCACAGTTTTTTGTTGAAAGACATGTTCATCACACTGTTGGAGTTATGGTTTGGGGTGCTACAGCTTATGGTTCCAGGTACCTTTAATCTTCATCAGAGGTAACATGAACGCGCAGCGTTATATCGACGAAGCTCTAGAACCCCATATTTTACCCTAACTTGACACCCTGGCAGATCCAACTTTTCATCAAGATAATGCCCGACCACATGTTGCAAGAGTCACAATAGACTTCTTTCAACATAATGATGTGACATTGTTACCATGGCCACCAAGATCTCCCGACTTATCCCCAATTGAGCACGTGAGTTGGTGGTTGCCTGGAATGAGATACCACAGGAGGACATTGACCACCTGATCAGAAGCATGCCTAGGCGCGTTGGAGAATGCGTAGCACATTAGGGTGCATCCACACATTATTAAAGGTCAAAGAGCTTTAAAGCAGTGCAATCATTTTGAAATTTTTATCATTTACTTATTATGCTTCATTAAGTACTTATACAAAATTTTATTAAAATAAAACCATTTAAACTGGGTGTTCGGATTTATATGTCACTTAGTATATTATAACTTGGCTCCGACATCGGGGATATGCGTATATTATGGAATCAATGTTCAATATAAAACTACACCTTATAATAGAGGAAATCAAAATATATGTTTCTCAAATCCTTGAGAAAGTGTGATGGTAGTCGATTGTGTTTACATTCCCCTCTTAGTGAAGTGTCAGCAGTATATTCGGCAAAACAAACACGATAAGAGAGGTCTCCGATTTTACTTATCAATATAATACAAAATCGATAACACGAGTTAAACATCAGATAATAGATCAAAGCTTTTCAAAGATGAAGGTGAAACTGTCATGAGATTCTAATTTATAGTCCAAAAAATATAAAACCCCTGGGTCGTAAAAGCTGTATCATAGGTATACACAAATATATGCAAATGTTTGTTTAAAGCGATTAGTGAGATACTGTATTTCACCTGTCTTTGTTATCTTTATGGATATATGGGATAAATAACTGATTTATACAGGACATATGTGCAATCAGGTAACTTCAATGAGAATTGGTTATTTACATGCCATGAACCCAGCCATGATACTATAACTCGGCATCTAGAGCACCAGCGATGTAGTCAGGCACAGACAGGGTTTGGTGCATGAACGACCGGATCGTCATACAACGCGTCTGTAAATATTTCTTGACGGGACATCTATGATGTGTGAAATATGTACTCATAGGTCCTTAGAACCTGTAAGCTTATAAACAGGGTAGATCAACTGTCACCAACTCGTTGATTTTTACTCAATTAGCATCAAATATTTTCGATCATCAGGGCCGGTAAGTCGTAGTGTACAAGGACCACTCGATATCGGTATTATAGTCCTATTTACATAATCGTCAGCTATTCACATCATACAATGACATCGAGTCTTTTTATAAAGCATTTTCAGGGGTACCACAGGGTTCGGATTTGATCCCATTACATTTTTTGCTCTTTGCTAACGATGCAAATAGCAATGTTCATTGTTAAACATTAATATTTGCCGATGACTTGAAATTGTTCTTTGAAATCAACAGCATCACTGATTGTGAGTACTCACAGTGTCACTTATCTGAGTTTGGTGCCGATTGAATAAACTGTATTTGAATACCGCTAAATGCAAAGTGGTTACATTCTGTCAAAAACAACAAATAGCAATTTACCGTTATAACATCGGAGGAAATGTAATCAGTCGACCCGAAACGGATTGCGATTTAGGCATGTCATTGGACAGTAGGATGCAATTTGACTATCACATTACTCAAATCGTAAATACGGCTAATAGAGCTATAGGTTCCATTGTTAGAAATTGTTAAGCTTATTAAAGACATGACTGCATTAAATCATTATACTTTGTATATGTACATTCCAAATTGGAATATGCTTCGTGGTATTACAACTGTTATTAAAATCAAATCGATCATATTCAAAAGAAATTTCTTAGGTATCTGGTTTTCAAGATTGATTCAGTTTATCCTCAGCGTGGGTCGAACTACCAAGTATTGTCGGACAGATTCCAAGTTGCTTCCTTGAGTGACAGAAGAGAACACAACTTCATCGTATTTTTATATAAACGTTTACATGGTATTGTTGATTCTTCAGACCTCTTATTCCAGCTCCAAATTTTGGTTCCAAGGACATCTTCTACAAACAATACTTTCTTTTTTGCACCCGTGCAAATATCAACTTAGTTTTAAAATCTCCTGTAAGAGTCATGTGCACTAACCTGAACAGAACATGCGTTGTTTGTGATACAGGGTGCGGCAGGGAGGACGGACGTTTTTGGGATGGGTAGTACTCTCCGCCTCCGCCTACGAGAGAGGTGGGGAGGGTGCCGTTTGACTAGTGAGATCCTAGCATTATTTTATCAGTTGTCGTTATGGAGCCTTGGACGGTGGAGCACCGCGTTTTCGCCTATGATTGTTTCGTCCGAAATAATGAGTCAGTCATCGTCGTACAGCGTGAGTTTCGTCGCCACTTCAACATTCATCGGAATAGAGCTGTTCCCTCTCGAAACACCATCATTCGTTGGGTTGAATCACTTCGCAGACGTGGCGAACTGATCAACAGAAGACCAAGAGGAGCGCCGAGAACAGTTCGAACTCCTGAAAATGTTGGTGACAGGTTTTTCTTCGCAGTCCGACTCGATCTGCCCGGAAACATGCTGCTGCACTTCGCCTTAGTGATCGTTCGGTAAGGCGAATTTTGCATATGGATCTCCGCTTTCACCCCTACAAATTGGCCATTGTGCAACAGTTACAGCCCGGAGATTATGCACAACGAATGAACTTCGCACGTGAGATGGAAGCACTGATCGATCAAAATGAGAACCTCATTTTGTTTATGAGTGACGAAGCCCACTTTCACCTAAACAGCATGGTTAACCAGCAGAATTGTCGTTATTGGGCCAATAAAAATCCCCAACAGTTACACAAAAGACCGCTGCACAGCCCAAAAGTAACGGTTTGATGCGCTGTATCGCAAACTTGAATCATTTACCCTTACTTCTTCGAAGACGGTAATGGTCGTGATGTTACCGTGAACTCAGAGCGCTACGTCGACATGATCACCAACTTCTTTCTCCCTAAATTACGACGGCGACGTGTTCCAATCCGACGTGTGTGGTTCCAGCAGGATGGGGCGACCGCCCACACGGCCCGAGCATCCATGGACGTTATTCGCCCTCTCTTCCCTGGTCGCCTTATTTCCATGTTTGGCGATGTTCATTGGCCTCCTCGGTCCCCAGATTTATCCATATGCGATTTCTTCTAATGGGGACACCTCAAGGTATACGCGAACAAGCCCCGAACTCTGGACGAATTGAAGGGCGAAATTCGCGTGGAAGTCGCCCAAGTTGAGAGAGCGATGTTGGAGAGACTCTACGCGAACTTCCAAGAACGCCTCCAGCACTGCATCAACGATTTCGGCCATCACATGCCTGATGTGATTTTCCACACTTGACTGTCTTAAATGCTATTTCCTTGTGAACCTGATTCCATCAATAAATTTGTTTTCGAGTAAAAATTAGCTATTTGATTTGATTTTTTTAAAACCGTCCATCCTCTCTGCAGCACCCTGTATGTGTGTGTGTTCTCTCCCTCAACTTAGGGGGATTTTATGGCAGGCAGCGCCTTAAATAAGGTTATACATGTTGTATTAATATTTGTTTATTCTCTTACTTGATCAAGTTGATATTGTTTTTATTGTTATGACAGATTTCAATTCTTTGTCCTGTAAATGAAATTATACAAATTCTGTTTTGCGATAAATGCTATTATTATTATTATGTAAAGGGTTGTCCAATAGGGACGCAGGAAAGTAAACATCAATTTGACATAGACGCCATCTTTGTTTTCTGTCACCCACATGTCATTTTGTTAGTTGAATGTTTACCATTGATCGCTATGGAGTCGTATTCGATTGAAGACCGCATTAAAGTTATTCAAGAGCACTACAAAAATGGTGCAAAAATAAAAAACACGTTTCGCGCGCTTCGTGAACATTTCGGTCGCAACAACCGCCCAAACGAAACAACCATCGGTCGTCTGGTGCGTAAATTCGAGGCAACAGGTTCTGTGGCAAATCTGCCAGGCTCTGGCCGGCCAAGGAGCGTTCGCACACCGGAAAATATTGCTGTTGTGAAGGAGAGTGTGAGAGACGATCCGAAACAACAACAACAACAATCAACAACGCGTCGATCCCAAGAATTGGGCATTTCGAGAACCAGTTTGCTCCGCATTCTCCACAAGGATTTGAATGTACACGCCTACAAGATCCTATTGACGCAAGAACTGCGTCGGGCCGACCATTTTTCGCACCGAACGTTCTCAGATTGGCTCCTTGAACACCGCCAAATTGATGCCAATTTTTCATCAAAAAACATGTTCAGCGACGAAGCGCATTTCACTTTGAATGGGACGGTAAACAAGCAGAACTGCCGCATCTGGGCGAACGAAAATCCCCGTGAGTATCAAGAGCAGCCGATGCATCCTCAAAAAGTGACTGTGTGGTGTGCATTGTGGTCAAAAGGCATCATCGGACCTTACTTTTTCGAAAATGCGGCCGGGGACGCCGTTACCGTCAATTCTGAGCGATATCAGGTGATGATAGAGGACTATTTTTTGCCGCAACTAGAAGGAATGGATATGGACGATGTTTATTTCCAACAAGACGGTGCAACATGCCACACAACCAACGTCAATATCCATCGATTGCAGTCCTTCTTCGGTGATCGCGTGATTTCGCGTAGAGGAAATGTGCCATGGCCACCAAGATCGTGCGATTTGACTCCCTTGGACTTCTTTTTATGGGGATATTTGAAAAGCAAGGTCTACGTCAACAAACCAGCCACACTCCAAGAACTCAAAAACAACATCATTGCCGAGATAAATGCCATGTTGCAAAATGTCATTGAAAATTTCGACCATCGCGTAGACGTCTGTAAATCCAGTCGTGGTGAACATTTGAGCGATATTATTTTTCATGCATAAATGGTATAAATGAACCTTCAAAATAAAGTACCCAACTTGATTTGAATATCAGTCTTTCTTGTTTTACTATGCGTTTACTTTCCTGCGTCCGTTTTGGACAACCCCATACATACTAAAGCCAGAACATTCAGGAATACTCTCTTTCACCCCTTATTAAATCCTCTTCCAATTTTTAACCCCTGAATTTTTTTTTATGAAAGAGCCAGGAACCTTCTGTGAAAATTTCATCAAAATTCGCGCAGTACTTTCCAGGTTATAGAAGGGCCAAGGATTACTGGATGGACATACCGGCAGTCAGACGGATCCAAATTAGTGACATGGTTTTAGATAACATCCAAAAGACATAATATGTACCACGAAATATGATATGTACCTAGTGTGCGTAGTTTTCGAAATTTTTCGCGATTGTAATACATCCCCGTCAGTGGCGTTGGAAGTAAATTTGGAAAAATTTTGGACTCCTGTACTAATGCGTTTCCAACTCAACAATGATCCTATACCAGTTTTTTATTTTATACGCATACGCATTTGTTGCATTTTTACAATTGTTTTTGTTGTTCCAGGTACCCTAGCCATGTCGGAATACCTGGAGTACGACTGGCGATGCGCCTTTATAGGCAACCCCGCTCTTACGGACTACACTAGGTACCAGGGACCCAAAGACCAAGTATCCGCAATCAACTCATTGCGAAGCACCATACGCAGCTGCGAAGACTTTGAACTGAAAAATAACCTTCCACAGGACGATAAGGCGCTTAGAAAGTTTTTATATGCCAGAAAGTTCGACGTAGAAGACGCGCTTACGCTTATGAAGAATTATTACTGCTACAGAAAGAGAAATCCAGATATTTTTACGAATTTCACGTTAGATGCTGAAGATATCCAAAAGGCTTTGGAGAATAGTCTCCCAGGAGTACTTCCCCAAAAAGATCGAAAGGGTAGATGCGTTTTGGTTCTAACAGGAAGTAACTGGGACTGCTCTTACAATCTCCTGAGCATATACAGAGCGTTACTTTTTGCCTTGGAGCATCTAGTAGACCATATCCACAACCAATCCAACGGTTTCGTGATCATTGTAGATTGGACAGAATTTACATTTAGACAAAGCACCAATCTGAAGCCTTGGATGCTAAGACTCATGATCGAAGGGCTACAAGACTGCTTCCCAGCTAGGTTCAAAGGCATACACTTCCTTGGACAACCATGGTACGTTGAAGTGGCCCTTACGGTTATCAAACCCTTCCTTAATGAACATATCAAAGAAAGGATTTTTGTCCATGGCAACAATTTGAGCACTCTTCATGAACATGTTCATAAAGATATCCTACCGGCTGAACTCGGGGGAGAGCAACCTTCGTATAATCCCAGATCCTTTTTGGATACACTCAATAAGATTAGTGAAGTGAATGGACACTCTTGAGTGACACTTTTATTAATAACTTCAAAGATCCGTTTAGTGCAGTAAATTTGTGTAGCACACGCGATATTGGTATCGAAATCGGACGGCTTGGGCAGTATAATGTCCATAAGTAATTTAAGAGTTTTGAATATGTTATGTCTCCAAACAGATTTTATTTAAAATTTATTTGCTGTACAATGCAGAATATATTTTCTCCCAGTTACCCATGAGCCATTCTCAGTGAAGACTTGAATCCCTCACCATGACGAAATGCTGAAATGCACTTCAGTAGTAAGATGCATGACTAAAGACTGAGAGGCTTTAATGAATATGCCCTTTTTTGAGAAGCTCACACTTCGGGCAGGAAAGGCTGATATAATCTATTGAGCTTTCATTGCTGAGAGTGGCCATAAAAGCTTACCTCTGTCTAAAATAAATAAAACAAATAATACATTTTTAAAAACAAGCTTTTATTTAGCTGTTCATAAAATGAACTAAAAATTTAAAAATAATTTGGTAATTTTTATATATCTTTCTTATACTTCATTAATTGGACTCCATAAAACTTTTTAATCTATTTGTATTAAAGAAACTCGATAGATATAAATCGTATGGAATTGAGAATGTACGTTATTTGTTTATCGTGTTTCTTTCATCAATTGACACTTATGTCATAGGGTTGACTGTGAAAAATGCAAATCGCCATTTTACAGCGGCCGTCATATTGAATTTAGAATGACGTCACTATGCTTACTGGGTTTCCCTCGTCAAGACCTTCCATTTGATACCCATAGCCTGGAGGTGACTGTAAAAAACGTAAATCGCCATGTTGCGGCAGCCGCTATATTGAATTTAGAATGACATTACTTTGCTTGTTATGTTTCTCCCATCAAGCCCTTTCATTTAATGTTCATATCATAGAGATTATTGTGGAAATGATGAATTGCGGCAATTCATTTTGTATTTCCATGCAAACCAAACCTGTGTGTACAAAATTATCAGCTCAATTGGTTAAGGGTAGCTGGTAGAAAATTCAGTTCCAGGATTTATACTAACAGGTCAAGTTAAATAGAAACTTGTAAAAAGGACATTGTTTCAGTCCAAATGGGACTTCTGTCATAACGGTCAAATAAATTATTTTATGGATACTGTTTTAAAGTAAATAGTTGTTCGTATGATGTCAAACCCAGACGTTTTTCAGATTACAAATTACTTAGTCAGTAGATTTTTATATATATTTTATATATATATATATAGAGAGAGACTTGTCGATCAAAATGTCCAAAAATGTAGTAATGTTAAAATCAAGTATGTTACTGTAGTCGACACACTTCAGATGATAGATGTTCAGGATTAATTGTGCGGTTATAACAAGATTTAAAAAAATGTAAATAATCAGATCGAAAAATGAATCAAATTATTATATGTGAGATTTACTCGTAGTTAGGATAAGGACTTTCGTTGGTGTCTCATTCTGAACGGACATACGTAGAGTTAAGAGAAATGATTGACAATAGGTTTATGTTGAAGCTTTTAGCAGTGATCTGTGATGATTTTATTAACAATAGTATGTATGTAAAATTGAAATCGATATTGTATATTTATGTTTTACGAATAAATGTCTTTGCTTTACGGAAGTTCTTGATTTTTTCCACCTACTATACAAAATAAGGAGATAGGAGCTTCAGGTGCAGGTTTTTCCAAGTCATTTTGTTAATGTATTTTGACTGTCAATTTTTCGAGATTGTTACAATAGGATACAGGAAATTCTTGCACCAACAAACTCATATATGGCATATCTTTGCGAAAAATCAGGGGACTACAGAGTGATTTTGTGCACATAAGGGTTGTCTCCTCAAAATAAAAAAAAGCCCACAGAACCCACAGCAGACATATTTACAGGATTGCTTTGCGAAAAATCGGGGTACTGCAGGGTGATTCTGTGCACCTAAGGGTTGACTCCTAAAAACAGTTAAATAACTCGCAGATCTTAAACGAAGAATTGTGGCACCAACAAATTTATATAAATGTGGTATAGACCCCAAAGCAATACATATTTACAGCATAGCTTTCCGTAAAATCAGGGGACTACAGGCTGATTTTTTTCATATAAGGCTTGACTGCTCAAAACAGAAAAACATTCGCAGATCCCAAACGGAGAATTGTGCCACCCAAAAACTTATATACGTTGTAGAGACTCCATAGCAGTACATCTCTATCGCATAGCTTTGCGATTTTGTGTACATAACTTCACACAGGAAAAAAATCGCAGATCTCAAACGAAGAATTGTGCCACAACATTAACTTGAAAAAGTTGCGATTAATAGTCTGTTTATCCTTCCAATAGGTTGATGGCAACTGAGTTTCTTGAAATATACATGATATTAGTAAGTATATAAAACATTCAATAATGGAGAGTATTTTGTAATAGAAGGCACAAAATGCAGAGTTAATGAAACTATCGATCCTGCATGTAATTAATCTGTTGGCGCATAAGGCTTATCTTTTTGGCAAGGTTCCGGTATGTAAACCAAATATTCATCAATATATTTGCAAGTATAATCTAAAATCAGGTGCGGATTCAGGGAAACAGATTACATAGTTCCTGTGCTATCGGATAGAGAACAAATTTTTATATATTTTTGAATCCTTAATTTCATAAGTAACACGCTTATTGAAGCATTTGGAGGAAATTATGCAACCAGCAATTGTTCGACGTTCCACTCTCTTATAGGCTAGGAAATGTATAAGAACCGCATAAATTACAAAATTTGCACGGTTTTTAAATATTACTTTACCTCTTTTATCCCTTTTGACTCACTCGGAGGTAGTTTCAGACCATAAAACTTGGCGAGCGTTATTTTTTTACGATTATCTCAAAATTAGAAGAAACTCAAAATTTGCAAGTTTTTATCGCTATTTTTGCCTATATTTTCACCACTTTCATCCATTTAAAGGCACTTGGAGGTGGTTCTGGATGACTTGACTTGGTAGGCGTTATTTTCTAGCATCTATAAAAATACTCTCGAAAAATTACTCCAGAATCCGGTGCAACACAGAAATTATAGATTTTTTTGATGTTTTTACGTTTTTTACTTGTTTTGAGGCACTTAGAGCTAATCCCTGATGACCAAACTTTATGCGCATTATCCAAATCAATTAATATATGTAAAATAAACCCTGAAATAAAGGATAACTTGAAATAATGAAAAAACGTCAGTCATTAGATTTTGGGGTCATTTTAACCCCAAAATAGGGATACTTTTTGGGAATCTCCGAAAAACAAAAAGTATTGCCTCTTTTGGCTTTTTATAACGATTCATTTGATATCTGGGAAACTTCTTTAGGTTTATGCTTAACGTCGGAATCCGCAAAAAAAGGTGAATTTTGAGGTCACTTTTTATATGAGTGTTTCCTAACCTGTGGTCCGCGGACTCATAGTGGCATATACATGGGAGTTTGCTTGGCAGTCTCCTACCCCTCTTCCTCTTCACTTTCCAATAGGCGGTACTTTAAGTACTTAAGTAAACTGAACATAGACTTAGTTAATATTGAAAATTATTGTAAGAGACATTGTCTAAAGATCAATCATACAAAATGTTCTGTGCTGCTGTTTGGCCTAAAGCAGTTATTACAACGTTTAGAGGCGACAATTGTCATTAGGCCTAATACGAATATTCCTATTGAGGACCATGCAAAGGATTTAGAAGTCGTTATGGAGTCAGAACTAAAGTTTAAACAACATTTACAAAAATAAATGCGTTTTAAGATTTTATAATCTAATCGACATATTTTGAACTTCAAGACTCGCAATAAACTAACTTTGGTGATGTTGTTTACTATCGTTGTCTTGATTACAAGACCAGATCTGGAGTACAAAAAGAAATTAAAATAACTGCTGTAGGTTGGTTTTCGCCTGCGAAAGTTTAGCCATGTGTCCCGAAAGATCAATGAGTTCAGTTTATATCATCTGCTCATCTTTGTCCAAAGACTCAGATACAATAGGGTACCTACTTATCTTCTAAAAAAGCTTGTACCACGTGGTGATCTTAATACCAGAAATCTTGGGCATAACTCCGACTTCAACATACCTAGTTATAAAACTAACATTTTCCATCGTAGCTGCGCCTACAATTCTGTGAAAGCATATATAATGCTCTTAATGATATTGACAAATGCAAATGTATACGTATAGTTGAATTCAAAAAGGCCATCAAGAACCATCTTCTGGGATATGTTAGCCAAACTAGTCAATCAAGTTTTGATTCTATCGCAATTCTGGACTTAGCAGTCAGGTGTTATCTTGCCTATACCATATTGTTAGCCCTGTTTCATTTTTTATTTTTTATTAGTAGAACATATTGTTTTCTTTCTTCTGTTAGTCCTCATACATAGTCTTTTATTCATTCAGCTTATTTTATCTTTAAGCTTCACCTGCCTTGTTGATATGATCTTCTTGATTTCTTAAAATGCATGATAATAACTTATTTTTTGTGCATTTTCATACGCTGTAAGGTTAAGTGGTAAAGTAGCCAGCTGGCAAAACTTCGCCCTCCAGTGTGGATGCGTCAATAAAGACATTATAATAACACTGGTGAACAAAATTTAAATAATTTTTGTGACATGGACAAAACAAGGTGGTTGTTATGTAAAACGTACCCAAAAAGCCGGAAATAACATTCGATTTTTTCTATCACCCACGGTTTTCTTGCAATAAGGCATTTTATTTGCTGCTTATACTCGTAAAATATAAGGATATGTGTATAAGACTTCTAATAAACACTCGAATAAACATTAATCTCAGAATGTTGTTGTTGATGTTTTACGGCGATATGTTGGTCCTAAAGTATCTCTTAACAATGTCCAGCCATAATCAGCAAGTAAATTGACACTCCATTTGCCTTGATACCGTTTTTCCATAGCAGAAATGTCTTGGTTGCACCGTTCACCATGTTCATCACTCACCGCACGTAAATTTTCCGGAAATAAATCGAGATAAGAATCCAAAAAGTGAATTTTTAGAGACATGTTCACTCACAATATCTTTATAATTGTCCACCTTCTCATTGCCTAAAAAATTTGCAGTAACTGATTCCAAGCTCGTAATTCAGTTTCATTTAGAGCACTGTCAAATACATCATCCTTCATGATTTTCCGTATTTGTGGACCCACAAATATGCCCTCTTTAATTTTTGTCTCACTAAGTCTCGGAAATGTTTGTTTTAAATACAGAAACCCTCTTCCATTTCGATTCATAGCTTTCACAAAAATTTTCATCAGTCGCAACTTAATATGCAAAGGTGGAAGCAACACGTTTTTGGGATCAACTAGTGGTTCATGAGCAGTGTTTTTGAGGCCCGGAGTTATTACCTGACGTAGTGGCTACTCGTTCTGTTCATAATGACGATCTCGCGCACGAGTGTTCCATTCACAAAGAAAACAACAATATTTGGTATATCCCAGTTGCATTCCAAGAAGAAGGGCTATTACCTTTGAATCTGCACATATGGCCCATCCACATTCATTATAACGGATATGCTCTAACAGAACTCGCATATTTTCATATAATTCCTTCATATGAACTGAATGCGCTAGATGGATATTTATTACCGTTGTGTACCAATACCACTTTTAAACTAAGCTTAGAGGAAGCAATGAACAGGCGCCAATCATTTGGATCATGTTTGTGTCACATCGCGTCAAACAAATTGTTGACATCGGAGCAACTCCCTTTCCTGACGAAAACAGTATGTGAGGTCTTGTTGCCGTTTTCGGTAAAAAGTAATGTTAATTAACATCACCGTGGAGAAGATTCCAACCTTTTAATCTTGACGCTAAATGTTGTGACTGGGATTTTGACAGATTTAATTCTCGAACTCATTAAGTTCTCCCAGTGTGATCAAATGCGGCGCTGTTGAACATCCTGGCAGGTCAAACGAAGCAACGGAAATTTTTACGCTTTCTGTACCATCACTTTCAGAATCGGTGGATTCGACTTTTTGATCCAAAGACCAAGATTCTGGTGGAACTGGGACAGAAAGTTCATCAGTATGCTTAATGGGCCGCAAAGCTGATGAAAAATTAAAATACTTAACAGTATGTTTCGATTTTGGTCCAATATCTTTAATATTTATGAGGCAAAAATAGCAATCAGTAGTATGGTCTCTCGGTTCTTTCCAAACCATTGGTACCGCAAAGGGCATTTTACGATTGTCGCCTCTTAACCAACCCGTTAACAACATTACACAAATCTTACAACATATATGAGGGGCCCATAGTTTATCTTGGTCGCCAACTGTAATTCCAAAATAAAGTTTGTATGCTTTCAACACAAGGGGAGCAAAAGTACGTTTTTGGGATTTAAACGGCTGCTATTAGTCTACTGATAAACGCCATATGCTCTCTAAACATAGAGCTCGCATATAATAAACAGGAATAGACAGGTCTTAACATTATATATGTGCGTCATCGCATAAACGCCAAGAAATGCAGTGCTATAAAAATTCTGTTTTTAGATTTGATTTAAGGGTCTCAAAATACATAAGGTGCACCCAAAAATTGTCATGTCACAAATCCTGTCTTCATCAGTGTATTTTTTTTCATTCTTCGACAGGAGAATATATACAATGCCTGAACTATAACCACGCAGCTTGGCGCCGTGTTTCAAGTTGCCGCGTGGCGTCTAACCAGCGTCGCGCTAATTGCGGGAGAGTTTGAAACGGTAGCAGCTGCAGCGAGAGAGCAACAATCAGAGGGGAACGTTGTTGGATTATTTTCCAAGAAACCATGCTAGAACCAGACTACCTGTCTGTCTGTATGGCGCAATTCTAATTAGCTGTGATCCGGCTTAGCGCGGCGCGGCGATTTCAAAACACCACCGACATAACGCACGAATTTCGTCTGAAAGTTGCCTAACATTTTTGTGTCTCGTATTTTTGTGTTTACGTGGAGAATCTTTGGCACACAGCTCGGTGAGTATTTGTATGATTTTATAATTCAAATGTTTTGATGGTATTTTGTTCGAATCTGCATCAATCTTGTCATTGTGCCAACTGATAAGAATGATAAGCTGGTATAAGGTGAAATTATGGTAGTTTTGTGCGTATATGACTGTAAGTTTTTATAAGCAATGTTCCTACAACCGAGTCATATTCTTTAAGTTAATTATTATTCTTCTGATGTTCACTATTAATTGTAAGCGATTTTGCAATTAACTAAAACAATTGTAGCAGATTTTGACTTATGAATGCCCAGTGTAAAGTCGTATGGTTATGTACGTTTTTCTTCATAGGTATATCTAGAAACTTTCAAAATAATATTCACCGCAACTGAGCGACGTCAAGATTTCCCCTGATCTTCTCCATAGTGTGTATAATCCAAAAATTCTTATCATAATCCATATGGTGATTGACAACTCAAAAAAGGTTGGAAAAGATCTGAAAAATATACATTTTGTGCTTTCAAATACTCGGTGCATATAAATCAACAAAGACTAAATTACAATTGTTATTTTTGCTTTCAGTTTATAAAACAACTTATTTGCGATGAAATGCGAGATACACTTTTTGTCATATGCCTATTCTATTCCATAGAATCGAAGGCCGTACAATATCAATAGTTTTACAAAATTGTCATTAGCGTTTTCAATTACGGACACTCCCACCAGATCATTCTGCAAGATATGCAGATAATTGGTTCTATTTAATCTTGATGTCTGTCAGGAAACCAGGTCGAACAATGACCAATTTCCTGTGATCATCTCCATGTCAATTGATGGTGACAGATAAGAGCTTGTTTCTTGTTCTTATAGGAGAATATATAAGAGTCTAGAACGTGAAATTTATGAAAAGCATCAATGGTCATGCGAAAAGTAAAAATATACATCTGCTTTATACTTTTCAAATTACATACTTCCAAAGCTGTCCTGTATGTCACGCCTCATTAGATTTAACTTGCTAATAGAGTAGCAGCTGAAAAATTATACATTGGTATTTGCTGAAAATTTCTATCCACATATAAAAAAAATAGTTTTGACGCTTTATTATTTGAATACGCAAGCATTCAAGATTTTTTACGTCTTGTATTAGGATTCTAGCTCAAAGTTTATTCAGAATAAAACTTATCTATTCTTCACTACTAATACTTTTTCTTCATCATGTATCACTCGATAATATGGACTAAAACATACGTGGTTACAAGTGATAAATGTAATGTTTTATAAGTATTATTTTTATAGATAATCTAATATACTTTCTTTCACCTTCACTTTTTGGCTTGAAATAAACATACATACAATTGATAATAATGCAATGATGCAATTATTTTACGTGTGTAAACTTTCTATATATGTGGTGCCTTTTATCACTATGATACGGATAAAAAAAAGTATCAAGGTTATTGAGTTATAAATAAGCATTTCAGCTCAATAGCCGATTGTGAAGGAAGTTTAGATGTAGGTTGCAACGGTACCATAAAATTAGAATTGTATTGTTTTCTGTAAAAATTTGCCGTGTTTCCAGTTTGATAACTCCGTTAATCGCAGCACAACCTGAGTTCGAGAAGTCTCGACAAACCACAACGGATCAGTTAGTTTTGTGTATTATCGATACCAGAACAAATTGTTTGTAGACGTCTCTGTTTTCTTCGGATAGTATGAATTCAGTATCACACATTCGAAATTCGAATTACAATTTGTACATCTGGATAGTAAGTTATTTTTTTCAAATCACAGGATATTAAAAAAGCAACGTATTCTTTAGTAAGTGAAATATCGAATAGCTTCATAATACAAACGCTATAAATACGAATATTGGTAAAATTGTGCATTGTCCCAAATGTTCATCTTACGTATTTTTTATTCTCTCTTTTGATGAAATTTATGCCATATGTTAATTCTCAATCACGAATCTGAATTTCAAACAGTAAAAGCATACACAGTTGAACGATTACCTGCTTGTTATTGGAAATTACTTGCACCATCAGACCAATATTCACCTAATTATTCTGTTTCACGAAATAACAGTTTCGTCCTGAAAGGAATCGTATAAGGATTTGATTAATTCCAGTGATATTTTTACTGCGAGATAGTTTAGTATCCTGATGTAGAAGGTAGATATAATAACTGTGTTATAAAAAATCGTAAGATTTACAACTAAGTGAAAGAGGCAATCAAATGAAGAAATTCTCAAAGTTCTCGCAGTTGCACTTACGGGATACGCGAGTTTGAACCTTCGCGTCACATAAAGTATTGGAGATATGTGGTAGATACTCATTTTAAAATTAATCTGGTGTTTTTTAAATATAGTACTCGAAAGTGAGTTAAAATAAAGAGGCCATTACAAAACTCACTATTTAAGGACAATTTTGGTGGATATGGTAAATATACCAATAACGCATCGTTCATTGGCGTAGATCATCAATTTGCTGTGAGATACTTCTCATATTATTTATTGTGATTCTGATTACACATTTGATATTAATTTATAAAAAAAATATCAGTTTTCTAAGTAGCTATTGTATTATTACTGTGAATGTTGCATTTCTTTCTCTGAATCCAATCTCCTTCACACTAACGTAAAACGGTTGACCTATAATTTGCACCAATTCCATGCGGGAGGAGCCGCGAGTTTGGGCAGTCCTAAATAAATCTTAATCCTATTCGATACAAACGTAGTGAGTATCAGATGTCACGCGTTCACGCTCAAACATGGCTTATTTATTTGCTGTGGAATATATTTACGTCGATACGCTAGAGGCATTGGAAGCTTTAGATTTGTTTTCTTCAAATGTGCCAAGAGGGTTAGCAAAAACTGGTCTTCTCGATCTCAGCAGGCATACTTATTAGAATTTCATTTTCCGAAGTTACGATTTTCACATGACTGCTCGTTCCGTGACTCTCAGGATACCAAAAGGATATGTATGCCAAATTTCATTGAGGCCGGGCAATATGTAGAGGTTTCACACTTTGGTTGCTATCATCTCAAAATAGTACGATGTCTAATATTCGAGCTTTGTATTAATGTATGATTTTTACTATTAGTCTGGGGTGCTAAGGGACCCGAAGCTGCTTTACAATTACGCTGAAGAAGAGGTGCACAAAGAGCACCGGAAGGAACCTGCAGGGTTCGTGATTTTCTGTGTATTCAGTCGGTTGAAGCCAACCATGGTTTGTTGCCAAAATTGCGTAGTTCAAGTGCACACTTTTGACTCATTTGACTACCGTTGCCTGTCAAAGTGACAACGTTGTATCAGCATAATAGTAATACTTACCAGTGGAAATATCTACATACATTTGGCTTATGTGTCGCTCTTTGTAAATTATGCAAGACGTATAATGTCTTGAAATCGTCTAACACTACAATTATCTACGAATACGAACACATATTCAAAAAATAACACTGACAATACGAATTTAATAACTGAACTGTAAAAAAATTCACTTGTAGTGTACAAACAAATCGTAGGCTTGCTCTTCCTAACTGATATGAATTCTTTGGTTATAGCAGTTATATTTTGTCTTTGGTTTGTTACCGGTAGTACTTTTTTATCGGAAAATTATTCAGGAAATCTGAAAATATGAAGTAAATGACAGGGTGCGCTTCTAGAGCTTTTATCACGAGCGCTCAACATTGTTGCACCAGATCGAAACTCGGCATGGAGGAAGTGTTGTTAAATATTTAAAAGGTAATGCCCAATTCGTGAAACTTGAGGATGCATTTTTCGCAGGAACAAATTCGTGACGTTTTATACATATCTTGAGGTACACAATTGGCATATGTTTGCACAGGGCAAACCCTGTTTTCCTCGTAAAATCGCCGCCAAGTGAACAAAAGAAGATCGTACAAATGTTTTACATAACCTTAATCGATCTATAACTTTGTGTTCAAAGTTATTACTTAAGGTTTTTGATTCCTGATTTTTCCAATAAATATAAATATTGACAATTTCCTAAAAGTGATCAAAGTGTGCAACCTCTGAATATAACCCAAAACCATTTTGAAATTTGGTATACAAATATTTTTTAAATTACTGTTACATTTTATTTATAATACACTTTATGATGATTTTCCTACTTTCATAAAAGTGATCAAAACGTGCAACCTCTGAATATAATTCAACCATTACGAAATTTGGTATACATATATCTTTTAAATTACTGAGACACGAAAGGCGAGCAGAGTCGGTAAAACCTTTACATATTATTTATTTATAACAGACTCAATGACATGTTAGTTTTATCTGATTTTCATGTTCTACATCCTGCTATAACTAATCTTATTTTTACAGCATTCTCTCGCTGAGCTATGAGCGCTGCCATGTTCACTCCACCCGCTGCCCCCGACAAACAATCCACCCCACTCACCCCCAAACCGGCCACCCGCATTCCAGTCCCTTTGAGCCCCACTCTCCCCCAGAGACGTCCGTCGCTACGGCGCGCGCCCAGTGGCGTCGATCGATCCCCAAACGGAGGGGCCAACAGCAAAGGGGTTGCTTCAACCCCTACATTGCGGCGAGGCAACTCCTGGTCCATGGAGGGCTCCGCGCCCCCGACGATATCAGGCAGGCCCCCGCGCAGGCCAGATTCTGTACGATTGGAGGGGAGCAGATACCAACAGAAGGGGCAAGTTGGGAGTGCTGTGTCGCCTAACAGGGTTAGAAGTCTGGTAGGTACCGAATGTATCATTTTAACTGTTGCATAATTCAGTTAGAGAGGCGCTGGCAATATCTAGATCGGACTGGTTTTGTGTTTGAATAATGGGGAATTTCTACTTAGGGATCATAAAAATTGTGTAGCTTTAGCATGTTTTTCGCTAGTATTTTGCTATACTGACCCTTTAATACTGACCACGTACTTCTAACCTACATTTACATCTAAATGTCAATAGTACAAAGGCAAAAACACGACCTCTTACATCTCTTCCTGGGTCATTGTCAGATTCAATACCCAGGTCATCATCAGGAGAATAAAAAATAATAAGGTATTTTTTCTTTTTCAAGCTCTGAGGCAAGGATATGAAGTGTGCGAAATTAAAAATGTTTCGAGGTCCCTTACACTTTTATTAACATACTTGGTGTCTTTAATGTTGACCTAGATCTAATGTCGAAAGTTCAAAAAAAAAAAGAAAGGTCTCTTCCTAAATCAATGTTGAAGGTTTTCAATATTTTTTTGTTGTTCGAGGAAGTTGAGGTGAGGGTGTGACAGTCTATAAAATTGCAAAAAATATTGATAAGCACTTATAATTATGATGATTTCACTTACTTATTTATTGAAAGTATTGCGAAGTCCTATTTGGGGTAGAAAAATCGGTCTTTCTAGACCTGCCATAGAAGAATTGACCGATTCGTGACCTATGCACCCGATTTACCCTAAAAACGAATTTTGAGATCTAATGTCAAAAGTTCAAAGAAAAGAGAAAGTTCTCTCCCTGAATCAATGTTGAAGGTTTTCAATATTTTTTTGTTCGAGGAAGTTGGGGTGAGGGTGTGAAAGTCTATAAAATTGCAAAAATTGTTGATAAGCACTTATAATTATCACAATTCCACTTACTTATTTATTGAAAGTATCGCGAAGTCCTATTTGGGGTAGAAAAATCGGTCTTTCTACACCTGCCGTCGAAAAACTTACAGATTGCAACATTTCATGAATTTTTTCTCAATAATATGCCATTAAATTTCAAAGCTTCTCAAAGAAAAATGTCAATTTTAATTGTTATACACAGATGACACTTTGAACACTGGAGTAAATTGGGACGCTGATTTCGAATATGGCCATAAAAAAATTGTGTATCGGGAAGCCCTAATTGGGGCGGGGAAAAGGGAAGGGGCCTACTGCCGATCTCGGCAAAAAATTGGTGCTAGACTCCTGGCATAGATAACCGATTTACCCAAAAAAGGGGTTTTGGTCGAGAATGCAGATACTCAAGAATTTTTTTAAAATTTTCTTCATTGGTATGTTTTTAAGCTTGACGTTATACTCTTAATACCTTGTTGCTATTGCTTATAACAGAATACATGAGGTACACAAATATGATATTAGCAATATGACATACTGTTTCGACAAGCGTCAAGTTTTTTATAATACATGTAGATGGACATAGTTTACTTAACATTAAAAAGGAATTAAATTCAGATATTGGCCTCATACGTCAGCTGCAATTTATAATTGATATAACGTACGGCATAACCATATTATAAAAATGGCTTGAGAAGCAGTAAACATCTGTATTTTCATTAATAAATAATTTATTATTAGTGCATAATGGTTCAGTAGGAATTTTCGTAGTACGAGGCTGCTATATTTTTATTTTTGTGTTTCCGGTGCAAATCCCAACATTAGAATATTAATAAGACATTTTTCCTACATTGAAGCTTACTTCAGGATTGCACAATCATGTATAAAATATGCTAAACGGAATGCATTGACCTTTCAAGTTACGTATTATGGTTTATAATAATGTTACCGCAAAGTATGCAGTGTGTACGTTGAAAATTTTTGGTTCACAATCAAAACTAAACACTAAAAAATGCAGGCCATTTATTTTACAACCTAGTCTAAAACGACAGCTTAGCTAAAATCAAATAAAATCTCTCGATGTTGAACAGTTTGGCAAAACTATGAAATGCCACCTACTACCTGAAGCTTTTCTTGACGCAGAAGATTTCCTTAACTTCATTTTTTAAAGTCTGGTATAATTTGTATTGTAATTCGTATCTTTTATAATCTTTCAACCAACTCTGTTTATTATTCATTTGAATTTTAACTTTGATTTTATTAACTCTTCAAGTGTTATTGCCACTTTGTGTTTCACGTTTGTCTTATTGTATTGTTTCTTGTTTTTATTTACTCTTTTACGTTTTACTTTAGCTGACTTGTGCAAAGATATTTCTATATAATGGCATCAATAAATTATTATTATTATTATCGTTATCATTATTATTATAAAATAATAACAGAATATGAGTTAATGTTAACTTTTCAAATTATCATTGTCAAAAATTGAGAGAAGTGTTCAATAATAATTACTGAAATTTCGATGTGCTAAAATCCAACTCAGTCGCTAAAAACATACGAAATAAAATATAAAAAAGCCTATTAAAGCCTGTATTTAAAGACAGGTTTTAAATGATTAAATATCAACATTTCACAAAGTGATAATAAACATAATGCTTCTGGGTCTGTGCAGTGCAGACATTGTTTGGACTTAGAACAATTAGAAGCCTAAAAATACTCATCACTGCTTATAATTTGTGACAAATTTGTGACGTCCTGAATCAGTATTGCCATTGAACAACTAAACTTTTTTCTGAAATCCTTGCAAGGCTGATTGGATTTGATTGGATGTTTATTGTAAGAAAAACACTTGCAGTAAAGTGTTATGTCGATTCATTGATCGAAAAATGTCACGTACTTTGAAAACATAAATCTCAATAATGGAGTACTTCAATACCATTATCAAACGTAGGTACATTCTCAGAACTAGAATCTACCGAAAAATTTCATTAATTCATGTTCAATGTCAGCATGCGATACAAACAATTGATGGTATATTTATAAGCAAACAGATGGTTTCAGGGTAATGATAGCTTATTATTATTTAGTATCGCGTTCCAGGGTAGATGTCATTTGTGATGCATAATCAGCCAGGTTAGCTCCAATCAAAACAAAATCTGCTTTGCGAAAGCAGCTTAGAAATGTCAAATCTTTCACTGGACTACCTTGTGTTTTGCTCACTCGGAGTATTTGCACCTACAAATCTTTAGAATTTTTTGATGATCATAACCGGATTCAGCGCCTCAAATTACTTGGAATTGTGGAGTTTCATTTGTATGTACCCACAGAAAACGAAAATGGAAATGGAAATTTTCAGTGACCAAACCACATTTTTTTGCGCGTAGGCAGAAGCCTAAATACCGGGGCACCTGGCCTATAAAGGGTGTTCGAAAAATACACTCCATTTGGAACACATTGAGTCACTTATACAGCAGTACAAAGTTGCACCGTTTTGGAATTACGCGCAATCTTTGAAATCCTAGAAAAAGCCAAAAATCATGCGATAAATCATCGCTTGTTCAATAACGAAGGGCAACTTCTTGGTCCTCTTATTTTCATCTACTATCTTGATTTATAGTCTCAGCATACAAACAATTTTCAAGTTACCCAAATATCGCGTACTTGTTATAAAAAGTAATGTTGGTTTACTGAATGGCATGGCTCGATTTTACAGTGCTTCATCTCTTTTAGAACGAATTTATGGATAGTTTTTTGAACAGTGTAATTTAAAATCATTGAAAAAACTTTTTCCACTTCTGCTCTTTATTATATGTCATACGAAGCGATACAACCAGAATGTTTTCCTCAATAACCCAAAATATTAGATCAAGCATAATGTCATCCAGACTGCAAATAAAATCCTCTTCGTGGAACAAAGTACTTGATACTGATAACAAATATTAATTCTCTTGATAAGAAAATGGAACATATTAATTTTTTATGTATTTTGTTGCAATGGAACGAAAATAAAAATTGTGCATTGAGGAACTTTAAAAGTTTTAATGCAAAATTTCGATGATAATTTCTAAAAATACTTGCAAATGTGTAATTCTGACCAAAGATTTGTTCTTGGGTAAAACTCACCCTATCTCGCGCGGAAGGAAGGGGGTCTCAACAAATATCACATAATTGTTTCTTCAAAAAATAGTGTGATATTGCAAGAAAATTAGGTGAAATCAAAGTTAAATATGCTTTTTGGCTGAAATATGGCGAAACCTGACACAATAATATGTATCGTTATCACTAACTTCTCTAGTCTTGAAAAAAATAATGATGAACATTCACGCTAAATTTACGGAGTTTTGTAAAAGCTCACGTGAGATAAGGGGTTGGGGGAGGGGGTCGAGCCAAATCTTACAAGACGGGGAGGTGGGGTTTAGAAAATGGTTCAAAACGGCTCATGTAATTAATGGATTAATGAACACTGTGAAATTATATTCAATCATTTTTTTCAGTCTTTGTCATTATCAAACACAAGACTTCAATCAGGCCCAAATACACCGTCATCTGTGGCAACCAATTCACCCAGCAATCCAACGTCTGCTTCTGACAGAAATTTCTCGGTGCTGGATCGCTGGGAAACTGACAGTATTAACAGCATAGGTAAGGTTACTATATTATATTAGTACATTTTAATAATATCATTTATTATGTATCTTTTATATAGCTTTGCGACACTTCAAAATCTCAAAAGTTAATTTCTGCAATTCATCTGCAGAGATCAGACCCCCATCCCTCACGTATAATGGTGTTCTGTTGTCCACGGAAATGATTGCGAGAAAAGAAAATTCATAGATTAGAGCCTGACTTTTCTATCAAAATTGAATCGTATTCCCAATATCCATCTGCAGGAATTCAATATAGCAAACAACCACCTGATGATAACACAGAAAACAAACATTACAGACTGCATGCAATTTGCCCATTAACGGAACTCAGCAGTCGAGTTCAAGATTCCCATAATATTTTTACAACCTTGAGGACTAGATAACTTTCAACCATGTTAAATAGACCAACGATTGGTGAAATAAGCAGATGGGGTTTGAAAAAAATTAATTTCAAGCAGACATTTCTCTTCTGTTGCTAAACTTAAGTATAATAGTAATAATAATAATTCCGGCTTTATTAGTGCGAAATTTAGCCAGTGGCTACTCTTACATTTAACCCTGTTCAGAAAGTATACAGGAATAATCTAAATGACATACAAAATCGAAACGTGAACCTAGCTATATCATCATTGTGTTAGTAGCATGTACCTAATATTCTTTTTAATTAATAATATTACGTATTTTTTTTGTCTCATTATTTACCTGATCATATAATTCCACAACGTTATATGAGAAACATCTTTGGTGTTAAATGGTGACGAAATCTACTTAGTTATCCTTGCGTCTTATATAGTCAAAATCACGAAAGATGACTATTACGTGATACCATAAATTGTACTGAAGTAATCAATGGACGTCCATGATAAAATCACGATGCCACGAATTTATATTATGATTTCACTGATTATTTTTATTTTCATTTTATTTCATGTTTTAGAGTGATACCTTAATAATAATTTCTGTGGGGAGTTTTTGTTTTGAAAAAAAAAACAGAATACCTTAAGACAGGAACACCAAAGACCAAAGTATTATTCGAAAACAACCTAACCTGCTTTAATACAACCTAACTTTTCATCTTTCAAATATGATCGATCATGCAACATGAAGACGATGTTTGTCCGATACATGCAAATTAGCAAAACAGTTTGTTTAGACAATAAAATTCTGTTTGTCTCTGTCTAACATATTTGAAACTTCATTAAAAATATTCACAAATCTACAGACCAAAATGATGACGTAATCGTCATCTTTCGTGATTTCGACTATATTTAGAGAATATGTGTTTCTTATAGGTCTGTCAAATAGATAAGATGGTGTGAAAGTCATTATAAATTTATGCATAAAAGTGGGGTAGTGTAATTTCACGGATTTTTTCACATTCAGTTAACCAATTTCTTTCAAATTTGCTGATATCATATTTTCTTAGTCCATAAACAAATCGATAGTAAGAATTTTGCACTTTGTAATGCAGTAATGTAACTGTATTGTGGGTACGATGATTTTTTTTAACCTTGGTACTAAAAACGTGTTTGTACGCATAATAAAAGTCTTACTTTTGAATAAGATTTTTGTGTAATGCTATAATTATGGAATCTCAAATTTTCATCAAACGTTACACACAAGATTTTCGATTTATCTGTGAATTCTAAATTGTCGTTTAATGGACTTATGTTAAGATTTAACTTCATGTGATCATAAGATCTTTTTTGACAAAATAACATTGAATTAAACTTACTGGGATTTAATGACAGATTGTAGCTAGTAGCATATCTGACAACACTCTCTATACCTTCATTCATTGCATTTTTTGTAGTTGATATGTTTTCCGGATTAAAGATCATAGAACAGTATGACAAAGCAGTCTGAAAATCTGCAGTGTAAATTATGAAAATTGAAAAGTAGAGGCCGAATTGAGCCCTGGGGAACTCTGTAATATTTTGCGTAGGGCCCTACACCTTGGTGGTTCTTGGAGTATAAGGAGAGAATGTTGAAAATTCGTATAAAAATAGTCGCGCGACATACCCCATATGCTACGTTATACGCATACAACATTATTTCACGTGGATATAACTTCATAACCATTGTCTATTATCAAGAATACCATCTTAAAGTAAATCCATTTTTTATTGCCAAGTATTTAAATTTTTTATAACTTGTGATGTTTTCATTATGACTCAGTTTATCTCCTCAGTTTGTCTATTGATGATGTTGTCACTGAGTAATTTCAGTTACATTTGCAGCGATTTTAATGGAAAAGGAGATGTAATAGGTAATGCTGGTTTAGGACGTCAACCTCTTTCCATTAAAACTGTTGCAACGGTTACTGAGGCTACGAAGTGACAACAGGCTGATGGGATTGAATGACTTGCGTTTTCATGATGAAAACATAAATTATCCGAAAATTTTCCGTACTTACGCGTGCAAGTAAAAAAATAGTTCACTTTAAAATGGTATTCTTGACCATAGATAATTAATTACTTTTGCTTTTTATACTTCCATTAAGGTAATGTAAAATACAATTTTGTACAAAAGTTTATTCTCAACAAAAAATAATATTTGTCTATATACGCCTTATTATAAGAGAAAATATTACATGAACATTTAGCCTTAAATTTTTCGCAATCAGTTGACTATATGACAAAGTAAAGTGATAAAGGATTTAATTTCATACAAAATTGTTTTTATTACTTTTTACCCTAGGATCGATGGTTCCCGAGATTTTCGATCAAACATGTTTATCAAAATGGCGGCAAAAGCTCCAGCCCTATCGTGACATCAATTTGAACTTATTAGAAACCAATAATATAACGATACAACCAAAAACAAAAACATTTACTGTATATATTCGGTTGCTAGCATCATGATTGTGTTTTCAGCTCCTGATGAAGGCTCCATAAAGAATTTGCCGAAAACTTGAGATTGATATTGAGATATATATATATATATATATATATATATAAATTGTAGGGAAAAATTACCTATTTCCTTGTCTTATTTAGAAATGGAGAGTTTCCCTCTTTAACTGTAGGGGAACACATATCCTTGTAAGGTTTTTGACTCGGCGATGCGCCTATCTGAGAAAACATGTTTTTGTTTCCATAGAAATCGGAAGAGTCGAACACTCTGGCTTGTTGCATATCCTTCCTCATACAATTTACTGCTTTAATTGTAATTATGTAACGTCATTATTGTTATAATACATGTCTATGTAGCTCCCGCTATACGCATTCGCATTAATACAGTTACGAAAACAGTTATGGCTCCACAACAAGCAGGAAAGGAGCATTTAAACTTTTTAATCTAGTCTGATATGTGTTATTATATTGTCACTAATGTGTGGTGAAGCGGATCTTGTTCTAATCAAGTAGGTAAACGCCAAAAAAAAAAGTTTAATTAGTTCAGGTGAACGGAGAACATTTATTGGTTATTGATTTATTATACGGACTGGCACCAGGGAAGCAATAATTGATGGTGGCGTAATGAACTGGACTCATAAATGTCAGATTTGTGAAGGTAATTGAATGGTTTATTACTGCGGGAGTTCTTTTAATTTATGGGATAAACGTTTGAGGGCTAAGCAGTGTATTGAAATTTCACCATGTTTGGAAAACCGCTTTCTTTTGGAGATACAGACGGTGGACAAGATTTTTGAAAATAACTGCTTGTATTACCAAAAATCAGATGTAAAGCTTTCTGAATCTACAAAAGCGTTCAAATATCCTCTTGTTGAGTTACATCCACAATAATCCGCCTTCGCACCAGAGTTGTCTAAACCTTAAACTATTTGATTGGTCAGGAAGGAATATAAGCTAGGGGGTTTGAAATAGATATAATACAGATTGTTCTTTCATTATACAGGGTGTTTCAGTTTATTGTTGCATAACTTTAAGATTCGATAGAACTTTTAAAATTAATGCATAAAGTCTATATAAACATGGGTCGAAAAATGCGTGGCTTCCGAAACACCCTGTAGTTTGAATTTCTAAAATAGTTTTATTTAAATATTTCGAACAATATTTGAGGAGGTGATCTGCAAACTGCAGTCTTTGAAATTTCAACGTTTTGAGATAAAGACGTTTTTTTTAAGGTGCGTAAATGGAGAAGTAGAATGCTAAGCCAAACATACCACCTCAAATTTCAGAGACAACGAAATGGCTACACTAACCTGCTGAAATCTGGTCCTTATCGTTTGCTGACTAACACAAAAAAACAAACAAAAAACCGCATTTTGATTTTCCACATCTATTAAAACTGCGTTTTGAAAAACCAATCTATTCATATGAAACATAAATGAAACGGAAAGTTATATAATTATATTTTCAAGCCAATGTCTTCCTCAGCACAATCACACAACTCTGGATCTACATCGTCGGATTCCGGGCATGCTTCTTCCTCGTCTCCTGTTGGATGTCTTCTTTCATTTAGTAGGTTCTTGTAACAAGCGAAGGTTTCATTATCTTCCCAGTCTTCTTGATTCTTTTTTAATAGGGTTTCAACGTTTTCAAGCTTAATTTTTTTAATGCTATTGCGCAGTTCAATTTGCTTAGGTTGGTAATTTTCTAATTTCGCACCTCGTTTCAAGTAGTTCTGATACTTTGTATCTATCGTTGTCTGTTCTGTAGAAGACTTCTAATTTTTTCAAACACTTTTCACGAACCCTTTTCAAATGAACTCGCTTTACTTCTTGTATACCACTGATTTTCTTGAATTTTGTACTAGAAAAATCCTTCCGATCCAACAAGTCCCAATCTTGTCCCATCACTTTAACATTCCCAACTTCTCCAAAGATATTCCAGTATTCTTCCTTAGTGGTAATTTCAGACCGCTTTCTGCACATCTTCTCTATCCGACCGAATACTCTGTCTGCAGGTAGATAAGAATGACCTCTCACCGGAAAATACAGGACCACCTCTTCAATATGTTTAGGTGCCTTAGTGGAAAGCCAAGACGTCAACATGTGGATGATAAAATAATTTTTATTTTGTCCTCCGCATC